ATCCCATGAGTTCTGAAATCTCAGGGCAGCAACGTCCCATATCCTAGATGAGGCAACCCAATCACTGTATGAAACTCCACTGAACTGAAAAGAAATTAAATTTGTTGCAGAAGGGTTTCCCATTGTCTCAGAGATAATAATTCTGCCTGGTTATATAAAAGCATAGCTCAGTCTATTTTGCTGTGATCATTCTTGCCTAAAGACAAACTCTCATAGTAAGATGGCATTTCCACCACACAAAAGCAAGCTCACAAAAACAGCGGATCTGGTGCCATTTCTCTGCTTTGCTCACTCTGTTATCAGGCATTTGAGCCCCTATATGGAAGCTTTAGTCAGGGAAACCTAAACAGATATTGAGGTGAAAGAACCATGAATACTGGAGCTTGGAATGTAGTATTAGAACTTGAGGTCATCCAATGAAGTTGAATGTTGGAAAATTCACGACAAAAAGAAGTACAGTATGTCTTCACACCGCACATATGTGAACTATGGGATTCACTCCCATAAGGGGTAGTGATGCCCACCAACTTGGATTAGACAAATTCATGGAGGGTAAGGCTATCGATGACTGTTAGTCATGATGTGAATATCAGTTGCTGAGGTGCATGTTTGGGGAGAGTGCTGTTTCCCTTAGGTCCTGCTTGCAGACTTCCTTAGGCATCCGGTTGGCTGCCATAAGAACAGGATGCTGAACCAGATGGTCTGATCCAGTGGGAACTCCTTTTATATACTTAGGACCGAACTTCTTTGTGTTCCATCTGGAGCATTTGAAGCAGCTCAAACAATTTGTTCATTTAGCCTAGTATTGTCTTCTCTGACTGGCTGCAACTTTATAGGGCCTCAGACCGAGATCTTTCACATCACCAATTATTTAACCCTTTGTGATGGCCTGGGAATCTGATTCAGAGGCTGAACCGGAGGAATCCCAGCCTGCACAGGAGTCCCAGCCTCCAGGGCTGGCTGAGCTGGGGCAGGGCCTTGAATCTGAAGGGCCCACACCTGTGCCGGATCCTCAGGAGCAGACACCAGATGAATCCACTCTGGCTCCGGAGGTGATTGAGGACCCATTGCCTGCAGGTGCTCCTCTCCCAGCCCTGTCAGGGGAAGGTGAGGCTGCCTCTTGGTCCAGTAACCCTCCAGCCTCTCCTGAGATGCAGAGGCTCAGGGCAAAGAGGCGGAGGGAACTAAGTTCTCACAGGAGGAGTGCTCGCCTCCAGGCCAGGGGAGGTGAGGCACCTGTGGAACAGGGCCGCCCTATGCCTCGGAGGAGATAAAGGCCAGCCCGCCCTGTCCCAGGTTGCAGGAGCAACATCGTTGGTAACCTGTTCCTGCCGGCACCCTGACCTGCTCTCCTGAGTTCCTGACCACGCCTGACTCCTCACTTTGGACCTCATTTCGCCCCTGATGGACAGCCTCCTTACTCTCGACCTAGGACCGGACTCAGAGCACACCGCACGGTAACCCACCCCCCGGGACCAGCACACCCTTTTTAGCAAATTGCAGAGATTGAACCCTTCTGTGTGTAAACCAGTAGCTTTTTAAAAACAATTGGTTTTAGTTTTGGGTGTTGTATTTTGTCATTCTTTGTTTCAAATTCTATTTCTGTGTTGTGCATGGATTTTATTCAGTTTTGTACTTCGTCATGAATTTTTTTTTTGCAGAGGGGTGGTTAAGAAATACTGTAAGTAAATAAATATTTGTGGCCACACAAGTTGCTTGGAGGAAACAGCATCATCTGAATCTAGTATGTGTGAGAGGAGGTGGGAGAGTGCGAGTTCAGCAGCTACTTGTGATTTGTTTCATCATTTTCTGCTGCTTCCCCTTCTCCCTGTGCTGTACCTGCAAACTCTTCTCATTTCTAACCCTGCTCCCCATTACTCTATCTGTGAATAAAGAGGTGGTAAACAGTTTTGTTTCTGTAAATAGGTTTGATTGCTCTTCTTGTAGATTACATCACCGAAGTTGGTCCTCCGTGATCTCGTAACTGTCCTGTGCACTTAAAAACCCATTCACAGCTTCTTGATTCAGAACACTCCCTCGGTAAATTAATTCTCAGGTTGCCTGAGCTGTGTAAAGTGTTTTCCCCATATCCATTTTAGAAGTCTCTGCTCATTAATTTTATAGAGTGAACCTCTATATTAGCAAGTATAAAGGGAACAATCTCTTTTATTATACTCTGTTAAAATCCTAATAAACTGCCACTTAAAATACCTCCCAACTCCTTTACCTTTGCAATTTTAGCTTTGGAAATCTCATGGTGTGCCTGCAGCAGAGGTGTCAAACTCAATTTATGGAGATGCATGAATTTCATGCTTGAGTATCATTCAGGCACAGTTATACTTGAATGTATACATTACAATGATCATCTGCTGACTGTTTCATGTAGTTTTGCTGGAAAACGGGTGACAACACTATCTGTGGTTTTAGCATCTCATCTGTTTGTTTTGATGTGTTTTAGTCAATCTCCAGCCGCCAGTGCTTTTTTTGGATTTCTTACCCATCCATGTTACCCATCCTGGGGAAGATAACAATATAAAAATGCAAAATTGAAGTAAGTTTAAACAATTTTTAATCAGAACAGGGTAAGTCCTAAAAATACATCTCTCATATGTCAAAAGTCAGGGTTTATACAGCAATGTTTGCTGCCTCTTTTCGTAATTTTATGCCCATGGATATATTTAGCCATTCTGAGCCTAAACTGCGCACTTAAGATATAGTCCCTCAGATAAGCCATACAGAGGTTAATTAACAATTTGAATATTGTTTAAGAATGGAAGACAAAGTCCTAAGGCTTGGAAAAGAAATAATTTTTATTGTGGTGTGTGGGGGGGTGGAATTTAATTTTACAGAATTAAAATATTTCTAATAAGAAATGGTAAAGATTTCACAAAAAAAGCATACCATGTTGTTGTTGTTGGGGGGGGGGGGGTTGCATTTATTAACGTATGGCATTATTAGTAGATTCTGAGCACTGCCCACAGAATCTTCTCCACAGAAAGCCAATTGAAACAAATGGAACATGTTAATGTCAGTGGACTTTGTGCTGGATATGGTCCTGGCAGAGTGCCCTCTGGTGGCATAAATAAACTTAGCAAAAAGTAATCTTGCACCGGATTTGACCATTTCCGTATCTCAGTACAGTAAACTGTTAAGCAAAGCATCTCTTGGGCTTCACTGATGCTTACAATTATCTACTACATAGCTTGGAAAGTTTTTAGTTTCTTCATTCTGTGTGTATTTGGACACATCTTAAGTTAAGATATCATAACCAAATTTTCCATGATGGTTCCACAAGAAGGAATCTTATTTTGGTCTAATTGGATACAGATGGAAACCATTTTGAATCAAGAATCTTTCAAAACAGCACTGATCTTTTGTGCCTTGGGATTCCCAAGCAATGCGGGGCCCTTTCTGCTGGTTGTTATTTGCTAGTTTAGGAGAGGCTGAGAGCCAGTTTCCAGTTAGATAGTTCATAACTCACCCGATCTCATATGAGAGAGATCCTCCATTTGGCAAAGTCATGCGTTTCTCGAGCAGCAACAAGGCAGAGATGTAAAGGCTGATGAATCATTCCAGCCCTATTGTATGAACTGATCTTGTGCATTACCCTAAAGCTGCCTTATATTGCCATCTTTTTAAAGGTTTGGGAGGAAACAAAATTGCCTCATTCCATCAAAGATCCAAGTTCTTTCTCACTAGAGGCTCTATGTAGTGACTTCTGTGGCTTGGACTACCTTTTACCAGGTTCAGCCGGTACGTCAACTGCAACCATTCCAGTCCATGCATCAGTATCCTCAGTATCCACTTCCCTTGTATCTGGCCTGGAAGATGCAACTAGCGTAGTGGCCAGACTGCTCACAGAAGCAAGTTACTGGCAACATGTGACTCCTTTGCTGAGAGAACTGCACTGGTTGAAACTAGCCCAGTAAAATAGGCAGCGTTCTTGCTTTAATTCACAGATCCCTAAACAACTTGGACCCAAAGCACCTTACTCCTTGGGCTCTGCCTGTGATCTTCTGATGGAGCCCCTGTGCTTCCATCAGCCTTAACCAGAGACGGAGCTTTTACTGTAGCAAGTCCTGCCCTGTGGAATCCTCGCCAAGGGAAGTCTGGAAGAGTCATTCCTTTAATTCAGAAAGGCCTTTAGAATTATTAGCAACCAGTTTATTGACATACTGTTGATGTTTTTATGAATGTGATTGTAGACTTGTTTCTATGTTGTATACCCCCTTGTTATATTTCTTATCAAAGTGTGATTTATAAACATTTAAATAAATAAAATATGCACTGGAAGTTGGGACGCTGCTTTATTTTATTTTTTAAAAAATGCAGAGCTGCTCCACAGTAATAACCTACATATAGCTACAAAGAAACACAACAACAGTCACGCCTTTGTTTAATTATACGAAGTGGACGACATAGCATGACTGAATACCAGTTGCTGAGAATCTGAAATGGAGACAGTGCAGTTGCAATCAGGTTCTCCTTGCAGAGATTCCACAGGCATCTGGTTGGCCATTGTGAGAACAGGATGCTGGGCTAGGGATTCCTTTGGTGGCCAGGGAAACCACTATGATTTTTATTTTATTTTTTATTTTTTATTTTTTTGCAATAGCCATTTAGCCACACGCTCTTTTCCCCAACTACAAACTGAACACTTCCATCCAAGAAACGGTGGAGCAGTTCCCACCATCTTATTTAGTTCAAATGCTGATTGGCTTGACTCCTTAGTTTACAAGGCTGGCAAACCTTTAAGCTTAGCTTCAGTTGTGCCATTTCTCTATTATTCTTATCAAGTGTCTGAATTATTGCCAAGGGGTGATATCTAACGTTCCATGTCCCACCCTGCCAATCTTCATAAATCTGAACAAACTGACAGAGAACACTGCAGAGAATGCACCTCCCAATACACAGGCTCTGGGATGATATACTTTTTTTGAGTAATAAATCCATAAATCATAATTCTTAGCTCAACAGGAATTAATTCTTGGCCTTCACTTAGGTAGTTCATTGACTTTATTATCATCTTCCTACATATTTTAGCATGTAAACGTTACTACAAAATGGATAAAAGTCACATGTGGCAAACCAGAAAGTATACAAACAACATTTTCATTGGGATTGTGGCCACTAACATTAGACACAGTTACACATCACGTATTATTATTATTATTTTTCTGGCATATAAACAAGTTATCTACTCTTTGTCCCTACAACTCAAGAACAATTAATAAGAGGTATAAACATATAACAGATCAGTTTCTTCAATACAAAGCACTACACAAATGTCAAATACATATAAAGTTTGCTTGTAAATATTTATCCATTTAATATTTTAGAGCTAAAAATATATTTCAAAGGCATCTTTATATATTAATTAAATCCATCTTGGGCTGTTGGGATTGACTGAGCTACCTTTCTCGTTTCTACAGCCACCCTCTTCTAGCCAATCTTGCAGATTTACATTCCTGGAAGAGGCTGATGTGGCGCAGCTGAGACTTGAAATCATATTACAGTCTATAAAAATATATATATATTTTATTTCCCTTTCTGAAGGCCTGCACTGCCAGCCCTCATATTCTACTTCTACCCCGCTGTAGCTAGAACTTCAATACATACAGATACAGAGTACACATGCCACATTCTCCTAGACACAATTATTATTCTAAGTAGCAATGCAATGAAAAGGCAGTATGTAAATAATGCATGTCATTTCCACTTCTTATATGGCATAGTCTGTTTAAGGTTAGAAATGCTTTCAGTGTGCTTCCTTTATTATATTTTTCTGCAACCAAACTATTGTTTTTAACAGAAGTCTCCTGTTCAAGAATGCATCCTTGCTCAGAAACGTACATGCCCAAGACCAGCAAGCTTGGAATACTATATTTCAGTTGCATGGATAGCAGCTGTTTTGTATGGCTCTGGAAGTGGAATTTTGGAAAACTGCATGGAAGGAGTGGGATGACTAAAAAGCCAACATTTTCTACCCTTCTGAGCAGATTCTTTTTAATTCAAAGGAAACAAGTGAACAATTTGTTTCTTCTGTTCTGCATCTTACCAGTTCCTCAATAGGCATGATTTTTGAAGACCCTGTTCTTACGTTTTCACAAGATCACTTAATTTTGCCTCCTAAATGTCTCAGAAGTTACCAAGGCACAAATGCACTTGCATAAGTAGAATCCTTAAGAGAGGAACTTCATCAGCACTCCAATTAGGCTGGAATTCTGCTGCTCATGCCATACAACTGCTCTATCAGCTGCACAATCTGTTTACTGGGGCAGTGCAGAACCTAGTTCAGCAATGCGCTTCTTCAACATTCAAAGTCAGACTGCCTTATGAAGACCTGAATGGTTCAAAGAGAGATTGGATCAGGGGATAAAGTATGTAATTAGGGTCTCTTTGGAGAGGGAAAAAATATATCCATGTACAGAGCCAGCAGAATATGCATGCCCTACCATATTTAAGGTCCAAGACCCAAAGGGCAGGGGGACTACTGAGAAAATGGGGCGGCTGTCAGGATTCTCTGAATTGGTGGTTGTTGCTGGCTCTAATACTCTCTCTTCACTGGAGGGTCCTAGCTCTCCCAAGCAGAGATATTTCTACAAGCAGCCCAAAGATGGAATAAATAATCCATTTACACAACCCAATCCTTTAAGTCCAGCACCATCAACACACTTCCTCACCAACTATCCTGGCACAGAATACAAAACAAAGGCATTTGATGTAGTATCAAGCTCAGATTAGTCACCTATCCAGGCATGAAAAGCTATGAGCTCTGGACTCCTGTTGGGATGAAGGGACCTGACATCTTTTTCTCAGTCAACAAATTAGTAACTCTAACTCTCACAAGCAGAGGAAGAGTCAAATCCTGTTACCTAAGGGGTATGGCAAACTATGAAGTCCCATCTTACATTTGACAGTAAGAGTTAACATCTAGTTTTTCAGTAAGACCTCTCAGCGTTTCTTTCTGGCATGCATACTGGTGATCATTTCACTGCGTAGTCTACCAGACATTTTACCTGTAGATGTGCATTAAGATCCTCCTCATCACCTGAATGCATGATACAGATGACCACACTGCATTGAAGCAAAAGTGCTCATTAAAGGGTAGTTTGGCCATCTGCATGGACCCTCTCATTCTGTGCTTCCAGTGGCTTTACCTTGCTTCCCCCTTGGATATACTGTCTGTGGGCCCTGCCCCTGAATCAACAATGGTTCACATTTTAAAATATGGGATGGAAACTTAATAAAAGGCCACCTGATTCAGCAACACTATCAAACTATTCATGTTCTGATTAATTATGAAATGGCTAAACATATCCAAAACAGAATCTAACAATAATTATGCACAGTGTTATTAAACATATATAGCTTTATTACAATCTTTCTTGCCACATATTGTAAATTGAGACTAGTACAATCACTGCAACAGTACCAGACAGACAATGAATTAACACCATCCAATCAAGATACGTATAAGGTTACTCTTAACAAGGCAGTATCTTTAGCTAGAAATCTTGGTCCTCTTAATTCGTTTTTTAAATATTGCGCTGATCACAGATCTCTTGCATATTGAATGCAATTTGGCAAATAAACATCTAAAACATAGCAAATTTTAATACATATGCTTCTTAAAAGCACATTTAAAAGTAAGATTTCACAAATGACAGTTTCTATTTACTTTTCTAAATGTCGTTAGGTGCAAGGAAGTCAAAGTATTATGGGTACATAAAAGCTAGATTTAAGCTTGTGAGATGCTTCATTTTACATGAGTTTTGGTCCTGCTGAGGGACTAATTAAAGGTTATGTGCAAATGCACGTAACAGATTCCTGATGCCGTACATTTTAAAGAACAGATTTGGAAGAGGGAGGCTTTAAGTGAAGTAGTGGAGGGAGTGCTTAATCCCTTCCCCTGCCCATCATTTTTATGCTCAAAACCATTGCCTCACGAAGCCATTTGTCTTTTTTTGAAAAAAAAGAAAGCTTCAGAGCTCTATCACATGTACTTGCACATAAGATCTTGTTAGCCCCGATGCTTCACAAAGAACTGAAACCACAATAAGAAAAATAGCTGCACGGGTACATTGAGAAATCTTTACAAAAAGTGGAATTAAACACAAATTAGCAACAGTAGATGAAAACACCAGCTTTCCAGTTGAAGACAATCATAAAAACAGCTGCAGTATTTACTTAACTTGTGCCTCTGGGACTATTAGAGACACATGCTGATTTGCTTTAAGCTCATCTTCTTTACTTTCAGTCTGATTCTCTGGGCGAGCTAGTCCCGGTCTACCCTATATATGGGGGTTGGTGGAAGGAAGAATTCCAGATCCTCTCAAAAAAAGCAGCTTAAGTGGTTATGGCAGAGAGAATTACCGTATTTTTTGCACCATAACTCACTTTTTTCCTCCTAAAAAGTAAGGGGAAATGTCTGTGCGTGTTATGGAGGGAATGCCTACGGGTGGCATGCCTACGGATTTTCCTCCTACGTGCGTGTTATGGTCGGGTGCGTGTTATAGAGCGAAAAATACGGTAGCTTCATTCGAGTTTCGCTAGGCAGGGGTGGTGAACTTGGTGCTCTCCAGATGTTTAGCACTTTTGCTCCCATCCACTCCAGCCAGCATGGCCAATGATCAGGGTAATGGGAATTGCGGTGCAACATCTGAAGGGTACCATGTTGGCCACCTCTGACCTATGGCTATAGAAAGACTTCGCCTCTCTCCAGATCTATCTCATTGCTCTAGAGAAAGACAATGGCCAAAGGGATCTGATCTCTGACTATCAGCTCTTTCTCTCTACATAACTTATCCGCTACAGAAGCTGATACACTGGTGCAGAGGATAGGGTCTCACATCTGCAGGGATTGTATTGGCTGGCACCCTATTGAGGGAAAGGCTCAGGTGGCATCAGTAAGGGCGCCAGCTGATAGGTTCATGTGCTGCAGTTCTTTCTGGAGGGTAAGGCTCCCTATGGGTGGATCTGTAAATAGGACATGACCCTTACGAGATGCTCACTCCTTTAAATATATGTTCCAAAGTATAAAAGGGTGAAGTAGAATATTTAATAGCTGTTCCATCTGCATCTAATTCCAAAAAAATCATTGGAAACCTTGGGTGTCTGTTACAGCTAAAAGAAAAGAAAAATAAAAGAAAACTGATCCGACATGGTTTTTGCTAGGTTTATGCGGAGTATTGCTTACGTTTTTTCAAGGGCTGTGAAATTATGACATGACAAGAAATAAATGCTGCCCAAACCATATTAAAGAGAAATGTCTCCAAAAACTGCAGCAATTAAAAATAGCCTGCAATAGCCTATTGAGATTTTTAAAAATGCTTTTCCCCCAGTGATTTTCCTGATAAGCCTTAGAATACTGGAATCAAGTTCTAACATGTTTGCAGCATAAGACTTACTTAAAATAAGGGAGTGCTGTAAATTAATCTGAGTAGAATCAAGACCTAATATGAATAATATTTTCTCTAAAAATCTCACTAAAAATTAGTATTTTTACTTGTGCTTTTTTGATGTGCAATTTGTCCTGCGTATGCTAGAAATTAAGTTGAAAATTGGGAGGGATAAAGAGTTTCCCTTTCTCTGGATTCCTGACTAAAATCACAGTTCATATTGGCTTGTTCAGTGTTCTATGGGGAAAGTATGTGGGAAAGTTTCATATATGAAAATCCCACATTAAATCAAAATTCACCTCAACAATAGTAGCAGTAGTAGCATACCTAATGAAACTACTTAGCCTCATTTATCTATGGAAATCAAGTGCTGCAATTTTAATGAATGTCTAATAGCCCCAATACATTGAAGAGGGACAAAGACAGTATTATGTGGATTTTGTAGAATCTTAATTAACTCACATACCAGGAAGGCTCAACTTACAGCAGATCTATATAGCAATGGGTAGTTTTCAAGATTCTTTATGTCTTGTATGAAAAAAGTGTATGAATATTTTATTGCTATAAATTTAATGTTTTACCAGTAACAAACCCACCAAGTACAGAGAAGGCCAGGACTGATCATGACTGTTAATTTGCAAGCTTCCTTAAGCTGCTGGAGATGTTAACATGGAATGTTGTACTCAAAAAGAAACTTTAATCCTTTGAGTGTTCTGTGATCAGATGGGGTTAATGGTTAAAATGTATTTGTGCTTTAGAAGTTGTCTCTCCACGCAGCTACGTTTTGCTCAACAACTATATCCCTCCAACCTGAAAATTGTCTTGAATGTCGTTATCAATACAGGACAGTGTATATTGTTGTATAAGAATAGGAAAATGATTACTGGTTTGTAGCTGTTAACCTAAGAGCCTACTTTGGCTCTGTCAGCATGAGAAAGGGCAAGAATCTCATGCAATTAAAACTACCCTTTTTTAATTTATAAAAGGCAATTTCACAACAGTGGTGACTAAAAGGAGTAACAGGAACATCCAGTAATTAGTTACATGAAATTTCCCTTCAGATTTGCTAAAAGTAAGGAAAAGGGTTGGGGACTGAGCCCTGAAACTAACTGTAAACACTGTGAAAAAGCAAAACCTCAGCTTGATGTAAGGCTTAGACATACATCAAGCATTGTTGGTTCTGCTAAAGAAACCCAGGTATTATTTCCCATGGCAGCCAGTCCATTCAGGGCATATTTGGATGTTGCGCAGAAGTAGAGGGAAGACAGTATAGGAAACTCTTGTGTTTTGCCTTTTCATGCTTTCTGAAATGGGTACTCTTCCAAGGTGAGATGAGCCGCCACTCATGCTCTTTCTCATCTCACTTCTGTATAATATATGAAGCACCCTCAGTTATTGGATGAATGAGTGAGTGAGTGAGTGAATGAATGAATGAATGAATGGTGCCATTCCAAAGCTTCCTATATAACCGTTTTGTGGTAAGAGAAGCAAACACAGCTTCAAAAACTAATAGAGACCAGGAAAAAATATATTAGGAAAGCACTCCAAGGATGCGATGCAGTAGTTCCAAAAGATCTCTTAGGGATACTTAGGGTGCTATGAATCTATGATGGAAGGCTGTGGCTGGAATTTGTAGGGAATGCTGGGTCAATATATGTTCTGAAAAACAGCAATTCCTAATTTAATTCATACTTTGAAGTCTGCAGGCAATGTGTATGCAATGTAAAGCTTTTGTAAACTTCAGCTCATGTGTGCGTAATGTTTGGCCTCTGAGATGTTGCTGAACTACAACTCCCATTATTCCTGACCTTTGGTCATGCCTGCTAGGGTTGATGGGAGATGCAGTTCAGTAACGTCTGGAGAGCCAAAGGTTCCCCACTCATAGTTTAGCTGGTCTGATGAGTTTCACTACCTTCCTGTGACTATGCCCCCATGTTGCTGTCGTGCTCATCTGAGGCTGGCGGGAGAAGCTTTTATTGAGAAAAACCTTGGCAGGCCATACATTGTCCTATCCCTGATACCGGGAAGGGTGGGGAACTTGTGTGACACTGGGGACCACAGTGGAAATAAGTTATCAACAAGCTTATATCTACAACCACAATGATTAGACAAATGGGTATTTTAAATGAATGAAAAAGCTGAAATGTTTCAATTGCAGCCCCTCATTTTTAGAATGTTGTCCCCATCAAGGCCTACCTTGAACCAACATAAACATTGTTTTGGCACTAGGCATATGACTCTTAATGTAACATTCTTATGAACAGCTAGACATTTAAATTGGTTTGCTTAGTGACAATTATGAACATGTTTCTTTGGGGGCGCTATGGTAGTGGGGGCAAGGCTGGTGTTGCTTTTTGAATTGTATTGAATAATTTGTTGGTTGCTGTTACCCCTGTTTTTAGTTCTTGTATATTTCTATATTGTTTGTATGTTATATTGTAGATCACCTCAAGACCATTTTTAGTAGAAGGCATCTAAGAAATTTAAAACAATGCAATAAAGTAATTTAAAGCTGATTTTTAACAACAGCAAACAACAGTTTGCACAATGGAGCTTTAAGACTCAAGCAGCACTCCTGTTAATGGCAGCACTTTTGCAGAAATCCTGTTTTCCAGAGAGATCCAGAGAAAAGGATGTTCTAATAAAAATTAGGAGAAAAGTACCCTGGCCATTTGCAAGGAAAGAGGAAGTAACACTGCAACAAGTGTTTTACAAAGTGCCATGGATTGCTTCAATACCCTGTTTTATCTCAAGAAAATAACAAGAAATAAAACAAAGAGTACAAATGTCAATTTATCCATAATTCTTCTGGGGGTGGGGAACAGAGAGACAGAGAGAAGAGAAACAGGAAAACAGGTTTAAAATTCTAAGTTGAATTAATATGCTTAGTCCTGGCACTATTAAATTATCAACAAGTAAGAGGAACTGCAATTGTTTTAATAACTTTAAGAGATTATTGCATGTAACAGAATCTAGCACTCTGTGTTGATTCCCAAGGTATTCAGACATGCTCACTGGAGCATCCAGACCGTCATTATTTTTTCAAGTTAAAATTTAACAATAACTCCTGTAAAATTCCTGAAGGTTTGGGCGTTGCATTGATAAATAATATGGGTAAAATGCCTCCCAAACGTCTACGGTGCAACCTATATTCATTTCTATCAGGCTTGCATGAGATTCCTGCCTAAGTGTCGTTGAAAGGCATGGAGGTTGTATAACAGCAGTGGTTGGTGTGTAGTGCCTTTGGTGGATGTGGATGTCTGGAGAAACCTATTGATTATACAGTCTTTTTTTTATCATCCATTCCAGAAGCAGGAGCACGCTAACCAGTGATCAAAAACAGTGAATTGGTCTCAACAAACAACAAAGACTTTCACTCCCCTCCTAGCCATTACAAGATGAAATGGGATATTCAGGTTTCATAAGAAGTACTTATTAAGGAAACTTGCATCTTGTGAGTCTTTTGATAAAATTGTGTCAAGTGTATTCTATCAGAGGTAGAACCACCATTGTCTTTTACTCATCTGTATTTTTTGTGGAGAGAAAGAAGGGGGAAAGAAAACAAAACCAAACAAAAAACCTGACGACTTTTGGTTGCTTAATATTAAAGGGTTAGCACCTCTGGATAGTGGAGTCTTGCAATTTTTCACAGACCAGACATGGGAGCTGTTCTCAACAACACATTCTTATACTTCCAAGGGCTGTACAGACAGAGAACCTAAAAGCTAACCATCTGCAGACCCCTCTCCACACCTGGCCTGAATCTCTCTCTACTTTTTGAGGTACTGAACATTGAAGCAGGCTGCCAAACCACTGCATTTAAGAGGAGAGGTAACCTGCTCAATTGGCACAAGATGCTTTACCACAGTTTATACACTCCAGACAATCATTCCACTAACAAATGCATTCTGAAAGTCTTTGGCAAGGCAAGAAACCTTGTGCTCCCAAACCCAGGGTTCCCAACAAGACTGAATTGATCTGACAGCCATCTTCATACCTGGGAGGGAGTTGCAATATACACCTAGCTTTTTTCATTCTTCTTAATTCGAGCAAGGCCAGCACATGTGCTTGGTAGTGGATCTCATCTATGCTGGGCACTATTTCATGGAAGTCAGGTTTCTGTCACAGATCTAAGGCAAACATTACAATTTACAGGAAAGAAAATGAGGACATCAATACATTGTGCGTTGTTAGGAGATATACAACCTTTATAACACAGTAGCTTTTATTATTATCTCTGGGTTTTCTATGTCCTTTTTGCTTTGGACCATCCGCAGTTCCAGCTGGGCTGAATTGGGTTTGTTTCCTTCTCCAGCTTGGGCTTAAAAACAAAAGCAACAAAGAGACTGAAATGCCACAGGTGTTTAATTTTAACAAAAGCAGCCCAGAAGAAAAACTTGTCCCTCCCAGCCCTTCACTCCTTCCCGCCGACCCCCAAATCAATATGCTTGAATCTCAGCTCTACTGCAATTCAGGATGCAACAAGAGCACTGCAAGATCAGACCAAAGGTCCATCTCATGCAGCCCTTTGTTCTCCTCATTGACCAGCCAGATGCCTTTGGGAAGCCCACAAGCAATAAAACAACATGCCCCCACTGTTTATTTCCCAGCAGAATACGGCCTCTGAACACAAAGTACAACTTAGCTGGTATTAAAAGCCGTCCAAGCCATCTTGGGCAGCACACTCCTTAATTTTTTGTTATCTTGAGGATGGAGAACCTGTGGCCCTTCAGATGCTGATAGCCTTCAACTCCCAACAGCCCCAGTCACAATGGATAAGGATCAAGGATTCTAGGAGTCGTGGACCAGGAGAGCTGCTGGATCAGGCCACTGGCACATCTAGTCTAGAATCTCTCAGTGGCTCCCCAGAAGCTCACAAGCAGGACCTGACAAACAGCACACTCTGCTGGGCCTCCCAGCAACTGGCATTTAGACGCATGCTGCCTTCAACAATGGAGGTAGAACACAACCATAATGGGTAGTAGCCACTGATAGCTTTATCCCCCATGAATTTGTCTAACCCTCTCTTAAAGTCATCTGAGTTGGTGGCCATCACTATTTCACTGGATGACTCCCTGAGGGAAAAATACAGGGTTTATATTTGCCGTCTCTAAGCCAATGTGGTGCCTTCCAGATGTACAACCCCCCATGATCCTTGACTCTTGGTGATGCTGGCTTGGGGTGATTGGAGTTGTAGTCAAACTATCTAGACGGTATTATGTTGGCCACAGCTGCTCTAAACCACGCATAATTTTATTAGCATCTTTCATGCCCGCCCGCCCTCAGAATAGTTTTCCCAACCCCGAAGTGTAAATAAGGCCCTTCCTTTTGGTCATACACAATTACATTCAACACAAATTGCATTAAAGCTGATTATAATAGAGCACAATTCAAAATATTAATTGATGTGCATGATCTGTGTAGCATTGTTTTACAGAGTGGAATTTGTTTTTATATATAATTTTTTATTGAAACTTTACAACGTACAATGCAATAAACACCACCAAACTAAACTAAATAAAAATAAAGAAGAAAGGGAAAAGGAAAACAAAAAAGAAAGAAAACGAGAAAGAAAAACAAAAAACAAAAAGAGAAAATAGAAGAGGAGAGAGAGAGAGAGAGAGAGAGAGAGAAAATAAAATACAGAGCTCTCTGTCATGGGTAGATTTTAACCCTTATCTCACACAAAAGGGGGTGGACCCTCCCAGCTCTCACCTGGGAGATTTACAGAGTGGAATTTGTAAGTATTGCTCCTTATTTGCCCCTTAATTTGTAAGCATTGAGCCACTGCATGAAATTAAAGGAGTAATAGATGGTCAATTTAAAATCATGTTCATACCAAACTCAACTGAATTGTATATGGGCTGTACTACTTCGCTATGCCCCTTCCCTAATATGTATTTTCCAGTAATGGTAAATGAATGAATTCAGAAGCATGGTGTAAATAGGTTACCTTTTGCACACGTTATGGTTCTCTGCAAAACATGCTGCATGGCTGACACTGTCTTTTCACATGCCACCTGCAATTAGAAGGAACATATTTCAGTTTCACTGGCACTTTATTGACTCAGGCCAGTAGCACTACTGCTTTACTGACACCGAAGACAATTTGTTGGAGCTGTTTTCTTTGAAATATGTGCCCATGGGGAGAAACATCAAATTTAAATGCAATTTCACTAGGAATATGCAGGAGAAACCGAGTTGTAGGTAGCAGGCTTGATTTCTAAACAAAGCCTTTGGCACGTTATATTCTATTATTCCCCGAAATGAAAGCTTGAAGACAGAGTGGTATATAACACAATACAGATATTCTGGGCGTCAGCATTTAATACATAAAATATTTTAACATGGTATTCTCTTGCTTTTTCAGAAATTTTGAGACAATACCTCAGAAAGCTATAGTTGCTCATGGTATGTGCAAACATATGATGCTGTTGCCTTATACCAAATCAACCTATCAGTTCATCTACAACCACTCCCACCTCAGTATTGCCTATTCTGACTTGTAGCAACCTTCCAAAGTGTCAAGCACCAGTATTTTCCAACCCTACTGCCCAAAAACCTTCAACGTGGAGAGTATTTTAACTTGTATGCACCTTTTTGTTTTATTTTGACACTTCATAGCCTCTGTTCAAGCTGATCTTGCAGGTTTCCATAGCCCTTACTCCACCTAGGAACTAGCACCCAGCAGCATAACCAGCACTGATGCAGTAGACAGGTGTATAATTTGACACTGGAAGTGCATGAAGCCAACACTATCACATGCTCATTCTCATACCACTAACCTATGGTTTACTGATACATCTGAACAAGGGCATTCATCCTCTGTTGCTTTATATGGCCTCGTTTCCTTATCCTGTCGTCTTCATTTACAAATTTACATACTAAGAATTTAAAGTAAAGAAATGAGAATATTTTTTCTGTCATTGAGGCAGGAAGGAAAACTGGGGAAAGTGTCTGTCCATACTTTTAGATTGTCTGGATGCTTGTGGGTCCAGGCCAAGAGCATGGCAGCAAACAGGTCTCCCGTACCAACGAAGACAGCATCTACTTTAGGAGACTCCATTCGGATCCTCTGTGTCACTGTGGTCCCATCTTGTGAAGCTGTCAAGGAAGGCTCATATTTATATTCTTCTCAGTTTAATGTAATCAAACAGGAATCTGAGGTTAACTCATAGGTGGGCAACATAGCAACCATGCGCCAAATACAAGTGTCTACAAGTGACTTCCCCTACATGTGAAGGAAGGCTCTTGCAAATTGAGCAGACAAGGCCAATTGTGGTCCTTTCCTTTGGACCACACCAGCTAGGCCGAGAGGGGGGTCTTGTCGTCTGAGCAGCCCATGTACTCCATACACACTGCCCAGGCTTGCAGCCCGGGGAGCTCACTTCAGTGCTGTTAATGCAGTGAGCTGACTTCATCCCCAGAGGCACACTCCATTGTCTCTCGAGATGGATGGGTGCCGATGCCAACAACAACAACAACCACAACAATAACAAGTGCCTGCAAAATGTATTAGTCATATCTCGAAAGAAAGGTAACTTTGATTTATTCTTACATGTATCTGCATTTATATATGAAACTTAATTTTCAATAAATGTTCTCCTTTATTGTGGTCTGTATTTTTAATGTGTATGCATATGAGAAAGCAGGGCTTTCTCACTTAAACAAATAAATCAACTTACTTTTCCTGTGGCTTCCTAATGCTATCAGGTAATCATCTCCTGAAGGTGCCTGGAGGTCTGAGCTGGTGATTACAACCGTCTCGGGTCCCATATTGTGGAGCATATCCATTACCTTTCCATGGACCAAAATATTAAACAGTTAATTCTCATTGAAGAATAATGACAAATAGTTAAAAGTCCCAGCATTTCTCTAAAAGGCAGGCACTAATGTAAAATACAAACTTACAAGTATGTTATATTTAACATTTAAAAAGTTTTTATTAGTGAGAGCCACTATTTTTAATACCCTCCACCTCACGAAAAGCCAAGCTGCTCCAGTAACGCTGCTTTTGACAATTTGGGCAATTCTATACATGTCTGCTTAGAACAGGGGCTGTCAACCTGGTCCCTAACGCCCACTAGTGGGCATTTCAGGATTCTAGGTGGGTGGTAGGGGGTTCTACAGCACAAGCTGAATCCTCCTTCCATCGAGCACTGGAGAGCAGTAAAGAAATTTTACCATCAAGAAAGATGCATTAGTGGGCGGTAGGTATAAAAAGGTTGACTACCCCTGGCTTAGAAGCAAGCCCCCTTGCTTTCAATAAGCCTTATTCCCAATTAAGTTGGTATAAGATTGCTGCCTTGGAAATAACTCTTCTTCACTCAGTCCATTTTTGTTTCTAACAGAAAGAAAGGAAAGCAGTCTTCTTTCTCTAGGATAACAAAGTAGGATATCTGCATGGAAAACAAGAAGGCCTGGGCTTGGTATCCTGTTTGTGCCAAGAGACACAGGGCTGTTGCACAGTGACTACATGTGGGTATACTGCATGTATCAGGTGTGCTCTCCTGCCTCCCAGAGCCATATTTACCACGCTAAGATGGGACCAAACAAAATATTTATCAGAACCTTCACAAAACTAAAATTCCCAGGGTTATTTTGGGGAAGCCACTGTAATTAAACTAGTCTAAACTTGGCTTTGATTTACTGCATAGGTGGTTCTCAGCTCATAACTTTGCGGTTGTGGAAACAAAGGCCAAGGTTGTACATGATGTATTGCATGCCAGTGTGCCCCTGAGGGTAGCTGGGGCTCACTTTATGAGAATATTTCTAATGCCTGATTCAGCCAGCTCTTTGTTCCAAAACAAGTGTTCAGATAATTAAAAAAAAACACCTGTGTTAACTTGAGTGTTGCAGTATAATTGAGATGGGATTGTGTTTTAATGAGATGGCATTGTAACCACATTGTTTTATGCCTGGCTGAAACTTTATTATGTTTAAAGAGATATGTTTTCCCTTTCAGAATGGGACTGAGAAAATTCTTCAGTAAAGATTTTGGAATGTGACTAGAAAATCTATAGACCTAAAGTTAGCATCTTATTAACTTGTCAGGCAGTCCAGAGACTACTTAACTTGGGCTTGCTTCCATTAATGAGACTGAAAATGGCAAACAAAGCATTATAATTAGCAATGAAAGACAGGAGGGGTATTCCCTGGTGACTCCAGAAGCATTAAAAAAAAAAGGAGAATAAGGATAAAAATAGCCGTAATAGTCGGGAGATGCTTTCTGATGCAGGGAAAAGTGTAATCTGTGGGCTGACATTCAATTGGCTTTGCTGGGAGAAAAACTGCAAAGATCAGGGGCCTGTTTATTCTTGGCATCAGGATATTTGTCTAGACAGAACCTAATTAGCGAAACTTAACATCAGAGGACTTTACTTACAGGAATCAATAGCATTCAGTAGATTGCTGGAATATCTATGCTTCAGTACCCAATTATCCCATTTAAAGACAGGGTGTGTTTACCAGAAATTTAAGACTACAATCTAGTGGTAAATTATATCTATAGGACTTCCATAGCTATATCAGTACAGAACTGTGTCATGAAAACACATTCGTGACCATAACTGGGATGTTTGGGAACACAGTTGTTCCCAAACATTTTCCCCCTCCAGAGACCACTTGAAAATTGCCAAGGGTTTTGGAGGATCACTTATGGGTTGTTGTTTTTTCTGCTTCTTGTAGCAGTTGTAATGTGCTGTGCTACAGATGCTGTATGATTTTTGATTACATCTCTATTGCATCTTTTATTTCTTATATATTGCATGTTATGTGAATTCCATAGACTTCAAATTGCAATACAATACAAGAAATAAAAGCATCAATAAAAATACAATTAAAAATCAATATGAATATTTACTGTGTGGGATGTACCACCTGCCTTCTTCAACCACAAATCCACACATATGCTTCAGACCAGTTTGCAAAACAACAACAAGCCTATGGTTACATGAAACATATTCAATAAACACACAAGACGTAACCGGCTGTACTTTTGAATTAATAAGGTATACTATTCATTGTATCAAATGTAGATTTCAACAGAATTAGCTCATAAAGTTCAACGGAAAAAGCAGAAGACCCAGTGGATCAGTTCATTCTGTAATCAGTTCATGCATAAGGTCCATATGTGTACAGTGGTACCTCGGGTTACATACGCTTCAGGTTAAATACGCTTCAGGTTACAGACTCTGCTAACCCAGAAATAGTACTTCGGGTTAAGAACTTTGCTTCAGGATAGGAACAGAAATCGTGCTCTGGCGGTGCAGCAGGAGGCTCCATTAGTTAAAGTGGTGCTTCAGGTTAAGAACAGTTTCAGGTTAAGAACAGACCTCCGGAACGAATTAAGTACTTAACCTGAGGTACCACTGTAAAAGTGTCTGTTCCACCTGTCTGTTCTTGAAGTTCAACAATCCACATGAAAGGTTGTTACAGTTCCACAGAATCCTTTCACAGAGTCTAAGACAAGGATTTCTGGAATATTAGGCTTGTTTCGCCGTCCTGAATGCATGAACCGATGCATGAACTGATTACAGAATGAATTGATTCACTGGGTCTTCTGCTTTTTCCGTTGAACTTTATGAGCTACTTCTGTTGAAATCTACATTTGGTACAATGAATAGTATACCTTATTTATTCAAAAGTACAGCTGGTTACATCTTATGTGTTTATTGCAGACCACCGTATAGCAACCCTTGATCTAACACATAATTATCACAGCAGTATGAGTTACTACACTCTAACAATAGTTCTATCTCAAAACACAATTATTCCGATTTATCTTTTTATACAGCACACTTTTTAAATGTGCAGAGATACTCCACAATTGCCACTTTAGTTTAGCATCACAGTTTTCTGTGCCCGTTAACTGAATCTGCCCAGCCTGGATGCCAGCCTGGCTCTTTCTTCTGTCATCATGAATCAAAGCCTAAAGGAACAGCTCGCCATGCATCCATAGTACACTGACAAAACTATCTTCTCTTCTCTTCTTAATAATAGGGGGGAACTACCAAGAGCAAGAACTCAGGGCTCCTTCCATACCACTTACTGAATGCCGCATGAGACCCTGCTTTGCTGGCAATAGAAGCTGTTCAGCTTATTATTTTTCTTGTGGCTGATGGTTAAAGTAAAGGGGGCTTCTTTGTGGGTTGCCATGAATTTGTTTTGGAAATAAAGTAGTGCCAGGAGCTAAGATGTGGAATCAGGAGACTTGAACAAAGACATGATTGCACTAAAAGATCTTCTTTGGGAAGTGTCTTAATCAACCTTACGGTAAAGTCAGGATTGCCATATTTCAGAAAGTAGAAACCCAAACAATTTACGAAAATTCAGTCCGGGCGCCATTTTCAACGGGCAAATCCCAGATATGTCCAAGAAATTACGGACGTACGGCAGCCCTAGGTAAAGTGGAATATGCTTATTCTCATTTCCTACTATTGTTGTCACAGCACCAGCATGTAAGCACCAGGGGGCAGTACTGCAAAGTAAAGCAATGCTGAAAGTCAATTTTGAATTGCAAGTGTTGTTTTCTCCAGTGTTCAGTTCATTTCTCAAAACCAAAAAAAAGTTGCTCTATGTGCAGAATAAAGCACTGAATCATTAACATTTTTACAACGACATAGTTAATCCTAAACATTGTGGCTTTAAGTATGGTTAAGTATGGTTGAGTCCTAGTTGATACTTGTAAAACAGTTGTGGGCAACCTGCAACCCTTGGGCCCAGTTTCAAAAACCATGTGCAAGTGATGAGGTTAATTCTTGGGCATAGTGTGCCATAGTTTGCTTCTTTCTCGGTCATTTTGCAGCTGCCTTTTGCTGAGCTAAACCATAGCCTGGCTTAGTGTGTCATCTGAACTTGGACTTGCGGATTTTTTCTCCTGGACAAACCACAAGTTGCAATCCATAGGCCAAATTTCATTAACCCACTTGTGGTTTGTTTGGAGAGAGCTAAACTACGAGCCTGGATTCAGACAACATGCTAAGCCAAACCACAGCTTAGCTCAGCAAAGTGCATCATCATCATGACCAGGAAGGAGCAAAGCAGCTCCAATCTGCTCACCAGGAGTGCACAAATTTGCTTTCTTGCACTAAGCCATGGCTTTGCTTAACATGGTTTGTGAATGGGGGCAGAGAAAAGAGGTGGTCTTGCCCACTTTTGGCTCTGGTCCCACCTACACTTGTCACGCAGCCACCCCACAAATTAACCCCGAATACAAAAAAGTTGTCCACTTCTGTTTTTAAAGTTCTTACGTGCTACTAACCTGTGGTAAATGCATGGAAGCAGACCGACTGCACTAAGTGTACAAATGTCTACAAGCAGTCACAACAACCCTTTTTTGAGCAGTCACAATCACACAGCAATGGTAAGGGCTACAACAACTGTCACATGGAGGCACCACTCCATACACTTGACATCTCTGTGTGATTTCTACAAATCTACCAACAAGCAATTACACGGAGGCGTTAAAATGTTCTCACTGGAGCAGTTAGAAATCTAAGAGTTCAAGAACACCTACCTCTATAGCCTCTTTTTCAGTGTGTATCTTCCTCCCAGTAAGTAACCTACAAAGCAGGAAATAACAGTCCAGTGTCCTTTTAAAATAAACATCTTTTGCTAATTAAAATTTTAGCAATAAAATCTATAGTGCACTTTACTGGGGAATATCATCCTCCAACTTTAAATAAGATAAAACTAATGAACGCCACATTGCACAAAGATTCAAACACCTTCCCATCAAACTGGTCCTCTAAAACAAGAGACATGGTATAACAAGCCCCTATGTTGTATCCTTTGTCTTGGATATAGTATTACGGAAGCTCAAGAGTCTATCAAGTAGGGAACTTTTAAGGAAGGTTCTAACAACCTTCTGAGCTACTATAAAACCCTAAGTATAATTCTGGCCTCTTTCTTCGCAGCTGGTGTTTGAGGCTCATTCTTTAACCTATTTCTCATTCTTTAATCTATTTCTGTGTCATGTTTTATACAGTTCAGTGAATTTATGGGCTGCCTTGGTTCAACAGATAGAGAAACGTTGTTTGCATGGAGTTCCCTTTTGCACTGCTATCATATTTCATTTAATTTACTTCAGGTATTTTAGCCCCTTTTTCTGACACAGTGGTACTCGAAGGAGAGTTCAAGACAAGAAGGTATCATAAATTAATAATTCAAATTTATAAGACATTTATAAAAGTCTTCTTACTATCTTTGGCCAAGGCCTTCTAATCAAAAGGCTCTGAATGTTGTCTTACTAAGGTGTTATTCACTGTGATAAATGTATAAGTTTGCCTTCACACTAACAAATACAAGAAGTTAATCTATGTTGCTCATCAACCCTTGGCATCTTCTAATCCTCTCAGCTAACAGACCCTGTAAAATGATAGACTCAAACAGCATATGTACTCCATGTTGTTTAAACAATCCCAGCCAAACTAATTTAGCAAACTTACCAAAATTTAGATTTGTAAGCACGTGATTTTATATATGGCAAGAAATGTCAAGAATGCATTGAATATTAATTTTAATTAATTACAAAATGCAACTTATCATTTTAATGAGGATAATAATAATAATAATGAAAACAATTTATCTCTACATCTTTAAAAATATATGAGAAAAACAATACTTACTCAGCCTCAAACTGATTAGGTGTTATTATGTCTGCTACAGGCACAACCTTGTCCTTATAAACTGGAAGAAGATCCTTTGGAACATACTGTAAAGAATAAGAAAAATGATATTGGCTTTGGAAAGCTTAAGCAGATTCTTCATTATTCACAGTTTGTTCTAACAAAGTTCAAATCTCCCAAAAACAAATCCATGAATGAGCAGTTCTTCTTCTCAGCTCAAACCAGAAATTGATAAGCACACTGGTAGGAAGAGATTCACAACTATTACTGCACTTGGAGATTTCATATGAGGGACTGCTCAAAATTTGCTACATGCTGGCATCTAAATAAAAATACCGACTATCCCCAGAGGAATACTGTGAATGCCCCAATGTGTGTGTATATGTTTGTGTATGTGATTGTCAACATTTGCACATGAGTGTCAATAGCAGGCATAGGCAAACCTGGCCCTCCAGATGTTTTGGGACTACAACTCCCATCACCCCTAGCTAACAGGACCAGTGGTCAGGGATGATGGGAGTTGTAGTCCCAAAACATCTGGAGGGCCGAGTTTGCCTATGCCTGGTCAATAGTAAAAAAATTCTACACACAGTTCCAGCAAATTCTGCTATTCTGCTGCAGCAGAAAGAAAGGCTGCTGTGGTGTGGGGGGGATCACCTATTTTTTTAAGACAAGCTAAAGGTAAAGGTACCCCTGCCCGTACGGGACAGTCATGTCCGACTCTAGGGTTGTGCACCCATCTCACTTAAGAGGCCGGGGGCCAGCGCTGTCCGGAGACACTTCCGGGTCACGTGGCCAGCGTGACGAAGCTGCTCTGGAGAGCTGGCACCAGCGCAGCACACGGAAACGCCGTTTACCTTCCCGCTATAAAGCGGTACCTATTTATCTACTTGCACTTAAGGGTGCTTTTGAACTGCTAGGTGGGCAGGAGCTGGGACCGAAAGACGGGAGCTCACCCCGCCGCGAGGATTCAAACCACCGACCATGCGATCGGCAAGCCTAGGCGCTGAGGTTTTACCCACAGCGCCACCCGCGTCCCCAATAGACAAGCTACTTTCCGTAAATGGCTTTCCATACAGAGTAACCACCACGCAGTTGCACTTCAAGCAGCCAGCACACCACACACTCCACACATGCAGACAGAGTTTTCATTCCCTGTTATACTGATCCAGTCTGTATCTATGTCCTGAAGAAATAGGGTTTCTTTTGGTATAACGTTATTCATTAAGATGGGCCAAGACTGAGATGATTACCAACCATATAGCCTTCCCCACTCCACTTGTCACCCATCACAGGATCGCATACTGAAAGAGAAAGTTAAAATTGTTAATGCAGATGCAATAATGGCACCGTATAAGAGCACTTTTAAGTATGAAGAGCCAAGAGATCATAACCATGCCAGGCTCATTGAAAACCTCTATGGTAGTTACAATATATTGTTATTATCCTATGCTAGGAAATTGATCTTTGCTAAAAAAAAATACACACACAAACAAAACTTTGTTTGTACAGGATCCATAAAAGGATAGAAGGATTATAGGCTGTGAATCTGTCCAGTAATTTGAAGAGAACACTTCTCATACCTAGAGTGACCAAACGGTCAGACAGCAGCAACTTGAACAGGCCCTCTTAGAACTGTTTGAAAGCGATGTTAACCTATATTGATTCCAGCAAGCAAGGTCTTGTCTCATAGCTCCAGGATATCAGGCAAGACTTAAACAGCTAATGTAACGAAAGTTATTCAGTGACCTTTGAATCTGAATTCTCTCTGGCGAATGCTCCAGCACTCAGTTGCTTCTTTGAAATCAGAGCAGCTAAGTCAAGGCAGCAAGTTCCACTGTAACATCAGAGGAGATCAGTCTCTTGTTGCCAGACAAAACACCCATGAGCTGTGAACTTGCTAATGCCCTTTTATTGTCACTACAGCGCTGCTAAGAGATTTCTCTGATGTCCCAGCTGGTGACATCAAAACTAATTTACTCACAATAAATATCATGATCTATTTTTTATATACTATCAATGCCATAACCACTTTTGCCTTCCCTGAGCCTTTAGAGTTATGTTCAGGAGGGCCACCAATATCTTCCGTCTGTGAGATCTCCCTAACTACATAATGTAAAGTGAATAATTTGTATATTAGAAACTTACCATATACCAAATTGGAGTTCTGTTGTTTTAGCTCTTGAACAATATCAACCACCATTGCAAGGAATGATTTGTCTCTTGTGTAGCCTTTGAAGGGATAAGAGGGGAAATTAAGATTATGTTGGAAAAGTATTTTCCACACCCAATTTCTGTTCAGTGGCAGCAGCTCTATGAATTGGCCTGTAGTTGTCACTTCTATAAACTGGGGTGAGTTTGCTATATTAGAGTTTGTCTGCCTGGACATGTGGAAGGACTCTTAAGCCAATCTTTTTTCATAGGTCTAAGAGATCAAAGCAAAACACAAACACAGAAACCACTATAACCTTCCAAGCAGTTTTTCTGTTAAGAAAAGCATTCTCTTCCTTTAAGGAAAGACAACCAAATTTTCTGTCCAGGATGCAGATCGGCTGTAGTGGTTTTTACTTTCTTCCATGTGTGACTCAGTCATCACAAATTGAAGTGCCACTGGTCACATTTTGATCTTCATTTAGTTTTTCAGCTTTGCCAGTTCAAGTGCAGAGGACTGAGGATGGTAAATGTTATAAATGTATTCTTTATCAAGGGTAGAGCCCCTACTTTTGCAAACACACACACGTCAAATGGAACCCTCCCAACTTCTCCCCCCACAACCCCTCCAAAAACCAGAGTGAGCTGAAGGAAGTAATCACAGAAATGTAAAGTTGGAATGGACCCGAAGGTTCATCTAGTCCAATCCCCTGCAATGCAGGAATCACAGCTAAAAAAATCCCTGACAGATGACCGTTCAAGCTCTGCTCAAAACCTCCAAGGAAAGAGAGTACACCACCTTTCACGGTAGTCTGTTCCACAGTTGAACAGCTTTTACTGCCAGAAAGTTCCTCCTAATGCTTAGTTGGAATCTCCTTTCTTGTAATATGAATCCATTGGTTTGAGTTCTACCCTCTGGAGAAGCAGAAAACAAGCTTCCTCCATCTTCCACGTGACAGCTCTTCAGATATTTGAAGATGGCTATCAAATCTCCTCTCAGTCTTCTCTGCTCCAGGCTAAACATGTCCAACTCCCTCAACTGTCCCTCATATGGCTTAGCTTCCAGACCTTTTATTATCTCGGTCATCCTCCTCTGCACACATTCCAGCCAGAACCTTACATTTTTCCTATTGAAATATATTTTGTTAGTTTTGGCTAAGTTCTCCCATCTGCAAGCTGCAGCCACTCAGATCAAGCACCCACCCATAAGGGGCTTGTTGTGAGGCAAAGTGAATGGCATCTTAGAAACCCTGAATAAATACATAAATTTACTGTATAAGATGGCCGTGAACAGAATAGATGGTTTGCTATTCTGCAAAACCAAATGAAGCAAGAACTCCCCAGCCCCCACCTCTGCTCTTCAACACTGTTGAGTTCTAGAGGGTAATTCAGATGAAATTCAGAGCAAACTTTGCCCTGCCTATATAGGAGTGACCCTTATACATTTTACTCAAGAGTTATTCATTAGTTTAGAGAGATTACTTTAGCGAATAATTTACACGTCTGGTCATCATTCCTCAGAGAGTTTAGAAATATGGCCTCAGTTATATCCATGCCATACATTTAAAGCACTCTTACACCACTTCATGGAGAATCCTGAAAATTGTAGTTTGTTGAGGGTGCTGGGAATGGTAGCTCTGTGAGGTCATCACTCTTAACATACCGGAGCTCCCAGAATTCTTTGCGGGGAGCTATGCCTGTTAAAGTGGTGTAAATGTATGGTGTGGCAGTGACCTTAGTCTTAGGTCTAAACAAGACATAACAAGAGACACTAGGGAGACCTGAGACAAAATGTATTGTGAGGGACAAGGAGCAGCTGCTGCTCTGTGTGTTTTCAAACAACATATAGTACCAAAATAAAATAAAATGCAATATGATGTCACCACACTCTGAAACTCCCCATTCTCATCCCCTACCAGCCAATTATGTGAGATGGTGGCAAGGAGAAGGCCCGTGTGATATCATCACATGCCTCTGTTTTAATAGGCGTTATAAAGCAAAGAGCACAAAAACAGCAGCAACGCCATATCCCTTATAACAGTGACTTTAGTTCTTTAGTCACAATGTGTGATACTGAAAGTAGAGACCAAAGTCGCCACATGCAGTAGAAGCTGCTAAAAAAATTTATTTAGCAAGCTTGCCTGAACATGTAAACAGAGTTGCAGATAACTGCATTTAAATTTTGATTATTTTATTTGTATATTGTTTACAGCTGCTTTATGCATGCTGCTTAGAGATTCTATGATTAAATAGTTTATGTATTTGTCAATCTAAATAGATAAATAAATAAATTTTATTGCTCTTAGATATTAGATTAGCAATCCAAATTGGGTTCATTGGGATGTGTCTGTGTAGGGTGCCGCGTCCTGAGCCAATATTTTCAGAAAATTTTTATTGTACTCTCTTCCCAAACAATAAACAGGGCCAAGACAATGAGCAAAAATAAAGATTAAAATGAGAGTTTTAACCTCTATACCCAGCAAGCACAATGTATTAGCCAATGAATGTCTGAAATGTTATTTGTTTCACTGGTGCCATACTCTCTTTCATCAAAGCTTCTTTTTCCCACTTACACACAACTCCCTGAAAATATAGTTCCTCACAACTTATGCTTTCCTGAAAAGCTCTGAATATGGACACAGAGTAATACCTTAAAAATCAACTTTAAATGATATAGACTTTCCAGTCTTGGAATTACCTCAATTATTTCAAACTATACTTTGAAAAAAGCAACCAGATAGAAGCAGGATAAGAAATAAAATAAAAATAAGCAATAGTGCAGGTAGAAAAATATTTTAGATGGCCAGCTGTGGTTGGTAAAAGAAAGCAATTCTGTGAAGCTATTCTGTCATTTTGCACGTTAAGATTTTCCTCAGGGGGAAAATTAAAAAGGTCTTCAAAACAAATGGAATCTGTTTATGCTGAAAATTCATTGCCACATCAGTGCGATCTCATTCACTTTGTTATTAAATATCTCCTTTACCTCCAAGAACTCCATGGAAACCAGAGCAAGGGGAAATAAACTGTCAGCTGTGCAATACCCTTCATGGCAGAGTAGCCTTTATGGGCGATAATTCTGGACCTGTATCATTAAATTTCCCCGTTATCCCCGGCTTTGAAACCACCTCCCTTCTTGAGGAAGTTATATAAATCAATATGGCAATCAATTTCATCTAGCAAGTTTATAACAAGCCTATTCACTGCAGTAAGGAATACAGAAAATGAAATTTAAAACATATGCACTGTATGCATTGAGGTGAAACTATGTTATTAATAATAATCTGCAGAAATGTGAGCGAGGGTATTTTGCTGGATGCAAAGCTTTATATTACAAGCTTCCTGCTGAGGTGGCCTTTTAAAAATGCTTCTCCTAGAGAGGTAATGCAGACATAACACTGAGTTATCTCTTAACCACGTTTAAGAGATTGAGAGAAGGCCACCTAGGACCCCCTTTGCCTTAAGAACAGCTATGGAATCATTTTACCCTCAGCATACGTATTTCAGGTTCTTTAGTGGCCATGAGAACACTCTCGCAAAAATTAAGAAGCTTACCTGTAAGTACATAATCGTAATGATTTACATTGTTCAGTTTCAGTCCTTCATATAGTTCATGAAGTTCATCTGAATTTAACACCTGCCCCTTCCAGTGATCATAACCTGAGCAAAGAAACAGACCAAATAAAGTTACAGGTTGGCTGGATTAAGTAAGACTACACCTGGTGGTGTATTCCTCTGGAACTGGTCTGTACCTTTTTCTCATTTAGATTGCGCTAACCCTTGCTGTAATGTCTCTTTGGGGAATTATCTCCGGTTTGGGGAATTGTGCAGCAGATGGTGGCAGGTAACTTGACAGCTTGAGGAACGGATACCCATGAACACCCAGCTGGTACTACACATATTGAGGTCTGCAGAGCTACCTTTAGGCTGTCACTACAAAGGTCATTTGCTCAAGACCTCTCCCCTGAGGGATCCTTCATGGCCAGAGGATGTTCACACTAAGTAAAGAATGTAATATAGACTGTGGGTGATTGGCAACCCAATCATTCCTGGTGATGAGTGGAGGAAGAGTGCTGCCTTCACTTTCTGATGGTGTCCACACTACTAGGAACTGTCCCTCTACTCACCCAAAGACCCATAGCAGGCTGCAATGTTCAGAAAGCCCTGTGGGGTAGATGGAATCAGGTCATAGGTCATATCTGACCTACAAGACAAAGGTTCCCCATCTAATGACAGATATTTACATCCAGGCCTTTGGGGAAAACTGACGTGTTTCAAGTCAGTTATATTTTTATTGTCTATTGATGATTGGTTTATTGTTTATTTTGAATTCATGTTTGGTGTGTATTATAGTGTTTTGTTAAATTAAATGTTACTGTTTTAATTCCATATATTGTAAACTGCCCTGGGATCTTAACTGATGAAGGGCAGTTTAAAAATGGAATATGCAAATAATAAATAAAGCAATGGCAGTTACAGCCTGAACACTGGAAACAGAGGGAATGATTGACTCCACAGCATCTCCAGCACAATAATCTCATTAAAACTGAAATTGTTGTGGCAGGTTTTGTAGGGGAATGAGTGAGAGCACTAAAACAAGATTAATCTAGTAATTTCTGACCCAATAAATGCATTTTCGAAAGGAAATAAATCAACATTAATAGTCCTGTTATTATTTTGTGAAAGCAACTGGGGTTTTCCAAATATAGAATCAGAGGAAAACTAATCACATTCCACAAGTGAAAGAACAAAAGGGTGTTCCTAAAGCCACCTGAGGCATGAAATCTACCATCTGGCTATAATAATTCCCCACATTAGCTTTGGTTAGGGAGTTCACCCACCTGCTTTCGCTGACCCCTTTTATAAACATAATAGCATTTTGGTATCTGATGGTACAAAAGTTCAAAGATGAACAGAAGTGGTGCCAAGAACACTTTTGAATAAACTCTGAGAGGGAGGGAAATAGCCAAAGAGCATTCAAGGACACAGTGTCCCATTGTGACTGGCAGGAGGTACTGGGCAAGCAGTAAATGGGTCAGCATACTATAATATGTTATCCTTGGAAACGAAGGTTCAAATTTCCACTCTTGTTCCTCCCAAAAAAAAGGGGGGGGAGCATTTTCCTTAATTCTCCAACACAGTTCTGCAAATTTATTAGCCTTGTTCAAATCAGAACTGGTTCTGCAACAACAGGCATCAAGGATAGCTTTGAACATGACTTTAAACCTCTCTACTCTGTGGTCTTCCTGATGCCTGGGTGCTGAGCTCCTGATCTGTTGTTAACCAATAAATACAACCATCCTGCCTCCTGGTATTAGGGTAGACCCGTTGCAAGGTTCCTCACACAGGATGCTACAGAGCCAAAACCCACGGGAGGCTACAGAGAATGTCTGAGTTAGCATCAGCATTCTGCAGCATGCCTCAGTGGGAAATGTTTGGCTGGAAGCATGTGCTTAAGCCATCCGTATTCAGGAGTGAGAATTCCTGTTGTGAGAAATCCTGTTTGGATCCCAGTCCAACTGCATCCCCAAACGTGAAATTAAACAATGCATCTGAGTTTACAACACACACCTGTTTTGCTTTTCAAGCATAGGAAGCAAACCAAATGAGTCCTTTATATGCATGCTAATAACAAGTCTGCCAAACTGTTAAGAGCAGGCCAAAAGCCTATCAGGGTCTATTTCCTCCCCCTTCCCCCAAAACATTTATATTCGTACACATGAGAGAGAGCGTGACAAACTGAAACTGTCTCCCCCTTTCCCCCGTTTCTTCTTCTTTTAAAAAAAGAGCATCTACGTAGGCTGTGTGACAAGCTCCTTTTATTCGAGCGTGAAGCACAATGTCGTTTGGAGGTGAGTCACTCACTCTAATCATACAGTAAATACTCCTCGCCAGGCAACTTAGCCAACAGAGCTCCCTCAGGGCTCCAGCTTAAAATGCTCTCTCTATATCAGGAGGATTAAAAGAAGGATATTCTTGAGCATCACAAATAGCATATCAACATCTTCCTTTTCCTTAATGTAAGGAACAGAGTGATTCAGAAAAAAACAAGTGTCCATCGGAAGATGTTTTAATATATGCTCCTTATCTCTCTCCTCCCTCCCTCGCCAATATCAGGAAGTCAATTTCTTTGAAGTAAACATGAAGTCTATGTATGGGCAGGTGCTTATAGTGACAGATGACAGTGTCAATTTGCCACTGGGTAGCCTCAGACAAATTAATACCAACCTTAGTACCTCTTAGCATTCTTGTGGGGATAAAAAATAGCTACCTCTACAGATGCTAGCCCAGGCTTCTTGGAGGAGAACCCAGAAGGAAATGTAATACATACACAAACAAACAAACAAACAAACAAACAAACAAACACTCTAAGCATTTGATTGTCAAATCCTTCATCACTGGAGAGATAAGGGGCTGCTGTTTCCAAAACTTTTGGAAGCAAAGTAGTTTCCCTTTAAAACATGTGTTTTTTTAATGGCCACTGGAAAAGGAGGAAGAAAGATTTGACCCACTGTGTGAAGTAGCGGCAGAACGTGCTTTAATGGCACCTGGGGCACACACGCTGGGAGGGCAGGGATCGGAGGGTGAAAGGAGCCTACCACACGCCAGCCCAGCCTTTGCTGCCAACACGGCCAGAGCAACACCAGGCCCAAGCTGCTTTGCAAGGCTGGAATGATCAGACTCAGATGAAAGTCTGATGCAAGAGTCTGTTCTTTATGCTCCTTTGATATCGAAAAGCTTGCTCCTCTCAATACCAGCAAATAAAGAGAGGTAACACAATCCTAACCTTGCCTAGGGGACCATCAGAACAGTAGAGCCACCACCACATCCGAAGCCTTGTTGGCTCTTGCTGGTCTGGGTGGAAGGTGAGAGGCGGTTTCCTTGTTGTTGATGATGTTGTTGTTTTGCAGCACCAATTCCAGGCTGGCACAACAGAGAAGATCCATCTGACAATGGCATAGGAGTCAGTGGATTCCTGTTCGAGTCCAGCTCTATCCCTGAAATGCCCTGTTTGGGGGCTTGACACTGACTACTGTTAATGGGATGAACACCAGCTGTAACCACCCATCCGTTCAGGTCTCCACAGCAGCAAGAGATCAAATCTAATCCCTCCTCAAGTCATCAACATTGGAGAGTTGGGAATGGTCCCTGAGTGTTTTGTATTCTTAACATTTATTTAGGATTATACATAAGAATGCCAGAGGAACCTGCTCGACCGGGTCAGAGGCCCATGTAATCCAACAACATGCTCTCATAGTAGATTTCATATGTACCTACGGTAGGTTTGGGGAACCTTTGGTCCTCCAGATGTTGCAGAATTACACCCCAGCGAGAATGGTCAATAGCCAGGGATGACGGGAGTCGCAGTTTTCAACATCTGGCAGGTAAAAAGTTTCCCTGTCTGGCCTCTAGGAAGCAGGCCCTGAGACCAGCAGCACTTTCTCCACCTACAATTTCCAACAATGGCATTCAGACATGCTGCCTCCGGAAGTGGAGGCAGAGCACAGCCTTTTCCTCCATTAATTTGTCGAACCCTCTTTACAATCATCCAAATTAGTGGCCATCACTACCTCTTGTAAGAGAGAATTCCGTAACACTTTCTTTCGTCTGCCCTGAATCTTCCAACATTTTTAGTTCTAGCTATTAGATATGGAGAAAACCTTTTTGCTATCCACTTTCTCCACACCATGTCTAATCCTATACAACTCTCTCATGTTCCCCCCCATTCATATTTTTTCTAAACTAAAAAGTCCCAAATTCTGTAATCTTCAGTCCAACCCCTTAATCATTTTAGTTGCCTTTTAATGCACCATTCCCTGCTCCACAATAGGTGTTTTGAGGTGAGGCAACCAGCACTGTACACAGTATTCCAAGTGCAATCACACCATAGATTTGTATGATGTTGGCTTATTTTCATTCCCTGTCCTAATGATCCCTAGCATGGACTCCTAGCGGCTGCCACACTGGGTCAACATCTTCACTGAGCTACTCACTTTGACCCAAAGTTCTTATTCCTGGTGAGTCACCACAAATTCAGATTCCATGCGTGTATTTGTTGAAATTAAGATTCCTCCCCCCTCAACAATGTGTATCTCTTTACACTTGCTTACCACTGAATTGCATTTGCCATTTTACCACCCACTGACTCAGTTCAGAGAGATCCTTTTGGAGCTCTTTGTAATCACTTTTAACTACCCTGAACAATTTGGTACCATCAGCAAACTTAGCTACCTCTCTGCTGATCCCCAACTCTAAAATCATTTAAAGGTAAAGGGACCCCTGACCATTAGGTCCAGTCGTGGCCGACTCTGGGGTTGCAGCGCTCATCTCGCTTTATTGGCCGAGGGAGCCGGCGTACAGCTTCCGGGTCATGTGGCCAGCATGACTAAGCCGCTTCTGGCAACCAGAACAGCTCATGGAAACACCGTTTACCTTTCCGCCGAAGCGGTACCTATTTATCTACTTGCCCTTTGACGTGCTTTTGAACTGCTAGGTGGGCAGGAGCAGGGACCGAGCAACGGGAGCTTACCCCGTTGCGGGGATTTGAACCGCCGACCTTCTGATCGGCAAGTCCTAGGCTCTGTGGTTTAACCCACAGCGTCGATCAAGTTAAAAAGCACAGGTCCCAGTACTGATCCTTGGGAGACCCCACTTTCTACATCCCTTCATTGGGAAAATCCATCCCCTTTTCCGTAAACTAAAAGCATCTCAAGAGAATAGATATATGTATATACATACCTGTATGATTTGAAAACTGGACAGAGTTCACAGTATCTATTTCAAAGCCCAAAACCTGCAAAAAACCAAATAATACTTATAAACAAAATTCCTCCTTATTCTAGGGTAGCGACATATTTCTGTGGCCCACTATGCATTTAAGTACAGTATGTTGATTACTAAAAGCTGGGTAATTAATCAAACCCATAAACAATAAAACGCTTCTGCTGGAAGTCTCCCTTCTTCTGCCAACACACACAGTTGAGACATACTGATGAATAAACTAAAATAGAAGGTAAACAGGGCAAACCTGTAAAGACAATATTACTGCAATAATAAGGACAGGAAGAAAAAAAGGTAGAAAATATGAATGTGCAGTTCTCAGGATCCCAAGGGCCTAAAAGGGGAAACTCTTGGAGGATGAGGGAAGGTTGTTTACAACAAACATTAATATTTTGTAAGAGTGCAAAATCTAATAAACAGCATTCCTTTGCAGTGATTTGATATTGCAGAGAATTATGATGCAACATGCAAAAAATCCCTCCCCGAAAACAGCCAAGCCTGGGAGGGAGGAGCGGGTGAGATGGATATGTGTATGGTGTTGTAGCAAAGAGGTAAATGACTCTTTGCAGTAGCAATAGAGATAACAGTAAATACCGTATATATTTATCTGATATTTCAAGGCATGCTACATTTCCATCCATTGCTTAAGTCTTAGGCTGCAAATATGATGGAAACATCTGACATTTAATATATTTGCTCTCAAACCTCTCTTGGTAGGAATAAAATAGTCTTCAAAATAAAAGCTACTATATACAGCAGAGTGAGTCACAGGGAGACAATAGTAATAGTGCAGAAATCGTGTATGATCCATTTTCAAGCAATTTGCTGGCAGTTTAACTGAAGCTTTGCTAGTCACGCCGTACACTGGGGGACATTGTGTCTTCCTTGACATGACAGGGTAGCCCCTCCACGTAAATTTAAGCCACATAACTAGGCTATGCTATACTAAAGTAAGACTCATATTCAGATTCACTCACAAAATATCTGCAGATTGCAATATTTTTTTCCCCTGTGGCCTAGGGAAGTGTACAGATTTGATGAATCTGCAGCAACCACTAATAAAGCTGGCTTCTTGGTTCTTTGCAACCACAGCTGCATTAGCTTTAAAATATAGGGACGACAGTTTATTAAGAGCCCTCATACCACTCCAATAATTTGCTCTCACAAAGGCAGCTGTGTGAATGTGGCTGCCCAAGCATAGCTGTCAACCTTCCCTTTTTTTGCGGGAAATTCCCTTATTCCAGCGCCATTTTCCCTGCTTCCCGCTGCTATCCCAGATTGTTAGATATCCCATAGACTGTCCCCGGGACAGGTAAGGCTGCTGATCCCTTATTTTCGAGGCTACTGATCCCTTATTTTCAAATCTGAAAGTTGACAGTTATGTGCCCAAGATATCCATGCACACATATCCTGACATCATCTATGGTAGCGTATCCAGCCCCCTGGATACTTCCCAGCAAAGGAAAACTAATGTGAACTGTTATTACTGCAGTAAAACACAGAACCATAGAGCTGGAAGAGATCTGTTTGTGTACTGGCCACAACAGTCTTCAAAATGAGACTATTGCAATGCATTTGACGTCTGAAGACTACACTGGTATAGAACAAGGCAGCTAATTGGTACTAGCCACAGGAATATCTCACCAGTGTTAAAATAGCTCCACTGGCTTCCTATGTGTTTGCGACCAATATGAAAGTGCTGATTTGATAACCTCTAAGAGACCGTTATAGCTTGGGACCTGGATATTTGAAGGACCACCTATTCCCATACAAACTTTAAATAGATAGGTAGGTAGATAGTATTTATTAATGTCCAACACTTAATAAAAAATACTGGTAGGTTGAGACAAAACGGCACTTGGAGAAAGGCTGTTTTTGAGCTCTGTGGTTTATTGTATCTTATTTTATTTTAAAGTTTATTTGTTTTAATAAACAAATAAACACGAGGGGAGCTACAGCCCAAAAGTATCTGGAGTGCAGCATGCTGGCACCTGTGATCTAGGATAAAATCAATCACACTTAACATTAATTGTGACATATGTGGACTTTTCCTAGATCAGGGCCCAAGTTAGTACAGCTTTCCTAATTGATTGTTTTTAAAAATGCAATATTAAAAGTTACTGGTGCTAACATTTTTTAAGCTCCTTGTGTGACCAACATTAGTATAGCTCCTTTACTAGTGAAATCTCATTGTGAGCAATTAGAATAATGTAAGTCAGCTGAAAGCCTGAGTGGAATAAGCAAGCACTTATGAAACTGGATCCATATGGTCATTTCACACAGTTTAATTGAAGAAGAAAGAATTCAAGCTGGTAACCATTTGTCACGGTTCACTAAAGCAAGCAGTAGCTATAGTTATTGCCTGATAAATGCAGTGAAGGCCACCTCAAAATCACCACTGATTGCCTCATAGACCGTTGCGATGTGATGAATGCCCTTTAGCCAGGCACTGAATATTTCACCCGTCACATACACGTGCACTCAAAACTTTATGCACTTTTGAAGTCTATGTGCTCCATACACTATAGGAAGATGTGTGTGTTTTATATAATTCCATGCAAGCTTTCTTTCTTCAAGGACCATTTGAAATTCGACCAATATGTGTCTGTCTGTCTGTCTCTCTATCTCTTCAACTTAAGAACAGCGGAGACAAAGAAACTGAAAGTGCTGAGGAAATAATTGCAGAGCCAAAATAATAAAGAACTCTAAAAGATACAACATTTCCATAGTAGCTCCTTAAAATTCTAACTCCATCTTAAAGACAAGCTGGCCACCACCAAAGTGGGGAAAAACACCACTCTACTTTGCAGTGAATTATTGCTTTGATTAAATAGTCATTAGAAACAAGAAGAATGCATTACTGCGATTTCTAATAGATACAGATAGCCAAACAAGTAAGCCACAGTGTTTACTGGTTGTACAACAGCAGGTTTAAATTGCCTCGTATATCAGTGTCTGAATGCAATCCAAAAGGTTTGTAACTATAGAGAAAGCCTATACACAAGCCCAAGTCTATACAAGCCAGGATCCATCTCCACTACCCATCTCATGAGTACAGGGGTAATGCATCTCATTTCGCCTCCTGAGGCAAAACCGGAAGTGCCACCCTGCTGCTGCTGCCACCACTACCACCATACCTGCTGTTGCTGCCACTGCCTACACTCCCTGCTTTGCTGCCATGTGCCCTGCTGCATTGGTCACTGGCAGAGAAGAGTTGCTGCCATCAGTGCCCTGCAATCCTTGGATGAAAGGTGGTATAGAAATTTAATAAATAAAACATTTTGGCCTAGTCCCCCTTCATATTCCCAATTCCAATAACTGAATATATGAACTCAAGTGATCTACCTTATAAAGAGTCAAAGCATTAGTTCATCTAGCTCAGACGGGAGTTTCTCCCAGCCATATCTGGAGATGTCAGGGATTGAACCTGGGATCTTTTGCTTGCAAAACATGTAACATTCTACTAAGCAACAGCTTTTCCGCAGCACAACTTGTATGGAGGGGAGAAGAGAATGGCTGATTTGAAGACTGGGAAGGTAGTCAGATCTGCGTTTGATGGGGAGCCTTGAGCAAAAGGAATTATTTTCTGCATTTCAAATTGATTGTTACAAGCCACCTATTCTGACATCCACCCTGCGTAATAACTGGATAATAACACTATCTTACTACCAAGCATAAGTTCATTGTGGTCTGTTTCAGATAGCTGGAGGTTTTAGTTTTCCCAACAGGACTCACGTGACTAGATCACATATCTTTTGACAGAATTGTTCAGAAAATTACATACCCACTTTTAAACGTTCATCCATCTCAGCAATGAGTAAAGGTAAAGGGACCCCTGACCATTAGGTCCAGTCGTGACCGACTCTGGGGTTGCGGCGCTCATCTTGCTTTATTGGCCAAGGGAGCCGGTGTACAGCTTCTGGGTCATGTGGCCAGCATGACTAAGCCGCTTCCGGCAAACCAGAGCAGCGCACGGAAACGCCATTTACCTTCTCGCTGGAGCGGTACCTATTTATCTACTTGCACTTTGACGTGCTTTCAGACTGCTAGGTTGGCAGGAGCAGGGAACGAGCAATGGGAGCTCATCCCGTCACGGGGATTCAAACCGCCAACCTTCTGATCGGTAAGTCCTAGGCTCTGTGGTTTAACCCACAGCACCACCTGCGCTGCCCAGCAATGAGTAAACACGAGCTAATCTGAGTACCTAGTCTGATGACTGCAGACCACACAGGGCCAAGATGAGCAATGTCTGCAACGCATTCAAATACTGCAAGCAACAATGCACACTACAAGGCAGGTACCACCAGCCTTTAATAGCATCATTAGATGCAGCTAGTCACGTCTATGCCCGAAACAAGCTCCCAATTTTCCATTTCTTCACCAAACAAAGTTAAAGAGGAATATCTTAAACTTTGGAAGGATGGAACAAAATAAAAAAAACCCTTCCAGTAGCATCTTAGAGACCAGCTAAGTTTGTTCTGGATGGGTACGTTATCCATGCATTGATCTTTTGGGGCTGCACTAGCAACATCCGAAATCTTTTTATTATTATTAACTTTTGAGGATACTGCTTCTGAAATCCCAGGGTGATAGACTGCACTTACTGCTTACTATTCTGTGGAATCAACTGAAAAGTTATGGCGCAAAAAAACTAAAACAAAATAGAGCCACATCAAAAACTGTTTGCCAAATCAAAGTAATGCCACAGTTTGTTTTAATCCACAGCATGCTCTAATCTCAGTTCCTCGGTCCCCTGATGGAAGTGGCAAGATGCAAGGCAGAGTGGCACTTCATTGCATGTCAACTGCATTGCAGGATCGTGACACAGCATCAGCGGCGTAGCGTGGGTTGTCAGCACCCGGGGCAAGGCAAGTAATTTGCGCCCCCTAACCCGGGACGCGGGTGGCGCTGTGGGTAAAGCCTCAGCGCCTAGGACTTGCTGATCGTCAGGTCGGCGGTTCGAATCCCCGCAGCAGGGTGCGCTCCCGTCGTTCAGTCCCAGCGCCTGCCAACCTAGCAGTTCGAAAGCACCCCCGGGCGCAAGTAGATAAATAGGGACCGCTTACTAGCGGGAAGGTAAACGGCGTTTCCGTGTGCTGTGCTGGCTCGCCAGATGCAGCTTGTCACGCTGGCCACGTGACCCGGAAGTGTCTTCGGACAGCGCTGGCCCCCGGCCTCTTAAGCGAGATGGACGCGCAACCCCAGAGTCGGACACGACTGGCCCGTACGGGCAGGGGTACCTTTACCTTTACCTTTAACCCGGGGCAAGGCAAGTAATTTGCGCCCCCTAACCCCTAACCTGCCGCCGCTGCCAGCTTCTTCTTGCTGCTGCCTGGTCTGGTCTGGTGTGGTTCTCTCCCGCGCTCAGCGCTGCGCTGGGCGGCCGCTGCACTGTCCCTCCCCCAGATAGTCCCTCGCTCTCTCTCTGCACCGCACGCCTGGCACCCACCCCCTCCACAGTGGGCGGCGACCCAGCGGCTCGGATCGGATTCGCACAGCCAGCACTGCAGTGAGAGAGAGTGAGTGAGCCAGGTAGGGGCAGAGAGCTGCGAGTGCGAGCGCACCCCCCCCAGATGTTGCGCCCGGTGCGGCCGGCCCCCCCTGCACCCCCCACGCTACGCCACTGCACAGCATAGCTCCTCTACTGGAACATTCCAAAGTTCTCAAAGTGTTCCAATACACGTCACCAAATTAGGAACAGTATTTAAGAGAGTGCATCTGAACAAATACGCCTGTCTTCAGTTTATCAGGATAGCAGCTTAGTTGTTAATTTCCAGACAGAAACTACAAAATACAATTAGACAGCTTTGTGCAAGGCAGTTTTACATAAATCATTGGCGTTCCAAGTGTTGTCCTGCAGGCAAGGTTTTTCTTTAGAAGCCTAAAATTTTATAGTAAATCACTCAAACCATTTGAAAGTTATTGTGCTTTAAAAGCAACAATGGTTTTAGATACAGGAGATTTCTTTCTTTCTTATTAAGTTGCGCATCTCAATATGTGAACTTTTTTCTTCTTCAGATTAAGCAGCTGTCAAGTAGGATTAATAATGCATTCTGAGATTACCGAGTCTCATATCTTCAGCCAGAACTTTTTCTTCTGTATACTCCCCACCCCAGCTTTGGTTGCCACCTTGAGGGGGATGGAAATTGTAATTGCTCATCGGCACATTAATTCATTTTTAGAAGTATGAAAATCAGAACTCTTTATTCCTCAGCACTGAAGCAGAGCTAGCAACTTTTTAAAAATGTGAACAGCAACATTAAATCCCAGTCAGGACACTCTGAACAGGTGCCACCCTTAAAACAGCAAAACACACATATGAACAGCTTTTCCCTTCTGTCTGCCAAAGGCAGCAAGAGGGGTTTGCCATCCATAAATACCTTCTTTCACTAAAGGCCCATGGCTGGCAAGAAATAATGGAAGAATCTTGAATTAGAAGGTGGGGAAGAACCTAGAACAGGCATAGGCAAACTCAGCCCTCCAAATGTTTTGAGACTACAATGCCCATCATCCCTGACCACTGGTCCTGTTAGCTAGGGATGATGGGAGTTGTAGTCCCAAAAACATCTGGAGGGCCGAGTTTGCCTGTGCCTGACCTAGAACATACCTGGCTAGATCAAACTTGCATGGTGCTTTCTAAAGGATAAAACATATTGCTTTGAATTCAAATCCAAAACAAAAAGAAAACACCATTAATTCATTCTCTATGCTGACTTTATTTTAACCAAAAGAAGTCACTGAAATAATTGTTATTTTTGTCATTGTTGTAACTAGTCTAATCACTGCTGCATTCAAAATAAACACTCACATGCCATTTTTTTCTTCCTTTAAATCTACAACAGTCTTAAGTACAAGTTGATTGTGGTACAGGTCAAGTAGTGTTACGTCCAACAGAAATTGAGGAAAAGGAAAAAAAGAACGTATTGTGATTTTCACAGCAGTTTTATGAAGATCCTCCACTCTAAACAAGAAAAAACTATAAACTGAACACAAGAAGAAAGACACCTGGATCAAATTCAAGGAGGTTGTGCAATCAATGGAGGGCAGAATCTGCCTCGCAAATACTTGTGCTGTGACATCAAAGAGAAACTCATTCAGAGAAGATGCACAAGCTGTATTTAAATGCTGCAGTGTAAATGTAAAACACTTTGTATATCTGCTTATCTACTATTAAGAAAGATTGAGGTGGCCACTTTAGACCACTGAATTTAGGTATCAAGGGTTCTATGAACATTGGGCTGGCCCTGCAGTAGATTAAAACATATGCCAAGTTCTGGGGAAAGTTGGGATTGAGTTTGTGAGGGGTCTCTAATTAGCATATATATATTTGTGGGGGGCATGACTATTCTGGGAAATTCTAGCCTAAGGGGGGGAGAGAATTACTATTAAAAATATTGCTTAAAAGAAATACATTTACAATACTCAAAAGCTATGTTAGAAAACTACCTTTATTTATCTTAGGTCATTCAAAATATCACAAAATAGTGTGCAAACTTTCAGAATCTCTACTATTCTCCTCTTTTGAATTCTCAAAAAAAAAAAAAAAAAGCAAGCTTGCTACTACCCCAATATTATGAATTTTTCCTATAGGTCAACATGACTGCTGTTACGTTTTGTAAAACTGAGTTCCCCTCAGATAAAGCGGCTTTAAAAATGCAGCGTAATCTCAGAGTAGAACATAATGGCCAGCATAGGTCAACCAATCATAAATTGGTCCTACTCAATTTGTATCTCTTGTTCTCTTATTATTTAGCACAGCACATCAAGCTTATATAATGGGACTACATAGTTTAGCTGTATTTGAAAGAAATGAATACAGTGAGGTACCAAAATCTCATTAAGATTTTGGAGATATATTCCGGGGCAATAATGCAATACAGTGGGTAGGCAATTGACTTAAAGATAAGGAACAAAGCAACAATAATGCATCACGCTGGCAAGAGGCATTGAGCTAGCTATTTCAGGGTGTAAGAGTGGAAACAATGCTGATTCATGTATTCTATTATGACCCTGAAGAGGTCATGATTGTCCAAAGTAGGAGTCTACATTTAACTCTCAACGGTTTTACTTTATGTAGTTTTGAGAATTTATAAAACCAGCAGCAAATGATGACTATTGTGTCTAAATCTATGGCTTGTCATGAAAACATAAAATAAAGTCTTGTAGTTGTACTGTTATTGTTGTTTAGTCGTGTCCGACTCTTCGTGACCCCATGGACCAGAGCACACCAGGCACTCCTGTCTTCCACTGCCTCCCGCAGTTTGATCAAACTCATGCTGGTAGCTTCGAGAACACTGTCCAACCATCTTGTCCTCTGTCGTCCCCTTTTCCTTGTGCCCTCAATCTTTCCCAACATCAGGGTCTTTTCCAGGGAGTATTCTCTTCTCATGAGGTGGCCAAAGTATTGGAGCCTCAGCTTCACAATCTGTCCTTCCAGTGAGCACTCAGGGCTGATTTCCTTAAGAATGGATAGATTTGATCTTCTTGCAGTCCATGGGACTCTCAAGAGTCTCCTCCAGCAACATAATTCAAAAGCATCAATTCTTCGGCAATCAGCCTTCTTTATGGTCCAGCTTTCACTTTCATACATCACTACTGGGAAAACCATAGCTTTAACTATACGGACCTTTGTTGACAAGGTGATGTCTCTACTTTTTAAGATGCTGTCTAGGTTTGTCATTGCTTTTCTCCCAAGAAGCAGGCGTCTTTTAATTTCGTGGCTGCTGTCACCATCTGCAGTGATCTGTAGTTGTTTTAATGTGGACCAATAAAGTCAATGACCAGTATCCAACAAACTGTACAGTTAGTTCCATGAGCCCAAGGAAGGGTTCAGACTTGTTCTTCTTTAACAGTGTGTTCCCCCACCCCCACAAAATTCAGGGCAAATTGCTTTTGAAACGAAGAGACCTTTACAAACTGTGCTTAGCCTGTGTGTCTGCAGTTCAAAGAACAAAGGGCCCAAGTTCTCAGTCTTATGCTCCCTAGCATTGGAGCTCGAGACGTCAATCATTTAGCTGCACTGTCAACTGCAATATTCTAGCAAACGTTAATGAAACTCTTAGGGAAAGTATGCATAATTCCTGCACCCCCTTTTCAAAGAACGTCTAAGAGACCTACCTTTGTACCTTCAGGAACAAATATTTGAACCTAGACCAAAATGTGCAGCTTCAAAATTCATGCAATGAGAAAGGGATCAGGAAGCCCTCTGATGAGAGCCAACTGACTCATCTTGCTGCTAAGCCACAGAGGTGTGAAGCAGGACCTGCTGGCACTCTGCTTCAGGGCATGGAAATGGAGCCTGGTGCAGCACTTTCGATCCCTCCCTTATCAGTGACTCTTCTGGGGGAGAAAAAAGGTTGATAATCCAAATTCTGTTGATTCCCCCCCCCGGGGAAAAAATACATATACATGTTATAAGAATTGTAAGGTCTCAAAGATAAAATAAATATTCATAAATGCACACATATCTAAATATATGAACCATGGGTCTGAAATAGGATGGGAGGGCAATCCTGAAGCCATTTTGACTCTCCCAATGACCTCAAATATTCCTCTGCAGTAAGGGAGGCAAATGGGGAAAGCCTTCCCATTGTCTTTTTGCTTGCAAATCCTGTCTTAAGGGCATATTTGTGTATGAATAGGGTGAGCCTGTGGCCTGGATTCAGGAACTAAAGTATTAACCATCACAAAAGAATGGCCAGACTGCCCAGGTAATGCAATCAGGGACTATTATCAGGTATCCTGGCAGACAGGATTTCTCTGTAGACCGCCTCTTTCTGTGATGTATGTATGATGTTTTGTGGGGGCTACAGGGTGGGCAATTTTAGGTGTCTTTATAAGGGCTCTGGGTTCTCCCTCCCTCCTCCGTGTGGTGAGTGGAGATCCTGTTGCAACAGTTTATTTTCCTTTTCCTTTAATAAAGATCTGGCTTACTAGCCACTTTGCTTCTCAATATGCTGTACTTTTCCGTGTATAAGACTAGGTTTCTAAACCAAAAAATAGGTTTAAAATTGGGGCTCCTCTTATACACGGGTATTGCTGAGGGGTGTTTTCTTAATTTGGAGTCCCCCCAAATAGGAGGTGTCTTATACATGGAAAAATATGGTAGTCTGGTAGGCCTCTGTTATTTTTCTCCTACCGATAGGGAACCCACTTAACGACTCTGTACGGGCTCTGGAATAACCCATAAGGGAAACGGAGCAGTTTTTTCTTCTAACAACATATACATTAAAGATAATCTCATTCACATAGTCAGAAAACATCCTGAAATGTGTATTTGGAAGTTGGGCACAACCCTAAAAAGAGCCACAACCCTAGAAAGACAATATTCTGTACTGCAGACCACAGCATGGTTGTGCTGTGCTGACAGGTGCAAAACCTGAGGCTAAAGTTTAAGGAGCAAAGCCAGCATGCACTTCTGATTTCTGAGGGTATGTTCCTAGCCCTTCATTTGGATCAAGGATGCTGTTATGAAAACAGCAGATGTTCTTCCAACTGAAATTAGAAATGTGTTACTACAGGCTTCTAACTGAGAGAAAACAAATGTGTCACACTCCAAGCAAAGTTTTCACTTGGATTTTTAAGAATTTGATTACTACTTTGTCGAGTGCAACTCACTATTTATTTGCACTTAAGTGAGAAAGTAACCAGGTGAAATTAACTCTAGCGCCCTAACAATAAAGGGCAACTTTGAACCCCTGATGTAGAGATAGAGAACTTTGTATGTTATGTCCGTTTGGCTTTGCTGTTTCTTCTAGCGCTCTGTACGGACACCCTATCTGCCCTGTGGCCCTCATTTGTGGCCCCTGGATCGCTCCACTTTGGCCTGTGCTGCCACAGCAGCCACCCAACTCATATTCATCCCTGAGGCAATTTGGCAGTGCACCCCCCCAACCTTCTCCTTTGAAGAGGCAGCCACCTGGTAGGTCCCTCCTTTTTGTGGTTTCCCCTTTTTCTTGCTCATGTTTGCTCATGTCTACTTGCTGCTGGGCATTCCTGCTGGACAAAAGTCCCAGGTGGCTCTAGGCCACTCAACCTAACCTGCAGCAATCAAGGGCTGTTACAACCCAACTCAAACGAGGCCTCTGAATAGGTCCAATTAGGCCTCAACCAAATCCAGTGCACAGATCTGGTTTCTACATAGGGCCCCTCCAAACTGGAGTGTGTGTTTTGTGGGTGTATTCTGCAACCTGTCAGTGACTCAATTAGTAGTGGATTTATACTAAACTATCCACACATCATTCCAGTTTATTAGTTGTTCTATGATGCTTCTGCATTATTGCTGTCTGGAGGGGCACCACTGATCTAATAGTGCAACAACCCCCAATAACATTGTGGCATGAAGTTAGAGGATTTCAGCAAGAAATCCCTTCTAACTCTACCATTCTATGACATGTGCCAACTGAAAACAAAGCAGTATGTCTGTTTCAAAGGTTTTACAGGAACAAACGTTATTTAAAGTAGGTCATGAATAACCAGCCCAATACCATCATGAGCACAAATCATCCTGAATGCAAGTAAAGAGGATGGCTGGAAGAGTCCCAAGTGCTTTTCATTTTCTAACCTTTATTTATCCTTTTATCAACTCTGTGAAACAGAACTGGCTGAGGCAACAGTTCAGCCAAAGAGTTTCATGGCTGAATGGTGATTTCAACAAAGATTGCACACCCATTTAATCCCAACTATGCACACTGTCCACTGCATAATAAATGAAATCTGTAGTTCCCAGGGGAGTCATAGACTCAGGGCTGGAGGTGGTCTTGCAGGCAAATTAGTCCAACACCATTCTACTCAATGCGGAAATAGAGTTAGAGCATCCCTGATGCCTCTGCTCCCAGGAAGTGAGAGACCTAAAAGTCCAACTGTTATTACCATTAAGAAGCTTCTCCTAATGTTCAGCCCAAATCCACCACCATTAAGTTCATTAGATCTACTCTTGCCTCCAGAGCAGCAGAGAACAAGCCTTTGCTCTCTTCTACGAGACAGCCCTTCAGCACTTTGAGAATGTTAACATGACTCTATCTCTGTTTTTTCTCCAGGATAAAATATACCCAGTTCTCAGTACCCAGTGTGGTGCAGTGGTTAAGAGCGGTAGACTCGTAATCTGGTGAACCGGGTTCGCATCTCCGCTCCTCCACATGCAGCTGCTGGGTGATCTTGGGCTAGTCATACTTCTCTGAAGTCTCTCAGCCCCACTCACCTCACAGAGGTGTCGGGGAGGAAGGGAAAGGAGAATGTTAGCAGCTTTGAGACTCCTTTGGGTAGTGATAAAGCGGGATATCAAATCCAAACTCTTCTTCTTTAAGCTATCTTCATAAGAATTCTTTTGCTTTCCCTTGACCATCTTTGTTGTCTTTCTTTGAATCTGTTCTAATTTGTCTGTAGCTTTCTTAGGTGCTGCACCCAGCACTGGGTATAATATTCCAAAGATCCAGCCAATGTGGAATAAAGTGGAACTACTGCATCCCATGACTTGGAAAATTTGGTTCTGTTAATACAGCCTAAATAAACTCTCACTACCCTTCTTTGCAGCCACACAACACTTGCTGATTCATGGTTCAGCTTGTGAATTCCTGCGGTCCAAAGATTCCCATATACAACTGCCAGTGCTATTTTTATTTTTTTAGAAAAAGAGATGCCATAACACACCATGAACGCCTCCCTCGTTCTCTTAGAATGGTAATGGTGCCCACCTGAGAGGTGCCGGAACTGAGTTCCAGCGAGTGCCGGCTGGGAAAAAACAACAACCCCTGACAACTGCCGAGCCAGGTATCTTCATGTAAAAAGCAAGTACAGCTATATTTTAGCTTAAAATAAAAGTTGGTCTTGCTACAATGGACACATTTGTTTGTTTGCCACAGTGCAATAAAGAAGATAAACATGCTGGTAATTTGATAAATAACCTCATGGTTTGCACACACCAGTGGTTTTATATGTTTTGCTTGCAAACATGGGCAAAGAGTCTTGTGGCATCAGCAGTGGCAGCTGTCCCTCATCACCACTGCTGGTTTCACTCATATTTTTTTTTTACCTCTTTACTACTGTTCATTTTGATTTTTAAACCAGCTTTCATGCCTTCTATAAATAGGAGTGAAACGTCAGCATGACTCAGAATGCTGAAACATCTTTCATTTGTGATTCAGGGCAATTTAGCCTACAGAGGTTCCACTGCTCAGAAAGACCACTAACCTCTGCCATCAGAAACAGCTGCCACTAGAGAGGACAGATTAGCTTCACAGCTTCTACATTGCATCAGAGCAGATACCGGCATGCGCTGACGTCTGCTCCAGCACTGACTTGCATGATGATTATCCTCTGGTTGAGGGGGGGGGGGGAAATATCTCTCTCCTAATATGGAGACACTTACCCAGAGCAGATTTTAAAGCCATGCGGTCTCTGATCAATAAAGAGAATGGTCCTCAAAACTCTGTTAAGTGGCAAATTAAACGTGTTCTTAATGAAATATGCAGACTATTTAGGTATCACTGGTTCTGCCTCCATTCCATTCATAATTGGTCCAGATGGCAGGGGCTGGCAAGATGCCTGAGCATCACAGATATTCAAGGCTGAAAGCAACATATTATAGAACTTCCTCTATCAGAAAACATATTTATCTTTCTATCAGCAAAGCCTTTATCAACATGCAAACTTGCTAGGTAGTCAAAATAACCTATGTCTGTTTCATATCCCTATCTGTAAGATATAGATAACAATGCTTTATTGTACATATCTGTTGTAAGGATTAACTAGACACTGCATGTGAAACACTCTGTAATGTGCCCTATAAAATGCCCATCCATTAATTCTAGTAACTCTTTCCCCAAGGTACATTCAGAGTCACTTTATAAGTTTTTAACAAACTTAAAGTAAAACAAAAATGAGGTAGCATGATGCTACTATACAATACATCATCTTATGTCCAGTTAAAAGCTGTCTTATACAAGATCAGACCTTAGTTCATCTATCCCAGTACTGTCCATTCTGACTCTCCTTTTTAAAACTGGATTATGTCAGAGATTTGACCTAGGACCTTCTGCATGTAATGTGTATGCTCTTTCACTGGGTTACAGCCTCTCCCCTAAGAAGGGAATCAAAGGGGAATAAAGGGGTCTGCACTATATCCTGATGTGAAAATACTGTTCCATATACATGTGTTGCTCCAGTATAGTGGGGAACAGCAGAGCCTAGGGCTTGCCGATCACAAGGTCGGCGGTTTGAATCCCTGCGATGGGGTAACCCCCCCATCGCTCGGTCCCTGCTCCTGCCAATCTAGCAGTTCGAAAGCTCGTCAAAGTGCAAGTAGATAAATAGGTACTGCTCCGGTGGAAAGGTAAACAGTGTTTCTGTGCACTGCTATGGTTCGCCAGAAGTGGCTTAGTCATGCTGGCCACATGACGCGGAAGGTGGCTTCCCTCAGCCAGTAAAGCGAGATGAGCGCCGCAACCCCAGAGTCGTCCACGACTGGACTTAACGGTCAGGGGTCCCTTTACCTTTTATGCCGAGGTCAAATTTTCTGCGACTGGTTGAGAGTTCAGTCACAGGATGCATGCCATGGTATAACCAGAAGTTCTGGTACCAAATGACTTAGCAACAGGCTGCTTTAACAACCACCTGAACCTATCCAGCCAAACAAATATATCCAGCCATTAAGATGTTCCTTGGAGGCCTTTCTTTGACCATGCTCACTTTCAGAACACAGATGGGAGGGAGACCCAAGAGATGATCTTTTCAGTTCTGGTGACCCAAACCATGGCACTCTCCTCCAAGGGGAGTGGCTCACCTTGCCCCCAGTATGATGTCTTTTTGGTGGTAGACAAATTTTGTCACACCTTTTAGTTGATGTGTTTATTCATAAAGTGTTTTAATTTCACTCATATTTCTGCTCCATTTTTATGTATTATTGTTACTTTTCAGTGGCTCTGAAAAGCTGTGGCCTTTTTCACATCAACAAACTTCACCCTTTATGTATTCATTAAAACATTTCTGCTCCAGTTTTCAGCTGAAAGACCCTCAAGGAGGCTAACTACACCAACAAAAAATATAATCAGAAAGTAAAAGCAGCCGTCACCCCCACCCCCACCCCCAAAACCTCCTCCAACCTCACAAAACAGAACTCAGACAACAACTTGCTGGAAGCAAAATATATATAGAGAGAGCAAAACAATCCAGAATTAGTTTAACTCAGCCCAAATGCCTATTGAAAAAGTCAAGTCTTCACTGCTTGTGAAGTTGTAAAGGAGCTATGCAGACTCCTCTGCAAAAAGGCACTGTATGGGTCGCTGCTACAACTGAAAAAGCCCTGCCTTGTGCTCCCTCCTGCCAAGGGACACACTGCAGGGCTTCTGCTGTTAATCTGACTGCATGTGCAGGTTCATGCGGGTTTCTTCCAAATAGTTTGGTACATTCCATCTATTCACAGTGTCTCAGCTTGTTTTAAGTATCCTTGTTTTAAGAAAACCTGCTCCTTTTCCCTTATGGGGTATCCAAGAGCACGTATAGAGACCTTAAGTGGGTTCTCTATTGGTAGGAAAAATAACAGAGGCCAACCAGAGTAAACTGAAAAGCAAAGTGGCTAGTAAGCCTGATCTTTATTAAAGGAATTGTTGCAATAGGGTCCCCACTCACCACATACAGGAGGGAGGAGAACCCTGAACAAACCCTTATATAGACTTTTGAAACTGCCCACCCTGTAGCCCAATACCACCCCCCTAAAACATCATAAATACATCACAGAAGGAGGCGGTCTACAGCAGAACTCCTGTCTACCAGGAGACTTGATAATGGTCACTGATTGCATTACCTGGGCAGTCTGGACATTCTTTTGTGATGGTTAATACTTTAGCTCCTGAATCCAGGTCACAGGCTCACCCTATTCATACACAAATATGCCTTTAAAGACAGGATTTGCAAGCAAAAAGACAATGGGAAGACTTTCCCCATTTGCCTCCCTTACTGCAGAGGAATATTTGAGGTCATTGGGAGAGTCAAAATGGCTTCAGGATTGCCTTCCCATACTATTTCAGACCCATTGTTCATATATTTAGATATGTGTGCATTTATGAATATTTATTCTATCTTTGAGACCTTACAATTCTTATAACATCCTCTAAATAACTGCTTAAGCATGGCTGTCATTCTCTGTAGTGACAATGCAAGAAATTCATCACATAGAAAGTAGACTTTGCTCCCTTAGCTCCCTGGCCTCTTAAGAGTCCCAGCACTTCCTTTACAGACTCTCTGATCCTGGTTTACTTTAGTTCACAAATAATAGCACAATTCCTAACAAAATGCTGATATTAATTTGGTGATATATCAATGGCAATACTCAGAAATCACAGGCAGAGAAAGCATATAAGAAAATATCAAAACCCTTCTCCCTGACATGCTAGCTGTCGACAGAATGAGGTTTTAGCCTGAGGGTAACATTTCATCATGCAATCCTCCACCTGCATTTGAAGTCATACCATCCCAGGAGGATGTACAATGAGATGCTTCTCAATGTGTGGATCAACCCTAAATAGCTCTTAGCTTTGGCAATGAAACACAAGCAACAGCATTGCTAGGTTCCGCACACATAATCTGGGGAGGGGGGTATTTCTGGTTGATTCTGACAGGATTCAATAGCAGTTCCTTCCTTGTAAGTGCGCAGCATATTTGAAATTTGCCTCAGTTGGCCTGTATTTCTACACCTCCCCCAAACTAATTTCCTTACAGTAAATGTGGGAAGAGATATTATCATTGGTCTTTCAAATGCTCAAGCACTACAGTGATTGGCAGAGAAAAGCAAAAGGGGTTGTTGGACATATTTTGACCAGTAGGTTGGTGCTGCTTTTGACTGCTAATCAGAGTTGACAATGCTGAGTACCAGGCAAAAAGTGAAGCTTGTGCATAAACCAGAAGTCACAAACCACAACTTGCTGTTTCTGGAAAAACGTGAAGCCCTCTTTCCAACCCTGCACTTCCATCACAAGTGCAAGCACATTATGCTCTATGCTTGCAAGAAGGGCCAGAGCAATTATTTACCAATGACCAGTAACAAAGGAACATAGAAATCTGCCTTATAGTAGGTCAGATGATTTGTCCACCTAGCCCACTGTTGTCTCTACTCTGACAATGACTCTTCCTTACATCTTCAACCTTTCCAAAACCTGTGACTCACTTTTAACATGCATTTGGGGACCCACTTCTTAATTCTTTTACCATCTATCTATCTATCTATCTATCTATCTATGGAAATATATATAGATATAGATATATGGAAATTGCTAGTGCTGCTGCTACAATCCACCTTGGATTAGGCTGTGATTCAATATTGTGTCCCAACCTACCAACTGAAAACCCCATATTTTAAATAATCGCCTTTCAAGTGGAAATCCCAGGGACTCAATCTGGGACCTTCTGCGTATGGTGCCTGTTTTATACATCAAGCTATGGTTCCCTCCCCCGCATAATATTTACCTTCCACACCTGAGCCATTTTAAAACCTTGTTAAAAGTGAAGAGGCAGATGCACATTTAGATCTCTTTTTTTGTTCAGCTAATACAGACACAACTTGGGAGGACAGACACCAGCACACTGAATTGCATTTCACAGCATTTCTAGGGTACTTAAAAATTTAAAATAATCCCTTCATAGGCTTACAGTGGCTAATAAAATGCTTAATCTTCACCATGGCAACTTTCTGCTGGTGATGTTTCATCAGGTTCCTAGCCTAGGATGAATTCCAAAAGAACAGTTCTATGGGTTTGCAGCCATAAAATGAGAGAAGGTGCTTAAAGCACCACAAAGACAATCTAGTGCTTTTTTGCTATCATAGTCAGAAGCTTAATTCAACAGGTGGACTGAGACAATGGCAAGTATATATGCTGAAGGCAAGATAAAAGATAGTGATTTGGGATAACTCTTAGGATATATATTTTTTCACACTGAAATTTGCAGTGGTAGCTTGTTTCTTTTTGTACGTCTGCTACAGTTGAAGCAGTAGCTGTAAACAAATGACGGCAAGTGATTGTACTTATAAATGGCATCAACTGGCTATATCAAATTTTACAGAGAAGCATTTTATATCAAGCAATGCTCAAGGTCCTTTGGTGAAAAATCTAAAAGTTCTTTGGGTTTTTTAAGGCTACAATCCTAACCATATTTATCTGGGAGAATACCCCATTGAACACACTATGGCTTACTTCTGAATAAACATGTACAGACTTGCACTGCAAATGTATTTAAATGGCAATTTCATATATTGGGAAATGGAGATACTACAAAAAAAGAAGTTTATCCTTTGTTAGCACAAGTAGTCTGGGACAATGGCAGCTATATAATCCAAAAATCCAACCCTAGTATCTGCTTTAGCTTTGAACTCTCTGTGTGTGATGAACCTACTGACCTGTGCTCAGCTGGACAAATTCTTTTGGGAACAGGTTACTCATCTTACAGTACTGCATGGTGAGGTTACTCATTATTTATGTCTGTTGCTGCCTGTGCAATATGCTTGATGCAGTGCAAAAATCAATTAGCTGTGTGTAACATTTCTTATGAAGTGACCATTCTTTTCTGATTCTTTGGGAATCACATGACAGCCAGAAATACTGCATTTTATCACAGCTATTTTAGGAAGCGTAATTATGCAGCATTTGAAAAATGGTTTGAAGCTACATTCCAAAACATGCTGGACAGCACTGTAAGTCCCAAAAAATCCAGAGCTCTACCTGGAAACAAGGTGTCCCTCAACGAAATCTAACTGTCATTAAAACATTGCCTAAACAACCACTGTTAACAGTACAGTTGTTGTTGTTTCTACATACTTTGCATTCCTGTTGGTGCTATGTAGTAATACTGGTCAGCACCTTATGAATATACCATGAAAATCAGCAACACCAAAAAAAGGGCCTGTTAACATAGACAAGCCACCAACAACTGAAGGAAAAGAGCCAGATTCGGAATTTTAACATACTTGATTCTGTGTTTTTAAAGCAGTGGCTCTTTGAAGGATCACTCATTGCGTTCAGGGGAGCTGCAGGACCGACCCTGGAAAGCCTTTTAAGATACCCAAATGAAAACATTTTTTTTTTAATGGGAAGGACGTGTCACGGCCAAGCAACCTCGCCACCGCTGACACTTGCCATCGTTCCCCAGAGCTTAGAATCTGACACGTCTTCGTTTTGTTTTTCTCTCGGCATATTTCTTTGACCCTCGCCCTACTTGGCAGGCGCTGCTGCGGTTAGGAACTTGCCTGAAGGCAGCCGCTCTTTAAAATATAATATATATATATATATATATATATATATATATATATATATGTATATGTGTGTGTGTGTGTGTCTGTATGTGTGTACACACACACACACACACACACAGAGAGAGAGAGAGAGAGAGAGAGAGAGAGAGAGAGTACAGTACAGTCTCTCCCTTCCTCCCCCAAAACACCCCATCCCCGAAGAAGGGACGCTTTCTCCGCCCTCTCCCTCCTCCTCTCCTGATGCACAGGCTGTGGCTTGTGTCAGGAGGGGCTTCCTTGGCAGAGCCTCGCCTAGAGAGAGCGAGGTGGAGCGGGAAAGAATCACTACACGCCTAAGCCCCACTGCTCCCTCTGGACTGGGAAAGGCAAGTCTCTGCCTCCAGCCAGGCCGCCCGACGAGTGTCCTAGGCGCCCTCCGCGGACGCTGGAGCCACAACCTCGCCGGTATTTGCTTTCCCGGGCTGCGCGCCTCAGGCAGCCTTGGAGACGGCAGGAGGAGCCACCTGCCGCCGCCGCCGCCTGCTCGGTTGTGTCCCTCCGGCTTGCCCTGTCTCTTCTCTGACACGCACGCACACATGCACACGCACACCCGCGCACCTACCTGCAGGGGGAAAGTGGCCGCCTTGTTGCCCACGTAGCCGCGCACGACATGGCTCTGGATGGAGAGCACCCTGCACTCCGGCTGCTCCTCCATGCCTGCGCACCCGCGGCGGCTGAGCTAGGAGCCGGGCAGTCGCGCGCCCTCTGCGCCCAAGACAGCGCAGCTCCGGGCGGGCTGGACCCAGCGGCGGCGGCGGCTTTGCAAATCCGCCTCAGCAGCAGGGCGGCCAAGGACAGCGGCGCAGAGAGCGAGCGGGAGAACCGGCGGCAGGAGGGAAGGGGGGAAAGAAGAAAAGAAAGTCAGGCGATCGGCGCAGACACCTAAAAGTCTCTTCTTACATCACAGATGAGACTGAGCAGGCGGCAGCTCCCGCGAAAGCAATTTAAAGGCACACGCCGCCCAGCGAGCAGAGGGAGGGAGGGAGGGAGCGGGGACGGCGCGCGCAAGGAGCCACCTGCCCCCTTAGGCCGAGCCTGCTGCGGGGTGGGCGAGGGGGGAGAAGGAAGGAGGAACCACGGGCGAACCGCCCACGTGCGACGCTCTCTGCGCCCGCGCGCGATTGCCCGCCTCCCTGAGAGGCAGGAGGAGGAAAGCTGCGCGCGAGAGGCGCCCCCGGTGAGGGGCTTCCCAACCCCAGCCTCCCTCCCTGCCCGCCCGCCCGCCCGCCCGCCTTCCTACGCGCTGAAGCAAACATGTTAAAAAAAAAGGGGGGGGAGCGAGCTTTGTGGCACGCGCGCCCCACCTTGAAAAGACTTTGACAGATCGCTGGCGCCTTCGGAAGCTCTGGTGGGCTGGAGCCCCCGCCTCATAAGAAAGGCCGTGGCTCGGCGAAAGCTGCTGTCAGTTATTCAGGGCGCTTTTGTGGTTTCAGATTTGTCGTTGAGCAGCGGTTTCCTCTTCCCAGTACTGTAGAGAGGCCCCGAGCCCTACTGGACCCTTTCCGTGGGCACGACAGCAAAGAGAGGCAAGTCCCCAGCTTCTACATAATCGCTATAAAGACGCCTAAAATGGCCACACCGGGACACAAGCAGCCACGACCAGCAGGAGGAATAATTCTCGCAGTGGGCTCCGCTTCCCACTTAAATGCACATCCCAGTTAGGAGAGGCACGTGAGAAAACGGTGAGATGCTTGCCCATGACAGTTGGACATCAAAAGAGGTACATAGCAAAGTTACTGTGACCGCAAAAGGACGTGCACACGGAAGAGATTTATAGAGACCAAAACACACAGAAAGCTAATTCATTCTTCAGGTTCTGGATTGTTATCTGGCCAAAACAGCACTACCCATGCAAAAGAGGAAGGTATTAATAGGCTCAGTGGGGGCAATGTTTGCAGGAATGCAGAAAAAAAACTAAAATAAAAAAATTAGAGAGAACAAAAACTGCAACATTTTGTTGCAATTCCTACTTGTCAATGTCTGTTAGCCCTGGTATGCACACTTCCAATTATCAGTCACTGGGGAATAGCTAGTTCTGTTGCAATATTACTTGGAGATGACAGTGGGCTGGTCAGGATGGATCTGTGGTATGATCCAGCAATGTCATTCTAATGTTATTCCCTACAGATTTCTCAATGCATTTTAGAATTCATACCCCACTTTTTTCTTAAACCAGCTACCATAAAGACACCTACAAAAGTCCACAAGAGAATAAAAAAATCCTCTGCATAGCAATGATGGTCAAGGGAGAACATGAGCACATTTTCATCTAATTTATATAAACTTCTTTTCCTGTTCATATAGGTCCAGTTCTTTCTCACCAATGGCAAGTGAGCATTTGCTATGATATAAATGGGATTCTCTGATTTGTACCTTATATTTTGATTAAATCTGCCCACACAGCCTACTTACCACTGTTCATGCATAGATTTACTAATTGGCAGTACTCCGAAACAAATTATTGTCTGAGCTCCAGTAATTGCACTAAAAGCCTAACTGCTTCTGTATCCTCCAGCATCTATGTCCCAGACATCACAATGTGTGTGTATGACAAATGCCTACACCCACATCTATTTATACATGCACCACAGTACCCTTTTCATTTTTCAATCCCAACTCAATGCATGCTATACTCTGTGCTCTCTCGGAACTTCAGAGTTCTATGTGCTTCCAGTTTTTTGTCAATAACATTTCTATGAGGCACTGCCACACACAGTACAGTGGTACCTCGGGTTAAGTACTTAATTCATTCCAGAGGTCCGTTCTTAACCTGAAACTGTTCCTAACCTGAAGCACCACTTTAGCTAATGGGGCCTCCCGCTGCCGCCGAGCCCCCAGAGCACCATTTCTGTTCTCATCCTGAAGCAAAGTTCTTAACCCGAGGTACTATTTCTGGGTTAGTAGAGTCTGTAACCTGAAGCGTCTGTAACCTGAAGCGTATGTAACCTGAGGTACCACTGTACAGTAATGTGTTTTCTATTGAAAACCAGTACAATTATAATTTCCTAGCTGTTGAAAAAGTGTTAACTTCCGGTTTAAAATCAATAATTTATATGGAAAACTTTTAAGATGTTGATACAAGGTAGGGACGAAAACTAAAATACATTTTTTGTGAGATTAGCATTTTGTTTCATATGTTTGACTGTAAAATATAATCTGTGCAACTCCCCCCCCCCCCTTTGCTGTTTGTTTCTTCTTCTTTGTGACTCATTTGTTATGTTTAAGCTCAGTGCCTTTGGCTTTGATTCAGTTTTGGAAAAAAATATGCACCACTTGCCTCTGGATCCAGCTATGGGTTTTTTTTTTGCAACTTTGCAACTTTACAGTTTGGTTTGCTGGAGTCAACAAAGAGGTGCAACTTTGCATGAAATCATCTGATTAATTATACTAGCAGCAGTAGTATTATTATGATAAGAGAAATCAAAATATATAAAGAGAGGGGAAACAGAGAAAGAGTGCTTGAAGTAGGATGGGGTGCCATTCTGCTTCTTTAAAAGCATTCCGCTACTTTTCAAGTGCACATAATCAAGCCTGGTACAACTATCCCACTTCCCATTTTTCTCCCACTGCTGATAATGTCATTGGACTTCTTGTTATTGATGTGCATCCCACTACTACCACATCGTGGCTGTCATACTGGAGTCCCCCAACAAGCTGAAGCTAAGCACCTTACCTTGCCTCACAACCATGACCAAGTTATGCAAACTGGACCAGGGAAGGCTGCATATTAGCACATTAGTTGGGAATCCATACAGTCATCCTCAATAAGAAATGGAATTCTCTGTTCAGCCAGAATTGAATTAGGTAATATTGCCATGAACTGCCAGTGGAAAAGGTGCGGGGGATACCTTTGTCTTGGGTTAGAAACTAATTGAAAAATCGACAGTCTTGTAAAGACTGCCCTGTGATGGAAATTATGGTCAGTTTGAATAATCTGACACAATATTTTAATCTGCTGGGGTTTTTTTTTTTGCTAAAGAGGACTAAAATCAATGCCATTTCTCAGAAGTTTCAAATAGAAGCTGGATGGTTGACTAGCAACTCTTACATATTTTTAACTTTTTAAAATTTTAAAAGCTATGTAGTGAGTTATTATTGAACAACAGCGGATTGTGGCAGTGATTGCTGTGCAGTGAAAAGGCTTTATGGATTGACTGAGGTTCCCCGAGACCAGTGTAGGAGGGAAGGAATCACATAAAGTAGATACATCAAGAAAATTGTATGTAATTATAGCTTTCACGGCCGCATACTGCAAAGTCCTGAGTCATTGATCTCTCAACAGATTCAGTGCAAACTCGCCGTTTATTTGAGGCCCAAAATAGAGACACATTAGAATCGTATTTTAAATACAAATTAATAGCTTTGAAGGCCTATTTCAAAAACAGAATGACAAGTTCTGAATAATTAAAATTTAGATTCCAGAGGAGCCAGATGAAACAGGAGATTAAAGAGACTTTACTTTTGCTTCTATTTTGGCACAAGGAACTTTAAAGCACTTTCATTGCAGGGCAATTAATGACCAAAAGCTCTTCTATCTCAACATTTTGAACTCGCTAAAGTTATCTTCAGGAGTAAAAGCTAAAAGCAAGAGTTGGGTAATGTATAGCCCTCCAGAAGTCATTGAACTCTGTGCCTCCTCAGCCAACATTGCCAATGGCTTTCTGAGGGGTGGGGGCTCTAGTGATGGGGGGGGGAACCATGGTCAATGGTCAAGCATGGTGGGAGCTGTAGCTTCAGCAATACCTGGAAGGCAACAGGTTTGTCACCTCTCATCTTCCTCTTATGGGAAAAGAATGGGGGTCCAGTTGAGAAAAGGGGAGACTGTTGCTATATGAAGTTCAAATGGTGGGCATCAACATGATTCAGTTCAGACTCTGAATTGGTGTTTTCGGAAATTCTGCTTTGGCTCAGATAAGACTTGTATTTGTCCCAAATGGCCTGCTTTGGTTCTTGTTCTGAGATTTGTCTGAATCCAATACACACTCCAAGTAGGAAGTGGCAAAAAGAAAAAGAAATGCCCCAGTAAATATATTTATTTGATGAAGATGGTGATCCAAGGAGCACAAAGCTTTTGCAAGCATCAAGAGAAACCCTCCTGGCACAAACAGTCTGTTTCAGCAGCTTGCTTTCTATGTGTGCTTTCTTGCGTCACATGCTGTCGTCTGGCAGTCACAAGCCACTTCCCACTGCTGAGGGATATCTGCTTGGCAAGAGTCACAGTTCTCTGAAAATCACGCACACAGCGGAAAACTCAAGACTGCTGCTGTGATCCAGACAGAACAGATCTGTGTTTGAGATAGAGCTGCAACGGTTGTGTTGTAAATGGATTAACTATGTCTGTATTCATCTTCAGTAGTGCTACCTGGGTGACAATAATTATGTGTTTTTGTTCTTTTGCTACAGTGAGGGAAAATGCCCTTTTATTGAATGGACTAAATATAACCCACCCGACAAAGCTGATCTGCAATTCACCATTTTGCTAAGCACCAAAATATGACTTCCTGTATTTGCTTTTCTTTTGGCTCATGTAATGCATGGAAAGAGGGGAGCAAAGAACAGCATTAAAAATCAGGGACAGTCTATGCTCACAGAGCATTCTTAAATCAAGGATGCCCTCACCTGTTAGGATATCTCCCAGGTTCTCAGATAATTTCCCTCCAAAACTTGCATTGAATATATCTTGGCATTTTGTTCACCTGTATACATAAGCAGATCGTTCTTAAGTTTCACATATTCTAAGATGGCATATATATACTTTTATTTTCCCCACCACCTTGTATGTTTGAGTTGGTATGTTTAACTATGCATTTTTTCCTATTTAAATCCTAAAATGTTAACATTCGGTTTTGATCTCAAAGAGTCTCAAAAGACATGGCTAACTCAAGTCTGATGAGCTTGTAGTTTGCATGCCATAAACATAATTTAGACTCAATCCCAAATAATACTGCATGTGCCAAACTATTGGGGTGGATTTATTGGGCTTATTTTATAATATTCTTACTAAAAATTACTTCTAAATAGAAAACTTCAGATGGGGGGACGGGGGACTTGATTTCACAGACTTGGGTGCTTAATTACATTTAAATGGAAAAACACAGCATTTTTCTCACCTTATTAATTCTGAAACTTTGATATATTTGCTACCATGTTTTCAAACTTTGTTCTGTCAACAAACTAGCTAGAAACGTCCCCCCCAAAAAAGGAAAGCTGGGACTTTTTAGTATTTTAAAAAGAGCACGTGACTTGTATGTTACTGTTTCTGGCCTTAAAGCACCACTCATTTATGAAAACAAGGCAAATAAACCATAGATCAGCCTTCCCAAACAGATCCTCAAGATGTGCTGGACTACAGCTCCCATCAACCTTAACTGCTGGCTGGGCTGATGGTAATTGTAGTGCAAAACATCTGGAAGGCACCAGAATGGTGAAGGCTGCCACAGACAATCTTTATAAACTATCAAAAGCTGTTTTCTTCATTTGGGGTGTTCCAGCTTGTATTTAATCAGACCTCTGTCCATATACATTAAAAAAATACCCCCAAAAAACAACAACAGAGCTTTCTGGCTCTTAAAATGTGCCTTTATGGCTTTAGGTAGGGAAGACTTCAGTTAGGAAACAACCTGTGCCAGGCATTCTCAGCTTTAGAAACTGTTTATTATTTTTGTTGTTGTTGCTTTGGCTGCCTTTACAGTGGTACCTCGGGTTAAGAACTTAAATTCGTTCTGGAGATCCGTTCTTAACCTGAAACTGTTCTTAACCTGAGACACCACTTTAGCTAATGGGGCCTCCTGCTGCCACTGCACGATTTCTGTTCTCATCCTGAAGCAAAGTTCTTAACCCGAGGTACTATTTCTGGCTTGGCGGAGTCTGTAACCTGAAGCATCTGTAACCTGAAGCGTCTGTAACCCAAGGTACCACTGTATATGGGCACATTTTATACTGGGATGGGAATCACTTTCTCCAGCTGTTAGAGCAGCGAAGCTGATGGCCTTGAATAGCCAAGGGAGATACAATTTTGTCTGGCAGAGCAGATTTATGACATTTCAGTAATGGATACAAGGGGCCATTTTGAAGGTTACAGACTGAAGGTCACTATGGTTTGGTGAGGATTTATATTCAGCACACCCTGCATTCCCACATATCTAAATTTAATCTGCTTCCAGCCCCACCCCTGTAACATCATTCATTACCACTTAGTAGTCATGTAAAGGATTGTCTTTTATTGTATAGTATCCTAGCCCCATAGAATATAATGAAGGCCATGTATTTCAGGAAGCATGGCTCTAGATTTTTTAAAATACAATGTTTTGGCAATAGGATCTAGATGCAGTCACTGGTGGCTACACCACATGCATAAAGAACTGGATTTTAAAATAATAAATTTACAAGAGAGACCAAGGCTGGAACAGTCCTAGATGCTCAGAATTATAAAAGCTTACCACAGGCAGAGATTGTTTGTATTACTCAAATGTGCTGTGGAGCTTTAATGGAGGTTGGGAGAAGTCTGTTAATGGAATTGTCAATTCAGTTCATGAACTGCATAGTAAAGCCAAGTTATGCATGACAATGGAAATCTTCAAAGGGTCTTATTGCTGGGCTTATCCCATCCCATATAAAGCAAGAGCTTTATAGTAAATAACAGTGGACCGGCCATTGAAAATTTCTACCTTGCTATTGCTGTTTTGCATTGTTTGGATAATATTGTAGTTTGCTACTACAAAGTGGAGGCAGGGAACCTTCCTCCTGTGAAGAGACAATGAACACAGAAGCCAGTGGGTGGGGGCATTTTTGATGGTGCGCGGAAGCCGAATGTCTGGCAGTTTGCAGCTCTGCATAGTTCTCTCCATCCCCTCCGTGCCACCCTATGTGAGACTGCCCTTGAAAACCACCTGGAAAATTCCATTGGTGCAAAATTTTGCCCCTAAAATTTTGCCGGGGGGGGGGGGGAGTACTGGAACCATGTGACCCCCTTTTTGTATCACTTCCACTAGCTGTCAGTTTGTTTTCAAGTGAGATTCAAGATGCTGGTAACTTCCCCTAAGCTGCTTGGGACCAAGGTACTTGGAAGCAGAGCCGTAGCTAGGTGATCTGGCGCCCCTGGCAGAACCGTCCAGATTACACCCCCTAGTCATGGACAAATTAGCTCTTCTTTCCGCCTCTTCTCCATCCCCCCTCCACCCATTCCATTCACCCTCTATTTAAAACCTTGTCTTATGAGGCAATAATTGATATTTTTATTTATAGACATATTTATGTACATATTTTTAGCTGATTTTGCACCCCCCCTCCTCGCCTGTGCCCCTGGTGGGGGCCCACCTCACCACCCCCTAATTATGGGCCTGCTTGGAAGGGCTACCTCCTCCCATGTGAACCTACCCATCCTTTAAAGATCTGCTATTATACAGTGGTGGAGGAACCCTCTCTGGCACGTGGCAGCCCGTACGGACTGTGCGCGAGAGCGGCACCCTGTACGGACGCCACGCGAGCGTCACCCATACGACTGCGCGCGCCCTTGGCTGCTCTACAGCTGAAGGGAGGCGGGGGCCATCTTGTCAACACCCCCTCCGCCCCCCACTTCGTACGCCCCTGCTACTATAGCATTTGTATGTGTGAGCGCAACTGCTTCTGAGGAAAAGCGGGTGGCAGCACGTGACAGGGCTTTTTCTGTGGTAGGGCCCAATTTGTGGCACTCCCTGCTTCAGGAGGTTACCTTCTCTTCTCCACTTGTGTTTTACTGGTTCTTGAAGGCATTTCTTTTTAAGCATCCCTTTGATTTCTGCTGTTGCTTCATTTGATTTATCATTAGCTCTGGCTCTCTTGCTTTTCTGGTGCGGCTTTTAGTTTTGTGTACGTGTCTATCTTTGTTTATTCCTTGTATAAACTCATTTTTGTAGGGACAACATGAGAAAAAAGTTTTTCTATAAATAAACACAGAAGTACAAGCAGGGGAAATGTGGTGTGGTTTTTCTGGCACATTTATACATGTAAAGATCGTGGGCATTTTTTACAGAGTGCCAAGGCTTCCCAAGATTTTTCATGCCACTGAGCAGGTGCCTGTATTAGTCATCTGCACTCCATGACTTGGTTTGTATATATCAGTAAGCCAAAAGCCTGTAGTTCTTGGGGAAGGGGCACTACCACACTATTCAGGGCTAAACCATAGTTGAGCTTACTGTGCTGAACCCAGGTTCATGTTTTGTCTTGCTTCACAAGCTATAACCAAGCTTTGTTCTTGTTTTACAGCTTGTTTGCCTGGAGCAAGAGAAACAAGGCCTATTTCAGACGACATGCTAAGCCAAACCATGTCTTACGTCTTGGGTAGCACAGTAACAGCAGGACCGGGAACGTGGCCAGTGAGTGATATTGGCTTAGTGATATACATGTGAGCTGGAGGTGGTGGCAGGGGGGGCTTCCTTAAACTGCTTCACTGAGGGGTGACCTCTTGATCAGCTATGGGGCGAGCGAGAGGCTGATTAAGCCCCCATACCGTTCCTGCTTGCACAAGCCAGAGTGGTACAGGGTAGGACTGGGCAATATCAGCACATCACAATATTTAGTTGTTGATATACCACAATGTTAAAAACCAGGTATCGCCCAGCCCTAGTGAACACACGGTGAAGATTGGGCTGCTGACACCATCCCTGTTGCTGTCATACCTCACTTCCTGACCTCGCCTGTGGAACTAGTAGTCTAATGGAACTTTATTAGTATTGGCAGTTTTCCTGCCCTAGACTCCTTTGGAAGAAGGCAGGGCATATAAATTTAATGACTGAATAAACAGGGCTCCCTGCAACAAAAGAATGTAAAGAAAATGCAATGGTGCTCTTTCAAAGCCAAGTTTAAGCGGCCCATTTTCATGGATCTGGAGTTACTGAGATGTATATGCTGCATAAAGGAAAAATAAAAATTGCTCCTACAACTGGAGGGAACAAAAAGGTCAAAGGACGATGCTGTTCAACTCACAAAAGTTTGATAAAAAATGCTTTTATTCCTAAAATATTTTAAATACAAAGCTTTAAACACAAACCTTTTTTAAACAGTGTTCTGCTTCATTTAAGCCAGTTTAATTACAAAACCGAGTGAATATTCTTTTAAAAATAAGATCTTTGCAAATTCTGCTTTTTAACAGGACTAGTTATAACTCATAGTAATCCTAGATATTTTTAGAATGCACCCATGAACAGACAAACTGGTTGGAAAGCTGAGATTCCTGCTTTTTGTAGTCTTATCAACAACAGGACATTGTTTTTATTTTCACCTTGTGTTTAGATATGTAGTTTTAAATTAAAACATCACATATTGTATCATTCGTAGAAATTAACATCTTGGAATGAAATTCTCAGGAAACATGGAAGAACAGGAAAATGTATACTACACATGCATGTTTACAAGCCCCCCCCATCAGAAATCAACCATTAAATTAGAATCCATCATTCCGAAAGTCCCAACAACAGTCAAATTACCTTAACATTCATCAAGATGTGTTGATGGTCTTGTCAGGGCCAGCCTCATCATGAACGAGGGGTCCCCTGGTAAACTCTAGTAAGCCTACGTCTCTACCTGTGGTCTCTGACAGGCTTGACTAGCAGCAGCATGGTCTAGCCACCATTTTAAATCTCCCACAATGCCTTGAACTAATGCTATATCGGGGCATTGTGGGGAATTTAAATGGTGGCTAGACCCTGTTGTCTAGTGCTGCTTGCAATACCAGTCTGAGGGGGTGGGGGGAAGCATAAAGAGAGCCCTTGGGCAAGTATCAATGGTGAAGCCTTGCTTGGGCCCCCACTACTACTTCTGAATGATACTGACCCTGACTTTTGTCCTGCAACAGCCTTGGTAACTGTCAGGGTACTGCCATTGGAACAGGGTAGGGAAGCAGAGGGGCAGTTGGGTTACAGGGAACCTCCGAAAATCTTGCGAAGCAGTTCCTCTTCCTGTGGTGAGGAAAGCCACACCTCCAGTGGGGAAGAGGGGAAAGGACCAGAGGATGCTGCTGGGGTGCCTCAGCACCGCTCCTGACCAAGCTGGCCAGGAGGGAAGCACGCCCCTTCCATCGCCCACCCTGCACAGAGGTGTAAAACGCAAAGAAGGAAGGAAAAGGCTGGGGGTGACAAAGCTCTTATGTTGGGGGAGGTCCTGGAAACAACCACTCCCGGATTCTGCTAGCGATTGAGGCAGACATGAACTTGTGGCTCTGCCCTGTAAATAGTTTTGCACCAAAATAAAACCTGTAAAAGACAGGTCTGAGTCCTGACTGATTACTCATGAGCAACCACCGCTGCCATCTGACAGTAACAGAACCATCTTTTGACTGTTAGGGCAACCACAAAGCCCTGAGGTTCAGAGCATTAAAGAAACTCTTCTCCAATCTCTTTACAGTTCCATCTTTCTAGCTGGAGAATTATAACATCTCCAACATAAGAATGAACATACAACTATTGCTGTCCATATTCTTGTACGAAAGTAAATCACTGGCTTATTTTGGTTCCACTTCCCCACTATCTTATCACAACAAGTAGTTTTCCAACACAGTGCCCCACATTTGTTGCTTTTTTTTATATTAAACTCCATTTAAAGAACCAATATTAATACTTCTATTTAAGATGTATGCCTTCCGTTATAGTTTGCTAATTGACCATATACAACACAAGATACAAGACATCTCCAAAACTCAAGCATGTCTGTCTTAACCAAGTCACATCACAGTATTTAAAACTGCAAGGAGATAAAGCAACCACCAAGCACGCTCAGAACAACACCACAAGCCACAGACGGGGACAGTAACACAGCACAACACATGAGACATGTGAAACAGTCAGTAAGAGTATTATTAGCTTGAAACTTTATTAGCACTGTGGAGAGATAGTAATTGAAGTGACTGTCCATTTATTCTGAAGCTGGAGTACAAAGAATATTACCACAAAGATCTCTTCATCAAAATAAAAAATGACCCACATGACCCAGTGTCAATGTCCACAATGTTTCCTGGGCTATGTCTTCGTGCTATGCTGCATTTGAGAAAAAGGGACTGAGAGTCTAAAACTTGCAGTAAATAAATTATCTGGTACAAAAAATTTTATCGTTTTGCACAGAAATCAACAGGAGAATGGAGATAGGCACCATCATGTTAGCATACTGTAAGATGACCATCAATAAAACTTACACTGCAGATTAAAAATATGGCCTTGCTTTCAAAGCCACCTTACTATCCAAACCATCTTTACCCTGTGTCAAAAGGCATTAAGGCTTTCAGATATAAATAAAGGCCATACTAACCTAGCTCCTTTTAATGAAGGGAGGATAATAATTAAGACCTAGTCTTTATCCATGGGCCCAGGGATAAGAACATTATAAAAATGCAAAAATTTACAAAACACACACAAACACACACCATACCTTCTTACACAAAAAGGAGAAGCAAATCTGAAGTAGCCCACAATGCTATTTCAAGTGCTTAGGAAATATGTGTCAACTGGAATACTTGGGCTATAGACAATAATGAGATGTGTGTTGGCAGCGGGCTACCCAACTGAGGTGCAAGTGGTTGTTCCACAGAAGTAGTTCACCTCAACACAGATATTCCATTTCTAATCCATACCCTTTGGTAGGAAGATAAGAGAAAATAGCTTGAAAGGGAAAGAAGGAAAAGCAGAACAGGAAGCATGTGAGAGGGGTTGTGTACTTCTTAGCTCCCATGGAATTAAGCCAATAAATGCCAAAAACCTCTTCACTAGGAAAAACAACAACCAATGATTAAAAGAGTGCAAGCAACAACAGTTCAGAACAAATCTGTACACATTCATTCACAATGTGATAGGGTTATTTCAAAAATAAAATAAAAGATGGGCCTCCATAAATGGAACCCTAAGGTCATGTGCCATTACCTTTCTTTTGTTAACAGCATACACAAAACAGTCTCAATGTACAGCCAAATAGGTGCTTATTACAGTTGACAGCACCAAGGGTCACACAATCAGAACCTTATGTATACTATCCCATTAACTTGAAAAGGAAGATTCCCAAAATACCTCCAGAAGCAACTGGTTATACAGGACTGTTCTGTACAAAAACTACTCCTCTCCTTATTGGCTTAGAAGAAGTCAATAGCAGTTGGTCTTTTCTTAGTTGGCATTAAAAGGGATTTCTTCATTTGAGGTGTTGCTTCTGCAGAAGAGCTGGCAGGGGACTTCAGCACCCCGTGAGATGGTTTTTGCTCAGGATTGAAAGCCACCCGGGAGGCTCCCTCTGGGGTGACCAGGATACTTTTGTCTGTCGTCTTAAATTCTGCCAGAGGAAAGATTAAAAAGCAAAAACTTGAATATTGCATCATATTGTTATCAAGCATGTGCAAACATTTCGATGGTTGCTAGAGCTGTTTGTGCACAGAAGGAATCTAGAGAGATTCTGGGGGAACAAATGGAACACTGCAGACCGAAAGTATTCTATACTTATTACCAAAGAGCCTGTCTGCTTCGGTACGCCAGACCACATGTGTCAACTGGGCCTGACCTAAAGGTGTGTCTGGTCCAACATCCTGTTTCCCACAATGGCAAAACAAGAGGCCTATGGGATGCTCACAACAGGACATAAGACCAAGAATACCATTCTCTTAATCATGTTCCCCAGCAACTACTGTTCAGAGGCATGGTGTTTCTGATATGCAGAGTATAGCCATTAATGACTATTAGCTGTTTATGCGCTCAGGGACAGAGTTCATATGGGGCGCAGAATCTCCTTTTCAGCCCAGATGGTGGTGAATCTAATGAGAGGTTTGTTCCCACCTCAGTGGTGTCACAGACAACAGCTTCTTCCCTCTTCTTCCATAAACCAGTTTGACAATTGTACAGTCGTACCTTGGAAGTCAAACGGAATCCGTCCCGGAAGCCTGTTCGACTTCCAAAACGTTCGAAAACCAAAGTGTGGCTTCTGAAGGACTGCAGGAAACTCCTGCAGGCAATCGGAAGCCGCAGAAGCCCCGTTGGACGTTCGGGTTCCCGAGAACGTTCACAAACCAGAACACTCACTTCTGGGTTTGCGCTGTTCGGGAGCCAAGGTATGACTGTACTAGATTACTTGTGCCCTAAGGGCTGGTGGAGAGGCCCTTCTCTTTGTCAAACCTATAGTGGATACAAGATAAGTTACTATGAACGAGAAGAGCCTTCTTGCTGGTTGCAGGTAGGCTATGGCATACCTCAACTTGCGGTGTTCATTTGAACCCCTCCCACACACTGATTGGGGAAAACTCTTGCTTTTTGCTTCCCAGGCTGATGTTTTATACATGGCGAAATCGCTTTGGGGCTTTTAACTGTGATACCTCCTCGTTTTTATATTGGTTTGTTTTATATTGTTAAAGGAATGTTGTGTTTTAATGGTTGCACGCTGCTCTGTGTGGTACAAAAGGCAGTGCTAAAGAGCTGTGTATAAATCACAATGAGGCACATTTTTGGTAGTTGATTAAGACATTATATATGGATTTTGTCTTTGTTTCAATATTAAATGCATTTAACCTTTGGACAGAATGCATCAGTCAACGATTCCTGTGTGCCTGCATTTTGCAACCCTCATGCTTGTTAAGCTATAAACATGTAATCTTATCTAACCCTAAAAGTGACAAGCCAGCCAGTATGTTTTGCTATGTCTGTTTTGAGTTAACAGTAGGATGTAAATCCAGCATCTCCTTGAAGCTCCTCCAGATGTTTTGGGGAAAGGGAAGTAAGATATGGGATTGGAATGTCTCTAGCCACTACTGAAGGCCTGGTGGCTAAGGCAACTGAGTTAAAGTGTGATAGTTGAGGCTAAATGGCTTGGGGCACCCAAGGTAAATATTGGGAAGTTGACCTTGGAATGGAGCCATGCATGCCATTTTCCTCTTGGTTCTGTGTTTTATTTAAAAGATGTTCCTTCACCTGGGCAATAAACAGCTGGCGTAGAAGTAAATTCTTACCACAATTACATGCACGGGCAACATTTAGCAACTGCTATTTAAAACTGCATCAAACCTTCCACTGTTTTACCTGCCTGTTTTCAGAGAAGCAACAAGGTTTGAAGTCATTTTGAACTTACCAGCAGTCATGTTTTTACTCAGTCCAAAGGTGACCTTTTTGGAGTTGGAAGATTGCAGCTTGCTTAACTACAAAGAGAGATTAAAATGGCAGATAAACTTGTGTTTTTGGACCAGTTAAACCCTTCCCTTTATTAAAACACTTTTAGTGTCTCTCTGATATCTGAAGTGCTTCCCAAAAACACAGTTAATCATCATCATCATCATCATCATCGGTAGTTTAGTTTCTGAAAGACTGAAATATTTGCAGTTTTGTGCAGTATAAAATATTCACTTAAGTTCTGGTGTGTTTTGTACAGGAAAACGTTTTAATATATAAATACAATTCCTACTGAATATACTTTGCAGACACCTAGGTGTGACCAATAGGCTTTGGGGAAAAGCTCCCATTAGTGCCAGTGGGATATTTTTCCCTAATTGCAATTGCAGTATGGGATCCTAATAATTATCACCCCTCACTGCAAGCTGATGTTATGTGCCCCCCAAAAATATTAAAACTCTGCTCCTCAAATACAAATACACATTTAATGTGGTCACATGCAGTTTGGCTTGCAGAGAAGAGAAATTCTGAAAATTCTATGCCTAAAGTTTCTTAGGAGATAGCAAGCATGGCATGCAAGCCTCCAAAATTTTCACGCAAGAGAGCATGTCAGGTCTTTCCTCACACAACCGCTCTCCACATCTCTGGCATGTGGTCCCTGAAAGGTTGCCCTGAAGGGAATGTGGCGCTTGCGCTGAAATGGGCTCCCTGCCCCTGCTTTAGCTGCAAATTATAGCATCTTTGTCACTATACCTGCATGGGGGAAATGCTGCCTTTAGCTTTTCTAAAGAACACTGGCTTTGGTAGAGTTGTCTTTTCAAATTTCACAAAATCATTTCCCGTCTTTGCCTTCTTGTTCCTTAGCAGCACAGCAGCGCCACCTGTTTCCTGCAGGGAGAGAAAAGAGCAGCAGAGACCAATTAGCAGAGTCTGGACACAGTAATAGGATGCTGAACAGCACCAGGGGCCTTGGTGGAAATGGTCCGGCAAGAGCGCTGGACTAGCTCCTGCTGATGCACCTGCACCCAGCTGAGCCAACTGCTTCTCCTCTCCTTCTGGTAAGCAGCAGTGGCTCAGTCCCTGCTCCATCTCACCACTACTGTATTAAATGGGGATGTGTTGAATGTAAAAAAAGGCTGAGCCAGAGCAGTTTCTCATGCGCTGAGGGGCTATTTATGAGGGGCCTTTTGCAGGCAACGTAGGAGGCACTAGGTCTACTGGTGCTCACAGGAACCTTGTTAGCAAACCATGGGCATACAACATAGTCTATATACACTGCAAAATGTCCATGACTTCCACTCCTTTTTGTACAGCTAGATCACATAACTCCCTCAACCTTTAAGACCACAAACATTAGACAAGCCACGCACTGAAACTGCATGACTTCATCTGGAAAGACAAGAGGATGTCCGCATTAGTATGAGAAAATCCATTAAACTGGCCAACAGCAATCAGATCAGGAGTAGAGAATTTAAATAATGTCATGGAAATACAGGTAGTGAGGCCTTTGCTTGTCTAATCTTAAACTGTCAAAGCTTTAACTTCTTAGTTTCAGAAAACAGATTTTAAAAAGCAACAACACATGGGATTTGGGAATTGATTTCTTCTTTAGCTTCTATCTGGTCACCTGTTTTACTAGTAAAACCACCCATTATATACATTCTCTCCAAATAGAAGCAGAACGATCTGTGTTGGAAACATAGCTGTCAACTTTTCCCTTTTCTTGCAAGGAATCCTATTCAGAATAAGGGTATTTCCCTTAAAAAAAGGGAAACGTTGAAAGCTATGGTTGGAAATATAGCTGTCTGAGGCAAAAGTACACAGATCTGGTGCTACCTGTAAAGCAGAACATCAGAAAATGCAGCCCAATAGAATGTTTATTGTGGCCAGAGAGTCCTCCGCAACCTGCTCCCCAAGCTGAGGTGGAACCAGACATTGCAAGTTGCAGGACAGACCTACTTACACTGCTTTTGCTCTTTTTGTTTTCAACTTCAGTTACAGCTTCTTCCATGGAACTTAGGACTTCCTTGATTTTCTTTTTCTTTTTCAAGCTGATTATTTTCTGCTTGGAACCCCTAATCTTGACCAAATTTTGTTTTTTCCTCAATTTAACTTTTCGGAGCACTGTGCATCCAGATTCTGCCAAGTTTTCCTTTTTGGGCTGCTCAACAGCCTCTTCAGAAAAACTGCTCCCAGATATCACGCCAGTCCCTGCTTTCCGTTTCTTCTTAATTGCTTTGCTACCGCAGGCTACTGCAGCACAGTGGCTGGGATCTTCCTCGGTACTTATATGAGCCTGTCCATTTTGATGGGTGAATTCTATAGGGACTTTCCGCAGGCGGCCATTTTTCTTCTTGGGCTGTTTCTTTATGCTGTTTACCAAACAAGTCAAGGTCTCCAGCACAGAATCACCACTGATACCTACAGTGGGTGCGGCTGAAGAATCCATTTCACTGACCTCCATGCTTAAAGACTTCTTTGGTCTTTTCTTACTATTTAATGATTCACTGTCCTGGTTTGGCTCTTTGGATCCTTCCTCAGGGACCAGTCCCTTCTCATTACATTCAGCAGCTATACCAAAGTCAACCATCTGGCTGGACTTCCTCTTTCGCTTCTTCTTTTTCTTCTGTGGCCCTGGGCGCTCCTCCTCTTCCTCAATACCATTTTTTATGTTTCTAGAACAAACTGCAAAGACAAAATAAATAAGCTTTTAAATTCAAACAGGCTGTTGAGCAGCAGCCTCCTATCTCTCTTCCTGGGAAGGGGGCTCTACACCTGAAGAAAGAGTGGGTGGCCCCATCTCCTGGGGTGAGTGATTAGTAATCGAGGAATGGATACTACTATTAGACCCAGCTTCTGCGTGTCCCAGAGGTACTGCTCTAGTCACTGTTGGAAAACAGAATGCGAAACAAGATGAGCCATTGATCTGTCCACAACTAGGGCAGCTGCTATACTATTACTGTACAGTATTTGTTGTTAACAGAGCTGATGAGAACAACTACAGTACCACCTCGGTTTTCGAATGCCTCCATAGTCAAATGTTTCGGAACTCGAACGCCGAAAACCCAGATTAAATGCCTTGGTTTTCTAACGCACCTTGGAAGTAGAACAGGAAACATGGCTTCCTTCCTGAGGCTTCCGCTTTCAGTTTTCGAACGTTTCGGAACTCAAACGGACTTCCGGAATGGATTACTTTCGAAAACTGAGGTACCACTGTATTGTCATTGATTTTCATGTTAGATATTTTAATAAGCCCTGTTCAGATAACTGCCCCCCCCCCCCCCGGATTTGGATCACATTGAGGGGAAGATCAGAGCCACACTCACCAGCTCTGTTCCTATGCCCTCATTATCATGTGTGCGTATGGGGGGGGGAGGTGTGTGTGAATTAAGGAGTCAGTTCTATGTATGTAGGCTTCCTGCATGATTTAGAATGCTGATTGCTTCAAATCTTCTGCACCTCAATGTGTGGAAGGTTGGCAGGAACAGGACCTGAAAAGGCAGAATACTGGGTATATGGACCCACTCTCCTCGACATATGGCTGCTGTAAATTGTGTTAGGGGAGAGTGTCTAAACAAGGTTACGTTCATGCAGAAAGGCCTAAATGTTCAGGCTTTCCCTGGCAATTAACATTAGTTCCAGCCACCCTCTGTTAATTTACTTTCAGTTTAATTGAACAGAGACGTTACATCAATCAAAACGATACGCACACAAAAATATAAAATATACACACATATATCTAAGAAAAAGACAAAAGTTACAAATAAAGAGATGAAAAGAAATACAAAATAGCACTGTCTGCCGTTTCACAGGAGAGTCAGGAGAATTTGGCTGAGTCCCATTTCAAAATGTCCAGAGTCTGGAGGGAAAAGGCTGGCCAACCTATTGATTCAACACTGCGAGCACAGCATGCAGAAATCCTATTGAGAGTGCTTGATTTTGTAACACAATCAAGACTTCCCAAGTCTTCTGTCGTCATCTTGTATTTTTGATTATTATCTGTGGCATTTGCTTTGTCTAAGATATGATTTCAGTATATTTCTGAACTCTGTAAACTGCTTTAGGATTTTTACTCGCCAGAGGTATATAAATGCTTTTAAATACACAAACAAAACTTGAGGCCACTGCAAAGCTTCCACTCCCTTCCGGCTAATACTCCAACAGCAACAGCTATTTCTAATTTCCAGCAGAGACAATTTATTATCATAGTGAAGTTCAGTTAGAGTTGGTCAGTTACTTAAAGAAAGTAAAACAAAAGATGCTTAAAAGTGCAATCCTACAACAAGGCCCTGGGTTCGTCTCCAGGCGTTTTCCTCCTAGTGGCACAACAATAAAACTGCTAGCACATTTGCAAAGCTAAGCAGGGTCCAGAATCGTTTCAAATTGGATGGGGGACGACGTATTGGGATTACAGCATTGCAGGGTGTTGGACTAGATAACCTTCGGAGTCCCTTCCAACTCTACCATTCTATGATTCTACATGGAAGTCCTTCTGAGTTCCATAGGGTTTACCCTCCCAGCAAAGTTTGTATGGGATTGCAGGCTAAGTTAGGATATTACATACTGGTAACAACCTCACCTTCTTTTTCTGGTTGTGTTTTATCCAAGGGTTTGCCAGATTTCCTTTTCCACTTCCTCCTGCTGAAGGTATCATCATCTTCATCTGTAGAAACGTCTTCAGGGAAGTCATCCTGTGGAAAGGTCCCTGAAGTGAGAGAACACTGGAGTGAGAGTTTCCCCCAAGCAAATAGTGGCTCAGAGGTCCTTCACCCACACAACACTCTCTTTTCTCTACCTATACTTTAGTCCAGCCATCACCAACTTGGTGGCCTCCAGATGTTGTCAGACTGCACCTCCCATCAGCCCCAATCAGCATCTGGAGTCAGCCAGACTGGTGACAGCTGTTCTAGTGTGTATCTTTCTCCATTAACTTAAATGCCAAGCAGAACAAACTGTTCATTCAAAGAGAAGGGCAAGACCTTATCACACCTCCCCAAAGGCAGGGACGGCCACCCTTTGGGGATTATCTATCAGTGGCTACATGATGGTAATTGGCTGGGCTAAAGCAAAGATTGGGTGGGCACCCCTTCCCTCTCTTTCTGCCACCCTCTTCCTTTAAGTCAGCCCCTTCCACTCACACCCCAATCCATTCCTCCTTTATTTACCACCCACTTGCAATTGAGCAGAGAGCCGCATGTGGTTATGAGGCTGCAGGCTGTCTATGCTTCTTTAAGAGCAGGGATGGGGAATGTGTGGTCTCCAGCCCCCATCATCCCAAGGAGGATGAGAGTTGGTGTCCAACACTTGGAGGGCCACAGGTCCCCCTACCCCTGCTTTAGAGCGTCATGCGATACTGGACACAGATATATCTAGCTAAGTTCTACTCATTAAGATAAACAGACCAAAGTTAGTCCCGTCCATTTATTTCAATGGGTCAGCTCCAAGTGTGATTAATGTTAGGATACAAGCAATTTTCCAGTAGGTTATGATGGAGGTTGGACGAGATGACCCTCATGATCCCTTCCAACTCTATAATTCTATAAGAGGTGATATAAATGTCCCCAAAAGAAGCCCTTTCAGGTGCACATAAGATATCTGTTGCAAATTTAAAATGACTGTATTTTCTTTCCTATGCTACTGTACAATTCTTCATGGAAACGAAACAGTAGCAGATGTTCTTGAAGCCTCACCTTCTGCAAGATTTTGGAACCTGAAAAATAAGTGGAAAGGAATTATGTTGTCTCAGTTACACCCAAAAAGGAAGAGCTGACAGGCACTATGGGGAAGCAAAAGATAAAAGGGCAGGGTGTTGGGACTCCAGAAAGTGAAAGGAAAGAGAGGATAATCAGGTAAGTCAGCACAATCAGAAAGAACATTTATTACATAGGAACTTACTTTTTCACCACTTTGTACAGACACTTTCTGTTATAAGCAGGTGTGTTTTTTCTGCTGGCCAATTCAAACAGTGTGTCGCCAACAGTTTTATAATCAAACTGTAAACATAAAAGAGGAAGGCATTACAGCAACACAGATCAGCTGCATTCAATCATTTAGCGCAGAACCACTTAAGACACTAATTTACTGATTTTGTACTTACTCCAAATTGGAAAACCCCAATGGCAGGCATAGGCAAACTCGGCCTTCCAGATTTTTTGAGACCATGATTCCCATCATCGCTGACCACTGGTCCTGTTAGCTAGGGATTATGGGAGTTGTAGTCCCAAAACATCTGGAGGGCCGAGTTTGCCTATGCCTGCCCAGTGGAGCATCTCTGTCCAGCTCTGTCCCTGTGCTTCTTCCCCACCAGTCCAAGTACACTCATTCTCTCAGCCATGCTCCTTCACATCCTCAGGCCTTTGGTTACTGATCCTACAGCTGTCAGGCCTCACTTTCATAAATCCCAATAGGAACCACACTTCAGGAAATCTTGTGAGTCCAACACTCACAAAACTGCACAAGATTCACTTGTGTTCCAGGTCCTGCACTTCGAGAACCAGCAATTTGATCTACATTTAAATCAAGCAAGACAATAAAAATGGTCTTCTACCAGTTTTCAAAGAAAAAAAGATCATTAGGCTAGTTAAATATTGTTTGCGAGAGCTTTTCATTTATAAGAGAGCAGCCATCAAACTTAATCAGATTTAACAAGGCAATCCCTAGTGCTCAGACCCTACAGAAATTAGTATGTTGTCAAACTCAATACCCACCTGGAGAACAGGCCCAATGTTATCATCTGCATCTTCTAAAAGGTTGTCTGGTGCCTCTGAATCTAGGGAATGTTTGCTTGGCAAGTCTGTGCCTGCAGGATAAAAGCAACACGTTTTACAGAGCACCAAATGTGAAATCCATAACAGCCTTCACTAAGGTCAGTGAAGCTGCCATCAACATAAAGGAGAGATGCTTTATGCAAGCTGTTAGATGTTGCACACCAGCATCTTAAGGACAATGTGCGTGCACGCACACACAATCTCCCTTTACCCTCAAGTGGAAGGACACATGTGTCATGTTAAAACAGTGGCCAGAAAGGTGGGGAAATTTGAAAACGAGACAGAGTAATAAGCTTTGCACACATAGGGTTCTAGGTTCAATCCCTGGTATCTCTAGGTGGGGCTAGGAAAGAGCGCTCCCACAGGTGTCACATGTTCCCATGAGCTCACTTTTACTAGTAAGCAGATGGTTGCATTCTGAGTTGAAGTTTTCAAAGCAGAAGACATGACAGGAATCCATTCTAGACGTTCCAGTTATTACTGTGGCCAGGCTCATACCTTTGACGACTGGCTCGTTCTCTCCTTCATTACTTTCATCTTCTTCCGATAAGTCATCATCGCTCCCTGCTTTCAGTTCTTTCATTAAATCTTCTATAGCAAACGGGGACTGATCAACAATGGTTTCAAAGATGCCACGGATTATGACTTGCAGCAAAAGATGACTGAACCATTAAGGGGGAAGGGGGGGAAAAAGGAGCATCACAAAAGCATTCCATTTTATGGACCCTCTTTCCAATCTATCAAAAACTAACCCATGAAAATTGAAAAAATTGTATGCCATTTGCAAAGAGTAAATAAAAGAACTACCAATAAGTCAATCACATGGATTGTGAATCAGAAGCTGCTGTCTTTGGATTCGCCCAGGGTTTTCTTCAATATCACCATAGTAGCACCTGAGGATCAGGAACTAGCTTTTTTATCATCAGTACAAAAGAAACTCATGCAGTTCCCATAGCTACACACTTTCATTTCAAGGCACACAAAAGAAAGCTTTGCTACACAAACTGAACATTTCACTATCTCGCTTCTTCTGTTTTAATTATGCTCTGCGAGTCTATCCAGACATTATCTACTATTTAAGAAGAACGCCCCCCCCCCGACAACCCTTTAACTTCAGAGTCAATACAAGTAGCAAAACATAGCTATATAACATACTCCTTGGTCTTGGCAACGATTTTGCAGAATGGTTCTATAAATTTGAGATTCTGGTCTGCAGTGAGCTGCAAAAAAATAAAATACATGGTTAGTTCAACATCAACCTATTCCAATTCTACTCAAAGAGATGGGAAATTTCCCATTCTGAATATTCCCAAGGTTCCTTGAAAAGAGCTAGGACTCAGGGGGAAAGAAGCATTTTACAGTTGGGGTAAATATATCATAGAAGATAAGCTCTCTCTTGCCAAACAGATACTAACACAGGCTGGCTAAAACAAATACGATAGCCTACAACAATAGAAATACAAGGAGGAAATATATTTTATTTCTAAATATATATTTATGAATTACTGTGTAACCAACTGAAATGCTGTCAGGATTTGACATGATGTATTATCCTATCATCTGTTAAGGTTGTCATTATTATGGATTATTTTGTTTCCTTTTGATATAGCCTGACCAATTTCAAAAAGATGGAAACACATATCATGATGATATTACTGACACCCCTTTGTAATGTCAGATGGGAAGCATTATATAAAGTCTAGTTATTTCCACTGTACTTAAGGAAGACATTTTACATTTTAGGTAACATAAAAAGTTGAGCAAATCTGCAATTCACAATTGCTCCATGGTGAGGATTTGCTTTTATTAGCATTAACCAAAATTTTCAAATTTTATATGTTTATATAGTGCTACAACAACAACAATCAATTAGATAGTGTGCCCAACCTAAGCAAATAGTAAACACACACAGAGTAAACTTGACTTTAATATCCTTCCTAGGCGAAGACATTAACAGCACTCGTTTTAAGCATATATTTTAGGGAGACTTGCTAGATTGCACAGCAATACACAGAGATGTTTTGTTTCCTACCTCTTTAGCACCAACTTTAGCCAATTCTTCCAGATAGATGTCAATAAAATGCAATTTTATCCCAACAGGAGCCTTGCTGTCTGGGTGAATAACCTCCTTCATTAGCAGGTTCAGAAATGGCTCAGTAAAACTGGATGAAAAGCGGGGTGGGGAGAAAATAAAGCATGGTCCATTCATCTGTGTAACGTCATATGACATTGCATCAGTTCCAAAAGAGTGGCCAGCCACTGCTTTTGAAACAAAACAATCTGATCCACTGAAATAGAGCAACAGCGTGAATCAGATTTTTTCTTCTCTAAGTGATTTACTAGGGTGAGAGTTCCAGCAAGTTTACCCTCTCCCAACAAATCCTTTGATGAAAGCTTGTTTTAATACCTTAACATATAAAAAACTGTGTGATGTCAGTAATACGCAATTTAAAATTGCAGAGATATTCTAGAATTTTGCACTAAGCCCCTAAACCAGTGTTTCCCAAATGTGGGTCTCCAGCTTTTGGGACTACAACTCTCATCATCCCTAGCTAGCAAGACCAGAGGTTAGGGTTGATGGGAACTGTAGTCCCCAAAACAGCTGGAACCCCAAGTTTGGGAAACACAGCTCTAAACTTTTGTTTGTATCCAATGCAGTATAAAGGTTTCCAGCTTGTGCAACAGGACTGCCCCACACCATCCACAATCTGCTCTGAAGGGTTCGGGGGAACCCCACAACAGATTTAGGGGGCATGGTGGGAGCACTGAACCCTTATGCCAATGGGACACTTATGTTATGAATGCCAGCATGGTTGCTCAAGAGCGAACAGGCAAGACTCCCACTGGTCTTTTCAAGGCTTTATTATCTGTCCAAAACATTCACAATGCAGAACGTCTCAATTCCATGTCTGTTCAGTCGCTAGCAGAATCTGGGAGTGGGCGGTCCTTAAACTCTCCCCAGCAGAGCAGTCTTTTGACCCCCATCCTACGCCTTCCCTCTCTGCGCAGAGAGGGTGTGGACAAAGGGGGACCTGTCTCCCCCCCGCTTTGCTCCGGCTCGGGCGGCTCCCTGTAACCCAACTGCACTTCCACCTCCCGCCTCTGAGCTGATGGCAGTTCCCTGACAACTTACTTATAGCAATTCACTGGATATAAGATGGTAGGACTTCAAAATCCAAAATTTTCAGTGGCCATTAATTATTTTGGTCAAGCAAATATGTACATTGGTATAAGTTGCACAGCTGACACAACTTGCACAGGATTCATGGGAATCTCACCTAAGCAATGCAGATTTTCTATAGATTGGAAATAGATACAATACAGATTTTAACTATTAAACAATTCCTAACTTTTCTCACGGTGCAATTAATCTACTGAACCTCTACTCAAACCTTTATTTTCTTCTAGGAACACAATCTGGTATTTCTAGTGGATTGCATCGAGGCCTTTTTAACAAATAGGCCATGTGCCTCTTTTTTCTTCAGCAACAGAATTTATTGTGTGCATTGTAGGCAGGATGCAAGTGTGTGGGAGAAAATAATAGCAGAAACACTGAAATTTAATTATAAGAACATTTTTATTATTATTGTATTGCTACTTTATACAGCACTTTATATAGGTCTAAGTCTATGGATGTTTACTTAGGAATAATCCCCAGTGAAGTATTCTTACTATTGCTATTCAATTTATGGCCGTAGTACAAGTTTTAACACTGCCGTTAATATACGTCTACCCGGAAATATGTCACGTATGTGTTCAATTTATCTTAGAATTGCTGCTTGGAATACAAAACCAGATTTGCAGAAAAATATGTATAAAGGAAGTGAGCACAATATGAGCTTTTGGGATGAGGCCCATTACGTCAGCCTGGATAGCTCAGCTGGTTACAGCTTGGTGCCAAAAATGCCCAGGTTATAGGTTTGATCCCCATATGGGACAGCTACATATTCCTGCATTACAGGGGGCTGGACTAGATGATCCTCAGGGTCCCTTCCAACTCCACAATTCTATGCTTCTATAATGCTTATCAGGGATAGTGAAAGAAAAATTATTGGTAACTCATCAATAGATTTAGAGTGAGCAAGAGTAGTTTTAGTCTCTCTCTCTCTCTCTCTCTCACACACACACACGTGTGCACACACATACTCCCCAGAGGCGCCACCTACCTTTCATTCCATCCATTTCTTTTCAATACTTCAAAGGACTGTCTCAGCAACATGCGGATCAGCTAGGTTAGAAAAAGATACATCCCATCGTGTTTCAATTGATAGGAAATCATCACTTTGTTGACAAACATCTTAACCATCCATGCAACCTTATACATGTCTATAAGACCTACTGTTTCGATTCGGCTTTACCCTGAAATCAGCACTTATAGGATTATAGCCAATTTTCCTGTTTTTGTAAGAACGTAACTTCACATATAGAAATTTAAAGTCTTCTCTTGATGCTAAATGGATTACGGAAGTATGGTGAGACTGCAGAACTCATGCAAGGTTTCTCCATAACACCAAAATCCCCCAGCACACAACAGTAAAGATTAAACATGACATGTTCACGTCTCCCCACTCTGGTTTAAAAAATGTGAATTCTAACTTTACATTTGAAGAGTTCTCTATCTATTCCCATTGCTGAATCTTACTTGTGTTGTGTTGTGTTCATTCATTATGCTACTACCTAATTTTATGAAACAGTGCAATCCAAAAATTGGAAGATTTTTCACCCCACCCCACTGATTATGCCCCTTTAAAACACAGTTTAAGAAACAGCTTTTACCATGTAAAATTTATCTAAGCGCAGGTTGTCTATTCCATTCCACTCACGGTTCATGGTCTGCCAGAAAGTCTGAATGAACAAATGCCCTGCAGTGAAATAAATAGAAGCAGCTTTAAAGTTCCATACAAGCTGTGTTAGTTCAAAACATTTTCACTACACCTTTTATAAATGTAGAGGGGAAATATAAAGCTGAAGCTTGCAGTTTAAAAGAAATACGAGTACTGTAAGGTGGGGAATGCATAAGAGGTGAAAAAAAAATGTGCAATGTGATAAAAGTGGATAATTTCTCTCTCTCATAATACAAAAAGTGAGACCACCCAATGAAGCGGAATGTTAGACGATTCAGCAGAGACAAAAGATAGTACTTCTTCACATAATGTGTACTTGACCGATGGCTTTATCCTCTATCTACCCAAGTTGGTCATTGCAGTCTGCAGAAGAGATTTTCCTACAAGTTCCAAAGATTTCAGAAGCTTGCTCCACAGTAATGCAGGCTTTTAGTGTGTTTTGTGGAACAGCATTCCTGTAGCAATATGACAGGTGCCCACTATTTGCACTTTCCAGAAACAATTGAAGACAACTTTGTTATGACACTTTCCCAGCAGGGTGAATAGGCATCTGTCACTGGTGTCTATTTTGCATTTATTTTTATCCACTATTTTCTGTATTGTTTTAAACTGTTTTTATTGCATTCTTTACATCACCTTAAAATTTATACAGAAAATGATAAACAAACAAATAAATAGTAGCTACTGTAGAACTGTTTTCACAAGATGTAATGACAACCACCAACTCAGATGGCTTGAAAAGAGGATTTAATATCAATTCATGAAAGATAAGGCTACAAATGCCCCCTAGCCATGATGGCTGGTTATGCTGCTTCTAGTGTTAGAGGCAGTATGTTGCTGAATACAAGTTCCTGGGATTCAGGAGAGCGCTTCTGGGGAGAGCACTTCTGCAGTCAGGCCCTAGTTATAGGCTTCTCAGAGGCATCTGGCTGGCCACTGTGAGAGCAGGATGCTGGACTAGATGTGGCCAGCAGGATTCTATCTATTTTCACATGTGAAGGACAATTAAGACAACTCCAAATGTGAACAATGGTAGTTAATTATCTCTCTGTTCTCAATAAGTGAAGGAAGCACAAAGCCATCAGTGTGCTGCTGAAGCAAAAAACCTGAAGGGGTTGGCAAGGATCAAATCCAACCCATCAAATCCATCCTACTCCCCAAGGCCTAATTTTCCAAGATTTATCCAGAGGGAGCTGACATTTTATTCTCCCAACAGAAACATACACAGGACCTATTCACATGTTATTCCAGTTACTTCTCAGAACTGCTCAGTACAGATGGAGAGAATGTCTGACCTAGCATTCCACATGTTTCAGCTGAATTCTATGGTTAAGTATAGCTGCCCGCATTGATGAGTTCTACAGGAGTCTTGATGATGAGTAAGAATTTCACCTTGTGACCAATAGAGCCTCTTATATGTAGTAAGGTATGCAATTCTGCAGCAAACAGTGGCTGCCCAAACACTGCCCTCAAAAAAAAATAATCATGGGCTATTCATGTGGTTTTCATAGAAAATGAAGACACAATGCTTCAGGACATCAATTCTTTTTTTATATACTAATAAGCATAACAAACAAACTTGGCTGGAAACCCCTGAACATATAATAAAAGTAAAAAATAAAAAAATAAAAATAACTTACAAGCATCTATATTCTCTATTACATGGGTAAGTTGTGCTATATTGTTCGATAACTCCTCCTAAAAATGAAAGGAATTTTTTTAGTATACAACGTTCCAAGAGTAGATTCCATTTTTCCTTTTCAGAAACTACCCCCTCACTCCCAAACACTGAAACTGTTCTCTAAACTCCCCCAAACAAAGAAAAGATTATTTGATAATTTGACCAATAAGGTCAAACTATATTATCACAGTTGGTCTGAAATAGTAGACAAACGAAGAACCTTACCCAAAACAGGGTGGACATTTCAACGCAGAATTTGGTCAGAGACAGACCTACAACAGTCTTCTGTGCTACCTGTACAGTAGCAGACATGTCTCCAAATTTCAACCACTGACTATTTACTTACCACACTCCTCACCCTGTACAATTGTCTTTCATGTTATTATGGGGACAAAAAAATCACCTCCAAATTCCAACTGAACATTGGGTATTTTGTTACCCCCATATACTGTAACATGCCAGAGGGGGAAAATACATGAATAAAAGCATAAACAACGTCAGTGCATGATGAAGAAGGGGCACAGTGTCCTCTCCAGCCATTACACTGTGCTCCCGAGGGTGGAGCAGGCAAGGTCCACAGACAACTGCTCCATTCATAGGCAATATCACGGCAATACATCCTTACACAGATTGTACATACCTGAAGCAGGGGTTTATCCTGCATCCACATGCAGTAGAACAGTCCTTTCCATATTTTCAGCCATTCTTCCTGGCTAAAGGTATCTGGAGCAACAGAAGTAAACTGCGTATTAGAGAAAAGGAGGCAAGTTTCCCCAGCCTGTCCTACAAAAGCCCTTACCCCTAGAGATAACGGGAGCCCATTTGCCCATGAAGAGCGGCGCCTCCCCTTCAACCGTACCATGACTCCACACTCGCTTATCCCACCGACCCTCAGTAGTTCACACGGTACCTGAGCAGCAGAGCCCGGTTGCAAGCACCTCACGTCCCGGCGGCCATGTGCCCGCTCAACCCCACGCCCGCCTTTCCCTCCTCAGTCCTGTCGCTGCTTCGGGCGGCTGCTCTTCTGCCCCACGCGCTGCCCTCTCCGCCGCTCCAGCAACCCGGGGCGCCCGGCTGCTCTGCCCCACCAGCGCCACGTGCTTCCCCCGCATCCCTTCCCCGCTCTTACTCGCCGGGCTCCGAGTCCGGAGAGCGAGGTAGCCGCGCAGCTTCTTCAGCGCCCGGTCCCGAACTCGCTTCTCGTTCGCGGCCAGCCTCTGTGCGAACTGAACCTCCGGAGGCTGCGCGGCGGCGGCGGCGGGAGCCATGACACCCCCACCACGGAGAGAGAGAGAAAGGTAACGCGCCGCCCTACGTGGGCCGAGCCCGGGCAGCCTCTGCGACGCCTGCGGATGACGTCAACAGCCGCTGCTCCGTCGCAGACCCACAGGCGCAGAAAGCCGCGAGCCCGCCAATTCGGCCGCTGGAGAGAAAGGGGCGGGGCATAGCGGAGGGGGCAAGGCGGCGAGTGGCGCAGCGTGCAACCCTACCCAGTCAAATAGGGCGTTTAATATGCCCTCTTCTTTATACCCAAGTTGTGAACGAGAATACGAGCAAATTAAAAATACACGGTCAACAAACAGGAAAAAAATAATCCCATATCAAAAAAGCATGCTATGGGACCTACTCCCAGGTCCCATACACATCGATACACAGAAATCTCCATTGAGTTCGATGAGGCTTTGCCCCAGCGGGTGTAGGATTGCAGCCTTATTCCCACCGAAGTCATGGTTTTACCTTTGCGAAAAGGTTGAGGGCGTTTTTGTTCAAGGCGAGCAAGTAGGGGTGACGTGACAGGTGCAATCAACGCCACACTCGAATCAGCCACTGCAATGCTGGCATCCGTCTGTTTCGAGGGACAATCTGGCCTGGAGTATGCTTCCAGGCGTGAAGTCAGACCGCTACGTTAGCAGCACCGAAGTGACCTCCCCGGGGAGCAAGCCTGGGCAGGGTGCATGGAGGCCCTGGGCTGCCCAGGCGACAAGACCCCCCTCTCGGCCTCACTGATGGTCCATAGGAAAGCAGAGCAATACTTTATATGAGAGCTGGGGCTGGTCGTAAAGGCAGCTAGCTGTTCGATTTTTGTTGGCAAAGGATAATGTCACAGGCGCGGATCTTCACTCAAATACTACAAAAGAAACAAACATTTTATTGTATTGCTAACCTATACAGAACCGATGTCATGTAAACTGCATAATTCTACATTGCAGGGGGTTGGGCTAGATGACCCTTGGGTACCTTCCAACTCTACACTTGTTTGATTCCTCTAACAGGCTGTGCGCGCATCGCGAGGAATCTCAATTTTATCCCCTGCTTCACATTCCCGTGCCATCCCCCCCCCCCCCCGTCTTCTCTCAGGCTTGAGTTCACCCTTCCACCAAACGGAGCTCGCCGCTGATAAAGGAGGAGCGAAGGGTTTCTTCGAAATTAATCTCTATGGTTTTTTGCGCGAGCTTCCAATGTTAAGTATGGGGTCTCCGCCACAGAGGTGCGAAAGGTGTAGAGCGGACACCATCGAGAATTTGGACTGGGGCTGCTTCCGAATTCGGAACGGAAGTTCCGAGGTGCGTGACCCCACCCACTTCCCCCCACCCTCCTCCTATCACGCGTTGGGAGGGTTAGCTGGGCGGGGCCAGAAGGGACTCCTATCTCGCTCGCTCGCTCGCTTGCTTCGCGGCTGGCTGGCGTTGCTATGAAGCGCGCGAGCCGAGTCAGCGCGTGCTGCCCGCGGGAGGGCGAGCAGGTAGCGCGAGGGCTCGGCCCAGGAGGACGAAGGAAGCGCCTCGGCCTGCTCTCGTTCCGTTAGGATCCGGCGCTGAGCGCGGGGATGAGGGACGAGCCCCTCTTCGCCCTCCTCACAGCAGCCTCTGAGGCACCTTCGTCCCCTGTCCTGTTCCCGCCTCTACCCCACAAAACACACCGGGGGACGTTGGGATAGCCGCGCGCTCTCAAGCTTAAATGATACGATGGTTGAGGGGATAAAAAAAAGGGAGAAGGGCAGTTGTGGGTGCAGCCTCCAGCTCCTTATAAAGGGCGACCTTGGCCCAAACATGGAGTCAGATACGCCCTTCTGCTCTTTCCCCTCTCTTCCCCTGTCTGTGTCACAGACCACAGAGGCCAGCAGGCCTAGCAGTTAACAGAACTGGGGCTGGTGGGAGTTGTAGCCCTGACAGCTTTTGGAGGGTCAAAAGTTATCGAAAACTTTATGACTGGAACATTTTCCTTGGTGCGTGGTAGCTTTGGAGTCATGGACTGAAATTTGAGGCATCCGGGTTCTTTTGCTAGTGCTTAAGATGGTGCCTTCAATTTGTCATTCAGAACTGAGAAATAGTTGTTTACAACACCCCTGTAATGTAGACTTCTGGACTTGGAAACTTAGGTTGGACTGTGGTTATTGTAGTTGGGGGGAGGGTGAAGAAATTTCAGGGGTCTTAAAAGCTGAAAACAGTTCTAGAATGTGGCCAACATGTCATATACGCTAAATAGTAAGTGCAGAGAAAAAGATAATGAGTTTTTGTTTCTGTTACAGAAAGTGGAGACGCAAGGGGAATTTGTTAAAGTCAGAAAGAGAGCTTTGGAGAGGCTGACTACTGAAGTGATGCAGCTACATGACATTTTGCCCAAAATACTGAATTATGATATCTTGGAGAACTTGCAGAAATTGGATGCTGTTGAAACAAGTGAGTTCTTAGGTTCTGTCATTAATGCTATAAAATCATTAATGCCATAAAAGCAGCTTCGAGCGAACAACTTAAGTTTGTGGTGGTGGTGGAGAATATTCTTGAAGTAACTGAAAGTTGAATAATCGAGGTCCAAGTTAGATAGGACATAGAAACGTTTAACTCATTCTTGACCTAAAGAAAATACTTGTGGTTGGGTGAGAAGAGGATTTCAAAATGTCAGAGAGATAAGGGAATGCCCAATCCTTTCCTTGTCTGATGCTCCTCTGTTTCAAATCTTCTCTGGGGAAAAACAGCTTTGGGAGGGAATAGTGATTTGGAGTGGAGAAATGGTTGGCAGGGAAAGGGTTAAGCACCTGCCTTTTCACTGCTTCTCTCCAGCACCTTCTTTACATATTTCTCATGGCAGAATCTGAGCTTTTTCACTTAGCCACATTTTATATTGCTACTGATTAGTGGCTACATGTGCATTATAGTAAAGTGGTACCTCGGTTTACAGATGCTTCAGATTACAGACTCCGCTAACCCAGAAATAGTACTTCGGGTTAAGAACTTTGCTTCAGGATGAGAACAGAAATCGTGCGGTGGCGGCGCAGTGGCAGCGGGATGCCTTATTAGCTAAAGTGGCACCTCAGGTTAAGAACAGTTTCAGGTTAAGAACAGACCTCCAGAATGAATTAAGTTCTTAACCCGAGGTACCACTGTATTTGAGAATGCTTGTTCTTCTTTTTATTGTTTTACTTGAGCCCTCCATTTTTTACAGTTGTGGAAAGGAAAGATATTGAAGTGGAGCAATTAAGAATGGATTGCGAACACTATAAAGCCCGTTTAGAAGCAGCCCAAGCAGATTGTATGAAAGAAAGAAAGGTAGGTAGATTATTAGCTGAAACCCACTCTTTTTACGTACACAATTGTGCTATACCTCTAACAATAAGGGCAATCGTAAACATGCCTACTCAGAGGTAAGTTCAGTGGGACTTAACTCCAGCTAAGTGTAGGAAGAAGTGCAACGTCCATACGTGTTGAGACAGTTGGGGGGGCATGCTTTTCCGTACTGGCAATCCCCCCTTTTTGTAGAAAGGTTCCTGCAAAAAGAGGTATGAAAGAAGGTTCATTCTGTCTTATGGTAGCCTGTTACATCCTACAAGTTGCTTGGGGAGTTTCTGAGCCCTGCTGCAAAGACCTAGCCGAGGTATAAGAAAAAACAAAAGAGAAGCTTTGGATTGATCTTTCCAGAGTTCTGTGAATATGGAATTTCCCAAAATCTTGTGTAATATTCTCAGGAAACAAGGGATAACATTAGCATCTATGCCATCCATCACATGGAAAAGATTACAGGGAGAAATTATGGAGAATTGCTTTTTAATGCCAATGAAGCTAAAGAATTGTATTAGGAAAACAAGGAAGGCAACAGTCTCGCATACAGATTTACAAATAAAACCAGTAGAGACTATCTAACTTAGCCAGTTACCTGCTTGAGTATTTTCTTGGATTTCAGAGCACATTCAGAGTTCCTGGTAAAACAGAGGTTCTGAGAGAGAGAGAGCATCTTTGACTCTTGCTTAGGTGTTTCCCAGAATATAAAAAACTGAAATGAAAGTTTCACATATTTATGGGAATCAGAGACTAAGCAAAGTTGGCCTCCTTCCCATGATGGGTTATTGCTTGGCTCTGTCATGAAACCTCTTCCATCTCTGATGTAACTGTTCTCTGGCCAGCTAGAAAATTACTTAGAGGTTAGTTCCACCTTTTAAACAATTTTACAGCTGTACAGTATATTGAAAAATTTAAAGCTACATTTGGATGCAACATTGTGAAAAATCTTCAATCCTGAGTGTTTGTTCAGAAACAGTTAAGGATATATGATTCATACTAAGGGTTCCAGATGCTCTAAGTAGCACTGTGGAGGTCCATCAGAGAACATAGCTGTTTGTAACATATGTCAACTCACATTGAGCTCAGTGAGAGTTCCAAGTAACTATTGATCGCAACTTTTGTTGACATTTTAGACTACAGTCCTCCAGTCACTTTCCTGGTAGTAAATGCCATTGACTTTAGTGGGATTTGCCTCTATACTTTTCATGTATTAACCTACAATACAGGACTTTCCTGCTGGTTTGCTGTCTTATGTTCATGCTAGCATATCACAGGAATGATTCAATTACTGTATTTTTCGCTCCATAGGGTGCACCGGACCATAGGGCGCACCTAGTTTTTTTTGGGGGGGGGAAATAAAGAATTTTTTTCCCACCACCCCCCAGCCCCAAAGAGCCAAGACAGCCAGCGGGATCCATCCCACTGGCTGTCTTGGCTTCCTCTTTAGCCACGCGCAACCTCTCCAGGCGGCAGAAGCTGCGCACGGCTTTGTTTTTAGCCGCGGGGCTGGGATGGGGGAAGCCCAAGCTTCCCCCGCCCCCAGAACAGGCTGCTATCTGCAAGCCTTCGGAGCCCAGCGGGAACTCCCACCGCACTCAGAAGGCTTGCGGAGAACAGGCAGCTATCCACAAGCCTTCGGAGCCTGGTGGGAACTCCCGCCGCGCTCAGAAGGCTTGCGGATAGCTGCCTGAAGCCTCGAGAGCGAGAGGGGTCAGTGCGCACCGACCCCTCTCGCTCTCCAGGTTTCAGCGAAAGCCTACATTCGCTCCATAGGATGCACACACATTTCCCCTTCATTTTTGGAGGGGGAAAAGTGTGTCCTATAGAGGGGAAAATGCGGTAATTTAGTGTTACTGGATCTTTTGTAGCTAGGAATAATTCTGTAGTGTAATTTCTTGAATTGTTTTCATTTTTCCTTTCTGGACAAGGTTTGTGGAATGTCTGCTATTTCTGCTTCACCCACCTCCCCATTCCTTTATGTGCAGCCCCATGCACACTTACCTTTAAATTCTGTATAGCTTATTTGCAGGTAAGCCTCAGCACCTAGGACTTGCCGATCGAAAGGTCGGTGGTTCGAATCCCCGCGGTGGGGTGCGCTCCCGTCGTTCGGTCCCAGCGCCTGCCAACCTAGCAGTTCAAAAGCACCCTCGGGTGCAAGTAGATAAATAGGGACCGCTTACCAGCGGGAAGGTAAACGGCGTTCCGTGTGCTGCGCTGGCTTGCCAGATGCAGCTTGTCACGCTGGCCATGTGACCCGGAAGTGTCTTCAGACAGTGCTGGCTCCCAGCCTTTAGAGTGAGATGAGCGCACAACCCTAGAGTCTGTCAAGAGTGGCCCGTACGGGCAGGGGTACCTTTACCTTTTTTTTTAACTCCATCTTCACATGGAGAATGCATTTTTACCACGCTGATAGAGGAACAATTGTACCAAAAGTGTACTAGTTTACATAAGATGTATCAGGCAAGAGTTTTCAGGAGAGATCTAACAAATCTTTTGAGTTCTGTTTCCCTCCAAACCTCCTTGTGGTACCAAAGACAAAAGCTTGCCCCTTTGCCAAAGAGGGAGCTGCACTAATGGAAAGCATATCTTTTGCCTGGCTCAGGTTGTAATCCTAACGCAATTTACATTAGGAATAGAATTGTAGAGTTGGAAGGGACCATGAGGATGGTCTAGTCCAACCTTCTGCAGTGCAGGAATATTCATTACAGGGGATAAAACCTGCAACCTTGGCATTACCAGCACCATTCTCCAACCAACTATTACAATATAATTCCCATTTAATGCAGTTAGGATTTACAGTGGTGCCCCGCAAGACGAATGCCTCGCAAGACGGAAAAACCGCTAGACGAAAGGGTTTTCCGTTTTGAAGTTGCTTCGCAGGACGAATTCCCCTATGGGCCTGCTTCGCAAGACGAAAATACCTTGCGAGTCTTGAGATTTTTTTTTCGCTTTTCCCCCCCTTTATCTAATCTGCTAAGCCTTTAATAGCCTTTAATAGCCTTTTAGCAGCTAATCCCCTAAGCCTTTAAGCCTTTAATAGCCGCTAAACAGCTGATAGCGCTAATAGCGCTAATCCGTCAATGGGCTTGCTTCGCAAGACGAAAAAACCGCTAGACGAAGACTCTTGCGGAACGGATTAATTTCGTCTTGCGAGGCACCACTGTACCGTATTTTTCCCTCCATTGGACGCACCGGACCATAGGACGCACCGGATCATAGGAGGGGGAGAACAGGGAAAAAGATTTTTTTTCTTGTTCTCCCCCTCCAAAACAAGGTGCGTTCAAGGTACATTCACCAGAGCTTGTGGGGCTGGCGGTGGGGAAGCGCTGCTTCCCCACCGCCAGCCTCAAAGATCCCTGAAGCCTTTGGAGCGCAGCGCCTCGCTGCCCTGCACAGGTTTGCGCGCAGCCGTCCCAAGCTAGAGCAGTGAAGCGGAGCCCTCCGTCTCGCTGTTCTGGCTTAGGAACAGCCTTGCTACCTTCTGCAGGACAGCGGGGTGAAGGCACCCCGCTGCCCTGCAGAGGTTTGCGCGCAGCCGTCCCCAAGCTAGAGCAGCGAGATGGAGCCCTCCGTCTCGCTGTTCTGGCTTGGGAACAGCCTTGCTAGCTTCTGCAGGACAGCGGGGTGAAGGCACTCCGCTGCCCTGCAGAGGTTTGCGTGCAGCCGTCCCCAAGCTAGAGCAGCGAGACGGAGCAGCGAGACGGAGCCCTGCAGAGGTTTGCGCGCAGTGTCCTGCAGAAGCTAGCAAGGCTGTTCCCAAGCCAGAACAGCAAGACGGAGGGCTCCGTTTCGCTGCTCTAGCTTGGGGACGGCTGCGCGCAAACCTCTGCAGGGCAGCGGAGTGCCTTCACCCCGCTGTCCTGCAGAAGCTAAGAAGGCTGTTCCCAAACCAGAACAACGAGACGGAGGGCTCCGTTTCGCTGCTCTAGCTTGGGAGGGCTGCGCGCAAACCTCTGCAGGGCAGCGGGTGCCTTCACCCCGCTGTCCTGCAGAAGCTAGCAAGGCTGTTCCCAAGCCAGAACAGCGAGACGGAGCGCTCCGCAGTGCTCCGTCTTCCTGTTCTGGCTTTGGGCTTAGCGGCGCAGCCTGCATTCGCTCTATAGGACGCACACACATTTCCCCTTAGTTTTTGGAGGGGGAAATGTGCGTCCTATAGAACGAAAAATACGGTACTTCTGAGTAGACATTGTTAGAATTGTGGCTCATATTACCAAGAATACTTGTTTGAGAACATTGCTACTATCTATTTTTATATAATTATCCAGACTGTTCTTTTCTTCTGATTATGACAGTGTAATGTTGCCATAGAAGCTGCGAGATGAAATTCTGATGAATATGCTTAAGTTTGCCATGCGTTCTATATCAAGCTCCTTGAAGGAAAATGGAATGTAAATGTAAATATAAATAAGCAAAAAGTCTTCTACGTATGCAAATATGAGAGAATTCCACAGTTTAGGAAGAATTTAAATCTTAGCAGATCTACTTCACCAGAGCCAAGTTTTTTTGTTTTTTGTTTAATGCTCAGAGGACTTTGGAACTTATTGAGAAATCTAATTAGAACGGTCTGATATAATCCAATATGAATCACATATTAGCTTTATTACTTTCAGGAAAAATTAACTGTTCGGCAGCAGCTGAATGAGGCAAAGCAACAATTATTGCAGCAAGCTGAATACTGTACAGAAATGGGTGCTGCAGTTTGCACGTTGTTGTGGAGTATCTCTAGCAATGAAGAAGCAGTTAAAAGTATTCTAGGAAGTGTAAGTTCAGTGACTGCAGAGATCTTTATTTGTTACGTATTATACACAAATGACAGCGTTGACTCAAACATTTTTTTAAAAAAATTACTTTTGTGCCATTCTGATTAGAATGTCCATATAGCAGCTGACAATCTGCATTTGTTTACTGTGATTGAGACACTAAAATTGCTACATTATTATTAGTAGTAGTAGTATTAGTAGTATTTCTACACCGCCCACCAGGCTAGGTATCCCCAGCCACTCTGGGCGGCTTACAGCATATATATAACATTGTAAAACATAAAACATTAAAAACTTCCCAATACATCAGGAAAAGTGGTTAAAAGTTCCTATTCCAAATGCCTTTGTGAACAGTACAGTTTTCAAAGATGTATTTTGAAAGGCAGTGATAACTCCTGCCAGACTTCTGTTGCCAAGGATTTCCTTAGAGCAGGACCTGGTACACTAAAGACTCAGTCTCTGGTAAAGACCAACTACAGTGGTGCCTCGCAAGACGAAATTAATCCGTTCCGCGAGTCTCTTCGTCTTGCGGTTTTTTCGTCTTGCGAAGCACGGCTATTAGCGGCTTAGCGGCTATTAACGGCTTAGTGGCTTAGCGGCTATTAACGGCTTAGCGGCTTTAAGAAAAATGAAACAAACTCGCAAGAACTCGCAAGACGTTTCGTCTTGCGAAGCAAACCCATAGGGAAATTCGTCTTGCGGAACGACTCAAAAAACGGAAAACTCTTTCGTCTAGCGAGTTTTTTGTCTTGCGAGGCATTCGTCTTGCGGGGCACCACTGTAGATGTAAAGGACACCACCAAAAATGTCCCATCACATGATCTCTGTGATCAAGGTGCATAAGGAATTAGGTGGCCTTTAAGGGACTTTGGGCTCATGTTTTTAAGGCTTTGTGAATTTACACAGTAAACTTGAACCTGGCCTGGTACCAAATCAGCAACCAGGTAAGTAGATGTGTATAGGATTCCACTATAAGTCACTTTAATTTGTGAATAAATATCCAGACTTCAGAATAAAATTCCTTAGGGAAAATACAAAATGTATGAACCCACAGTAATTGTAATCTGTGAATGAACTATATATGACAAATTCAGTCTATGTGCTAGGTTTACCCAGCTCAAACCATAATTTCCCAACTGCTATGTGTAAGACAAATTTTTTTCAACAGCTATGTGTAAGACAATAACTGCTGCAGCATATTAATATGGTGTAGTGGTTAGCATAATCAAATTAGGACTAGGGAGACCCAGTTTCAAATTTCCACCCTGCCATTAAGCTTACTGGGTGTCACTTGGTTACATTATCTGTTGGCCTGTCTTGTTGTGAAGCTTAAATTAGGATGACAGGTGGATAGATGACCCTGTATGGCACCTTGAATTCCTTTGAAGTTAAGTGGTATAATACATTTCCCTTGTTGCTTTTTCTGTCACAACCTGAGCAGCTTGTCTCTGTTGGCACATGCACTTTGGGGTTTTTCCTTTCTTTATCTGAGGTGCTGTCCCCTGCACAGAAACAAGGAGATTAGTGGCATATATTATGGCACACATTTATTTATGCCCTGATATTATTTATTAGTTTTTCATAAATCTAACTTTTGGAACTAGCTTCTTGTCCTCTGGGCCTTTGGATAGGCCATCTGAATACATTAGCACAGCCTTTCTCCACCTTGGGTTCCTAGATGTTATTGGATTACAACTCCCATCATTCCTGCACAAGATGGTCAGTGATGATCGGAGTTGTAGTTCAAGAACATCTGGGAACACAAGGTTGAGAAAGGCTGCATTGCAGGTTGATTTAGGTTTCTGTTTTCTAAGATTATATTTTATAGAGTTGTGACCTGCCAAGGACCTCTTGTGCAGGATCTAAATCTGAAGAATGAATAAACTAATGAAAGGAAATAAAGTGCCACAGGATCCTTCGTTGTTTTTGCTACTAACACAGCTACACATCTGGAAATGTTTGTGCTCTGTACATAGGTGAAACCACCTGTTCTGCTGCTCCTCTTGAACATGGGTTACATTCTTGATGTATGCACTGAATGGCATCTCAATAATATGTTGGAATCCTACTAATCTGATGCCTAGTTTCATAATGTTTGTAGACATTATTTTCCTAGTTAAACTCTTCTTGCTACAGTTGCTAGGAGAGTTAAAGTCACTGAAAAACATTTGTCTTAATAGAGGAGTCTTGGTAATGTTCTGTGCAGATCAGTATCATAGTGCCATTGAGTTTTACCTACTGAAAAAAACTAACCATTATTTAAAAACTCATAAGTTCATAACCATAAAGTAGTAATTTTTCCTTATGAATTTTCAGAGTAAAGCTATAAAGTTTTTTAGCATTGCTGGACAGACTATGGAGAGTTTTGTGCGATCATTAAGTGAAGATATCAAACAGCAAGACATGGATTCTGATGAAAGTCAGTTTGTGTTAGGTTTGGCAGGGATTGTTACAAGTAAGTTTGTCCTGGAATGTCATAGGAATAATGAAACACATCATATATAAGTTAGCATTTTTTTAAAAAAGTTTTTACCTTTCAAAAGACTTTCTGATATACTTCAGAGTAACTTTTAGTAGTTTAGCTGTAGCATTTAGCAAAACTGACCTCCCCATATTAATGACTTCCTGCTTGAGAACAAATATTGAGTACAGTGGTACCTCTGGTTACATAAGCTTTAGGTTACATACGCTTCAGGTTACAGACTCCGCTAATCCAGAAATAGTGCTTCAGGTTAAGAACTTTGCTTCAGCATGAGAACAGAAAACGTGCTCTGGCGGCAGCAGGAGGCCCCATTAGCTAAAGTGGTGCTTCAGGTTAAGAACAGTTTCAGGTCAAGTACGGACCTCTGGAACGAATTAAGTACTTAGCCTGAGGTACCACTGTAAATTGCTTCTTATGTGTAGGATAATAAAACCGATGCATGATTTTAAATAGAACTAGGGAAATGTTGCCCCTGTGACAGATTCACTCTACTTCACACTCACTTGCACTGCCCAGTGCATGCAAACACCACATATATACAGGCTAGAAACATATGTCTCAGTCACTCACACTACATACAAACAGCTACACATACATACTTCCCCCACACCCCAGTGTACATACTTTTTTTCTCCATTAGCATCTTTTGCTCCCCACCTAGCTGATCCTTCTTTTCCTCTCTCAATACAGGAACATCTCCCTGCCCTACCTCGCAGATCCTTCTGCCTCTATCCAAAAGTGTATCTTTCACCCACACCCCACAGATCCTTCTCTCTCTACCCAGGAGATAGGCAGAGTGCTTGAAGGCTTTCCACAAGCATCTGGTCACTCACTGTGGAAACGGGATGATGAATTGGATGGGTCATTGACCTGACCCAGCAGGATCGTCTTATGTTCTTAAGAGCGTATCCTGTAACCATGAAGTGATGGGGAAGCTATCCTGTTGCTTCTCCCCCAGCACTCGAAGCAAATCCCTCAGGGCTTGCAAAAGGCCTGTGAAGCAGCTGGGACACCCACACCACTCAAATTAAAGCTGTCCATGGCATGCAAATCCTACACAGGCTTTTTATAACCTCAGAAACAGCCTTAACCATGTAAGCTAAATTAACAAACTTCATAAGAGTAAAGGAAGGCAGACAAAAATATAATTAATGTATTGAAAAGTGGAATCTGTTTATCCTGTATTAGTCTACTGGAATAATAAAGTGCAAGACCTAGCCCAATACTACTCTTTAGTGGGGAACATATAGGAATATTTTTATATAAATTATCAATGTAAACATTATTGTAATGTTTTTGTTATTTATTTTTATACCTCAAGTAGGCTTTTGTATTTGTGAGGATTGTAATAACTTTTACAAACAGTGAAATAATACTTAAATACACTTTAGTCAGGTGTGATTGATACATTTATATATGTATCTGAATTATGTATGTACTTTATTGTTCATAATATTTGCAAAAACAGTGTTATTTTACATAATAACATTTGTAAAAACTCGTTACAACTAGGCTTGATAAGGAAGTGGGTTGTGCTTATATTTCAGGTTTCTGCAGAATTTGTCCCTCTCAGCCCATGGTTTTCCTCCATAGCTACAACATTTCTCGATTTTTTTAATCTCTAGGAGATGCTGTAGTGAAACATAGCACCCAAAACCAGCACATCGTTATTGTTGTCTTGTGGGGGATTATTTTCTAGAAATAACCTTCCCATAGCCTTCCCAACAATTACTGTACAGAATTTTCAGTAGTGCTGTTAGCTTACAAAATTGTGCTGAATAAGAATTTTTCTCTCTTTAAATTATGGTTTTTTGTGTGTGTGTTCTCTTTTGTAGATGTTGCTGCTTTAGCATGTGGTCGTGAATTCCTAGTTAATTCAAATCAAGTATTGTTGGACACAATGATGCAACTTCTGGGAGACATGAAGCTTGGATGCTGCACAAAACTTAAAGTGTATGATGACTGGATGTTTTTAGAATGAAACTTGTTGTCTTAACAATCTAATATAGTCAAGAATGATATATAGCGTGGTGGAATGTTTAAAGTGGTGTGAACTAAAATGAGTTGTTAAGTGGGGAGTCTATAATTTAGGTAAGCTGCTGTTAGACTTAACCCCTAACCCCTCCCTCCCGCTGTATCTTTAGTATGGAGGATAATACTTGCCTACCTTACAAATGCCTCTGCTTTCTTGTGTGTACTAACATTGGTCATGAGTAACATGAGAGAGGCTCCCAGGTAAGGTTTATGAAGACACTACGAGAGTGGGCAAGTCATCTTTATTGACAGAAGACAATGGGTTTCCAGGGTGCAGTCGTTAGTGGATGGTGTGGTGTGGCAGCAGCACTTACCTGACCTCCCAACAGCTGTGTTGCTGCTGCTTATGGGGAAGAAGAGTGGGATGGGTGAAGTGGCAGGGTGAATGTACTGGCAGGAGCACTGGATTGGTGTTGCTGTTGTGTGTGCACTGTCCTATTCACTTCTTCCCCTTGACCCTTCCCACTGGGGGGAAGGGTTGTATCAGTAGAGCATCTGCCTTACAAGCATTGTAGATGTCATAGCATATTGAACATGGGGATAAAATTATAGCAAGTACTTTGGCCATCCTTGCATTTGAGCCTCGCAGTCAGCCCAAAAGATCAAATCCAAATCTCTGGAAAGTTTCAGAACTGACGTCCTTAGAGATGTGCCTCTGTCAGTTTGCTGGGTGAAGGAGCAGCAAACCAAACACATTTGTGCAAGAGTTTATGAATGGGTAAAGAGGCTTTCTGTATTAGAAGAAGAAGAAGAAGAGTTTGGATTTGATATCCCGCCTTTCACTCCCTTTAAGGAGTCTCAAAGCGGCTAACATTCTCCTTTCCCTTCCTCCCCCACAACAAACACTCTGTGAGGTGAGTGGGGCTGAGAGACTTCAAAGAAGTGTGACTGGCCCAAGGTCACCCAGCAGCTGCATGTGGAGGAGCGGAGACGCGAACCCGGTTCCCCAGATTAGGAGACTACCGCTCTTAACCACTACACCACACTGGCTCTCACTTCCTTAATAAGCTGTTTAGATATGTAACTCCTAGGCAGGGAAGATTGAGGATTTGTACCTTAGTCTGTAGCTCCAAATACATTAAAATCCAGCTTTGTCTTGTTTGCTGCTGAAAATACGCCATATAAATTTCAGTTGTCTCTATATGTTGTCACAAGGGATGGCCACCAGATGGTGCTCCAGGCTTTGTAAAACATTTCTAGACAGAACTACTGCTGGTCATAAATCTGTATTTTCTTGCCCCAGAAAACTTATAGTTCAAGAGATAACTAAAATGGGATACCTTATTAAAACGTTTGAACATTTTTTAAAGTATGGGTATAGTTTTGTAGTATAGCAAATATAAGAGCAGTTGATGATAGAATGTGGTGCTGAAGAAATAGGAATCAACTCCCAGGCTGTTTGCTTTGGCAGACAGCTTTGCCCTTTGAACAGCTTAGCAGAAGATGTTTAAACTCTGTTTCCCTCTGTTAGTATTTTTTACTGCTTTACTTTTTCAGTTCACCATAACCAATCCCTCAGTTCCCTACAAAACAAACAGCTGAAAGGAAAACACAAAGCACAGCCATGTTTCTCTACGTCACTTTTAATCTGTTTTGTTATCTACTGATACTACTGATAAACAGACTGAAAGACCATATCAAGAAGTATTAATCCCTTGCACTGTAAGAAATGTTACATAATTTTACATGGGTTAATGATACTGAACAGCAGACACTGCAAGAGATCCTTTTGTATCACGATATGGCCCTCCTCTGGAATATGATAAGCAGGAATGAATGTGAAGGTCTGGAGAAGGATGTGATTTCCTCTCTTTTCCCATTTTTTCTCCTAACTTGGGGAAAGATTTGAGTCGATCGCCATCAAAGCTATTTTCATTTTCACATTTCTGCTCTGGATAATAGATTTAGAAAACAGAGAATTGCAAAAGCTGAGGTCTCTTTGCCTAATCCCCATCTTACATAGGGGGCCCAGCACCTGCTGAATAGACAATCTTCGAGGCCCTGATAGAGCCCACTCCAGCCATAGCCCTGCAACCAGAGGTTGTGGAATGATGCAACATGATGTGGGAAAGAAAATTTGTATCTGTAGTGACTGAAGCATCTTGAAGCCTATCAAGGTGGAATGCAAGGTAGTTTTTTTGCTGCCTTTTCCCTTTGCTTCAGATAGCATCTCCAACCTGAACATGGCAGATCCTTGTCCTTTTCCCCTCTCCTCTCCCCCCCCCCCCCCGTCGGAATAGTAGCAGGGACCACAGGTCATATTACAGGCGTGCCAGTGGCAGAATCCACACTACAAAGCATACCAGAGAAGTATTTCATATGAATTCAAATACTATCCACCTTTATGTCAAGCTTGTTCAGAAATGTTAGGAAAAAGAGAAAATGTGGATGCCATACCAGTTTGTACAGGGCAGGTGAATTATCCAAGGTTCAGCCTTTCCACCTCACCCTAGGATTGCATTCAATCCAAAGGCTTAAGACCAGATGCCACCATGACTCAGAAGTATCAGAGACCAAAGAAGAACATAGACCAAAGGCGCAGATACTAGCAACAGAATCTGAAAATATTTTTGGACCCACCACTCTTATGGTGAAGGTGGCTTACCAGAGCATTTTGAGAGCAAAATCTACGATAGCCAATGAGACTCAGTAATATAAAGCAGATCAGTTTAATGTAATGACAGCTGTGTTTTGTTTTTCATGTTGATTCTCAACCGTTTATTTTTTAAGGGAAAATTTTAAGTTGGAAGGAATAAATTCCTGTCGTAACAGAAGAAGCATAATTTAAAATTTTATTATCTCATTGTTTGAGGGTTTAGGAAGCGTACAATTTAGCAAAGCGGTGTTATGAAACATTTCTGGAGGCTTTTGAAAATAGCTGACTGAGCATAGCACTTATCCACTGTGTATATTTTCAGAGTGCTGTGTAAACAGTAACAAGTGGTTTGACAAGAGTAGTGTCACTTCAGAAATAATGGCATAGTTGGTGACTTTATGTAATTCAACAAAATATGCTTTGGCCTTTCTGAAATGTAAATAAAAGGCTAACTTGTTCATCTGAGGTAATGGTGGGAAAGTCTTGTTAGAGTATTTTCTTCTCAACCTCACAACAGATAAGCCCTGGTTTGCTATCCTGATTGAAAGCTGATAACTGGGGGAGAAAAAGCTTTTCTTTTCACAAAAAATTAGCACAGATTTTGAATAGTAGAAGTTGTTTTATTGTCTTTGTGTAATCTTGGAATTTTACTCTCTATTGATATTGCTCAAACATTCAGATCATATATTCTTATTATGTGAACTTCAAAGTGGTGGACATAAGTTTTTAGAAGAATGCATGTCATGTGAGTCTGTTCTCCTTCAGAAGCAGAATAACAGGCTATAATACTTGGCAGTTGCTCCATGTGGGATGACAACAGGCAGGATTAAGATTGATGACTTCCTCCCAAAGGAGGAGCTTCCTTGCAGGACCAGTCTGTTTCCTGTCTCTTAGGAGACAGCAGGGTTTTAGCTAGAGCTCTTTTTCAAACAAAAAAGGTATATTGAATGAATCTGCCTTTCACCTTTCTTGACCCCTCTGTACTGAAATTAGGTAGGACAGGTGATGGAGTAAGCCGGGCAGCAAATCCAAGAGAAACAAGCTGCTTAGGCAGAAAAAATCTTTAATGATGGCTCTGACCCCTTGCTACTTAGCCCAGGAATGTAGAGCTGGATAACAGGAGTGCTGTTAGTCTTTCCAGTAGGCCTTTTGCAGAGCTGTGGTGTTTCAGGCCTCCAGAACCTCCTCTGTCTTTACTAGGCTGGTGTACCTGTGAGCCTGTCAGATATGTCTGATGGTTCAGGGCAGGGGTCAGCAACCTTTTTCAGTCGTGGGCCGGTCCACCGACCCTCAGACCATGTGGTGGGCTGGACTATATTTTGAAAAAAAGAATGAATGAATTCCTATGCCCCATAAATAACCCAGAGGTGCATTTTAAATAAAAGCACACATTCTACTCAGGTAAAAACACTAGGCAGGCCCCAGAAATAACCCAGAGATGCATTTTAAATAAAAGGACATGTTCTAATGTAAAAACACGTTGATTCCCAGACCATCCACAGGCCGGATTGAGAAGGCGATTGGGCCGCATCCGGCCCATGGGCCTTAGGTTGCCTACCCCTGGTTCAGGGTCATAGCTTATAGAAAGAGCTTCAGGGATCCGTCTCTACTCACTGCAGACTTTTCAGCAAGAGTATCTAATGTAGCACCTTTTTGACTTAGGCCTGGGCGATAGCTGAAAAATCCAAAAGTGATATCAGGGATACTCAGTTCAGCATAAATTTTATTTATGTAGGGCTCCAGAGGTTGTCTTTGTAGTACCTAAGGATAAAAAAGTTTTATTCACAAATGTGAAGAAGGAAGACAACAACAGATTTTCAAAAAATCCTGATATTTAGAGACCCTATTCTCTTTGCAAGACATGTCAGTTGAAAAAAATGCGAGATACAGAAAAATCAAGCTTTTTTAAACAAAACAAAAAGAACCTTGAAAGAGGTGGTGGGGTCAAGCCATCTTGGATCTCAAGTATCTCAGCAAATTAATAATATGAAGTTGTGTTCACCTCTACATAATTCCATCCTTATTTGGGGCATCATGATATATCAATATATCACAATGTTTAGCTGGTGATATATCATGATGTTGAAAACCAGATATTGCCCAGCCCTAAACGTTGTAAGTAGTTTAGTTTAGTTTATGTTCTGATGTAACAGGGGTCTTCAGGAACATTGTTGGCAGTGAATTTTGGGAATGGGGCACATCTTTTATTGTGAAGTTTAATTTAATCTAATACAGGCTGTCTGGCTGTGAGAGAGGCACAGCTTTGTGCGTGAAGAAGGGTCAGCTGGAGTTAGGCATTGATGTGTTTGCCATATACGTTTGTTAGAGACATGACAAGCTGATAATAAAGTTAAAGTTGAAGCTAAAAAGAAGAGAATGAATGGAGGATAAAATTGTATTGGAATTTGTTACATTTGTGACAGGATTTTCAATTAAGCCTTGTCAGGCTAATTTTTTTAAGTGCCCTTTTCTGTTTGTCAGGAGGACAAGCACTTAATCAGGATGATAGGCTATCTGCTGAGGAGTCTCAATTAAGAGGATTTCACTGAATGTGTTGTGTGATCATATAAGGCTCTGTTCATATGAACACCCCACTAGTTCAATAGGATTTGACTGCTGCCAGGTTTCTTTACACTACATTATTACAAAATGAATAAAAAGAACACACAGGATTATATTAATATTGATATATCCATTCAGTCTTTGCTTTTTAAATGTGAGGAATGTGCTAAGCTTCCTGAGGCTTGTGTTCTTAACATGGTTTTCAGCTTTTGTAGTGGGATGCAAATCCATATACTCAGTCCCCTTTTAAACTTTTCTTACAGACTGATGCTGATGTCCTTATACAATGTCAGTATCAATGTGAAAGGCTTGAAGTACATCAGTGAAAGCCCAGGGTTCTTTCCATTACTCTGGTGGCTCCTGAATGGTAAGACCTTTATGAATGCAATACGGTACTAGATTGTGCTACACATGTTTTTACTACGTAACAAATGTCAGTATATTAGCTAAATGGAAATAAACCAGCTCCTTGTTGTTTATCAAAACACCTTGTATAGCATGTAAGAAAAGACATATTTTGGAACTTAAGATGTGATAGGCATGAGAATGGAGAATGGAAGGATGAGTTGTATAAACGGGATTACTCTTGCTAAAACGGTTTGTATGTTGATTATCCTATGCATATAGAAAACTATCACACATTTTTCATTTATGCACTGCTGAAATCCTGTCCACTCTTACTGGGGAGGGCCACTCATTGGACTTGATGAGACTTTATGGTGAGAAAAGTACATAGGATTGAGCTATTAGTTAATTAATTTCAGGCTTGGGGTTTTTAAAAGTCAGTTATTAAAATTAAGGATCTAGACCATGCCCTTGAAATGCAATGTTAGAACAAAGAAGCTGTTCTTGCTTGAAACTATTCGATGTAATCTATTGTTTAATTAAATGGCTTGACATCTTCTTAAAAACAAAAACACTGCAACTGTTGATGGAAAGATAAGTCTGAACATTTGTCCTGAAGGGCAAAAGGAAAAGTTATGATTCTGCCCTTGTTAACTTCCTGCTTCAGCTATATTTTATTTATTAGATTCTCACTTTGATTTAATTTATAACTTTCTCCATTATTCAGTCTTAGGATATGTATCAGTTCTAAAATCAACACTTGGTAAAATCTATAAATATTTATAAAAGTGTTATATATTATTATAAAAGTATTAAATACATTATTTCCATAAATTACACAGTATCTGCTTGCCACCCAGCTTTTAAAAGCAATCCCAAGTTAAAATGTATTACGGCTTATTGCAGAATGATAGGGCTTGGACTTTTCAGGTCTCCATGGGAGAGGACTAACAGAATTGAACTGAAATGTGACAAGGGGCACTGGTGCAAAATATATCTTAGACATACCTCATCTTGACTGTTTGTTACGATTTGAGACTTTCCTTTCAAAGAACAGAAAATCTCTCAATTTTGATTCTTGACTACTGAGAGAGGCCTGCTTACCTCCAAAACAGCTGTGTTGTTCCCCCAGCCAACGCCAAAGCAGGACTTAAATCACATAGGTAATACAATAGACCAGGCATTTCCAAATATTTTTATCAAGACTTGCCCTCTGAGGTTTGACACACAACAAATCATTTTTTGTTAGTGCTCCTCAGCACCGCATTCTGTCTAATTTCCACTGCATACAGTCATAAAAACGTGTCTAACACAGCTACTGTATATACTCAAGTATAAGCCGACTTTCCCCCCACATTTTTTATGCTGAAAAAGCCCCCCTCGGCTTATACTCGAGCGAGGCGGGCGGCAGAGGGACGAGCGGCCCAAAAGGAGCCCTTCCTCTGCCCGCCTCTCGCAAGGGCAGGCACAGGAGCCATGGTTGGGAGAGGGGCTGCGCTGCGCTGTGCCTCTCCCAACCGCGGCTCCTATGCCTGCTCTTGCGAGCGGCAGAGGCAGCAGCAGAGGAACAAGCAGCCTGAAAGGAGCCCTTTCAGGCTGCTTGTTCTTCCTCTGCCGCTGCCACCACCACCAGGTTTGTGGCGTGGTGAACCGGCTTATACTCAAGTCAATAAGTTTCCCCAGTTTTTTGTGCTAAAATTATATTCAGGTCAGCTTATACTCGAGTATATACGGTACCTACCCTTATAAGATTTGGGACATTGCTTGAGGAAATGCTTGAAACTTCCAAATTGTGCAGTTTGGTGGGGTCTTCTTCACATCAGCTCTTACATTTCCCAGTGATGAAATAATCTGTCATTAGCAAATAGAAGGGAAGCACCCCACCAGCTTGGGCTGGCTTGGTGTGTGGTATTTCTCAGTAGCATAGCAACAACTTACCCATTGTGCAGCAATGAGACCTGACTCACTAGAAATATATTTCAGGAAGCTTCTTTTCTGTACTAAGTATTGGTGTCAGCCCTTAATTTATTGTAAAAGGAGGTTTAGTTTACTGCTAGTTAGATTTGTGTGTGTGGAATTCTCTCCAGGACTCAAGTTTCATAAGTGTTTTTGACATAGGTGTCCCTCCCTGAAAACTCACATTCTAAAGGCACAATAATGCAGGGAAGCACAAGACAGAGCACAGAAAAATAATGAAAATACCTCAGAGCAGGACTTCCCAGTCTATTTTTAAGGGAGATTTACTGCCAATATTCCCTCTTTCCACCCATTTCCCTGATTGTTCTCTGCCAAATCTTCACCACAGCCGCAATTGTTCCTAACCTGTGCAATTCTTGTTAATTACTTAGCCTGTTGCTAGTGCAGCCTCCCACCTCATTTAAATTAAGCAATAAAGAGATATCTGTTGTAACTTTATACTCCCTGCGACAGCAATCTGCATTTTAGCTTCATGATATGCTTGTTTGCATTGAAAAAAGGGCCACTGAATTTCATGAGACTTCGTTCCAGGTTTGTACATAAATATTGTAGGTTTAAGCATGCAGTCAGTGGCCAGCTCACATATTGCTTGTATGAAATTATACTAAAATGTTATAATGACTGTGGGTAGAATGATGAAAAAGCTTGTAAATTAGTAATACTTGAACTTGGTACCTGTTACTTGTCAGCTTGATAACTTATGTCTTTGATGACTAAAGAATGTTGCAAGCACCTGTCAGTTGAATTCACACCACACTTCCATAGCCGATTGCAGATTAACAGTTTAGCATTGAGGTAATTCAATTACTTAAACCCCATTATAGAGAATAGTTCATCTGTGAGTATACTTCTAATGACACATGTGACTAGAATAACTCTCTGGCTTATCAGTTGCTTCTGTTAGTGACTGAATGCAAATGACATCAAATACAACGGTACAGTTCATGTCAGTGATCTTAAGGTAGATTTTCAGTACGTTGTTAAAATTGTGTCAGCTTTTATAGGCAGCTCCTACTCATGAGCTCATGCAAGCATCCACACTATTGTCTTTAAATTATTAATATATATTTTTCATCACTAGTTCTTTGCGGGGAGGATATTGTATTGTTTCATGCGGACCTTAGCTAACACAGTTCAGAAACACTTTTTTCCTGAGAGGTTTATTGAAGAGGTATTTGGTGTTGTAGTGGAAACTGCACTACCGTAATGTACTCTGTGTTGCCTTTCAAGTTGACCTGGACATTTCAGCTAGTACAGAATGCAGCAGCTTGGGTGCTTTTTTTTGCTAGGCATCCATAGTATACATTTTGTGTCAGTTGCATTGGTTACTGGTACATTTCTGGGCTGAAAGCCAAGTGTGGGTTTTGACCGTCAAAAGCCCTAAATGGTTTGGGGCCAGGTTATGCCCATTTGAACCTGCATCAGCTTTTGTCATTGACATGTTGGACCACCTTTAAGATTGGTCAGATTGGCAGGTTTTAGGAACAAGGGTTCTCAGTAGCAGCTGCTGCTATGTGGAACCAGAGGGTGTAAAGTTGTGCGCTTCAGTTGTATTATTAAAAAACAACAACAACTTTGAAACCTACTTGTTTCAAGTGTCTTTCTGCAGATGTGTTTTTATTTAACATTATTCTGATTTGTTGCTGCCACTTTTACACTTGTTTTGTACTACCTAAATTTATATTTTAATGTATCTTTCTATTATCTTAATTTTCTAGTTTTTAATGTAATTGTAGTTTCACGTTTACATTGTTCACTGCCTTGGGTGGACTTTGTCCAGAAACGCAGCTTCAGTCGTACCTTGGATCTCAAACGCCTTGGCTCTTGAACAAATGGGCTCCCGAACGATCGAAACTGGGAAGTGAGCGTTCTGGTTTTCGAACGATTTTCGGAAGCTGAATGCCCGGTGCGGCTTGGTTTTTTAACGGTACCGGGAGTCGAACGGAACGCATTCTGTTTGAGAACCAAGGTACGACTGTATTAATATTTTAAATGAACAAATGTTTGTTACAAAGTGGCATTGCTTTGGAAACCCGGTAGCTTGTGATCTAGTTTTGTGTTGTAACATACCAGTTGAAAAACAGTGTCCTGGTAAACAATAAACAAAAGGTACAAGTTGGTAGTTCTGCAAGTATTTATGCTACATTGGAAATAATACAGCAACATCGTAGCCCCTTTCACAACTGCCCCTCCAAGACAACTTAGAGCATGGGGAGGAAAAAGCAGAGCTCTACTTGTTGGCCTCCCCTATGTCATGGTACCCACAAGTTCCATCTTCCTGATCTCTGCGTTTGTTGAAAAGTCTGAATGGGGAGCCAGTCCAGCTCCTCCATGTGATCCCGAACGCTGCATGAACAGGATTCCCAATTGTGTGGAATAGCTTACATGCCAACAACTGTGCATTTGGTCCTTGTTCACACATTCCAAAAAATGCACAGAATCAACAGGAACATTAGGAAGGAGCCAGGGACAATGGATGTGACTCCATTTAATAGTGAGAAAATGAAAGTTGGATGTAGAAAAACTTCATTTGTTGTGCTCAATGAGAAGTCTGTTCTTTTATAAATTATGATAATTGGTTTAGTTAGTTTTGTCTTTCACGTTTAGATCCAGATCCAGAAATATGTCTTCATGTTCTACGGCTTCTCCAGTCTGTGATTTTAGAGCCAGATGTTTTAACCAAGTCAGCTCCTGAAATACGTGACTCTCTGCCACTTCCACGTATCCATATGCTGTCAAAAAGCCGCAATGCAGATCTACAAATCCTGGCCCGAGAACTGCTTGAGGACCTTAAAATATTAGAGAGTGAAATATAAGGTTGTGTTCTATAACATTGTTATCTTCTCCAGCATTTTTTTCCAGTGTTGTAGTAATTTGTAAAATTATGCATGCATTCAAAAAACAGGTTCTTCTTGTAAGTAGATTTGTGTGTTTGTATGTGACCAGTGTTGCTTCACAGAAGAAAGTAATTTCAGCCATAAATAGGATACATCAGAATTCCCAGGCTAGCCACATTACATCAAACCATCTCACCCAAGTTCACTAGACATTATTATTTATGCTTTAAGCTGTTTGAAGTCAAAGATTAAATGGTTTGAATAAACTGCAGCTGGTTACATGCAAGTTACATTTGTCACTTTCAGATGATTGAAACATGATGTTGAATAAATCTTTTGCTGCTGGAAATGTTGTCATTGACTATGGTCTTTGCACATAATGGGATGCCAGACTATGTCTTACTGTGAACAAGCATGTGTACTGGTGCCTGGTGATAAAAATCACAACCACTTCAGTTCTCCCCTGATCCTGCTGCTGTCACACTTCCTGACAGCTACACCATGGCTTGTCTTGGTGTTACGTGTAAACCTGACTTCATGGTTTGCCTTGCTCCAAGCAAACTGAACTGTAACCAAAGTTTGTACTTGATTTTCTTGCAAGACCCTCTATTCTTGTTATTTATTCTTCCTGTGGTATGATGAGTAGGGAATCAGACATGTGTTGATGTCAAAAAGTGCCCTAGAGGAATCTGTAGTAATGATGCAGTGTGCTGAATTCCTGTTTTAAATCTAACAATGCTGACAGTATGTAATGCTAGCCCGGACCTTTTAAGAGACTGCAAGTTTGACACAGCTAGAGTCTCAGTTTCCTAGGCCACTCATTAACATCAGCCTGATCTCAGTTAAGAGAAGCAGGAAATGAGGTGTTCTCTTAGTAGTCTCTTGATGGCAGATCAAAAAGAACAGACATTTAAAAGGCAACAACCATCCCATTTATATCTGTTTGGGCAATCTCCTTTTTAAAGTTCTGTTTGTGTTCTTTCACTTTATTTGTGTGTTTGTGGGAAGATGTATATCTAGTTAGAGCATTATTAAAGTAATTGACAGATCATTCAGATGTGGATGGCTAAAGGGAGTGTTATCTATGTTTACTGTAGAAAGAGTTTGGATGAGTGCCGATTCCCTTTTTATTCTGACATGAGGTTTACCAGTTTATGCAAGATTGATGATTACAAGTGGCAATATTGGGGTGGGGCTGGTTGGCATGGTCCTCTTCCACACATTCACTGAAAATGGCAGTGGCAGCTTAAATCTACAAATGACCAGTTGACAACCACTACATTATAGTGGTACATTTGAGAGATTAAGGTGGAATGAAAACTCAACCGTTGGGCTTTACTAATGTCTGTCTCAACTTAATTTCCATTCAGGGTTACAATATATGGACATCAACTATTCCACTTTATAGAAAAAGTCATATCCCTGCACCTTTGTCACAGTACACTGTGGCAAGCTCAGTTCTGCTCTCTTGCCTTCAGAAAATCCCAAAGCGAAACCAAAGCCCTACATGCCTGAGACCTGAGTATCTAAAGTCAATCTTGGGGAGTCATTGCTGTCTTTGTTAGCTGAAGGGGCCGTTTTAGTGTTTGTGGCCAAAGTAAACACTGCCTGGTCATGTTCACTTGACACCATCATGGTTTTCTGTCAGACACCTGAAGCCCATCTTAATTCTCCCATGCTTTAAATGGCATTTAAGATCTTTTTAACTGCTGCTTTTATCAGCTGTAGCATTTTAAGTGTGCTTTTATACTGTTACCATTATTGGTTCTGTTTTGTGAAAAGCCTTGTAGGCTTTTGAAACTGAAATGTAGGGTATAAATGCCTTAATTAGAAATAATAAAAGTTAGGTGCAACCCCATAGAAAGATATTACCAGATATGACTGCCAGCTCTACACTCTGCAGTTTTTCTATGGGTGGTATTCAAGGAAGTTTCACTCAGAGTAAACCCGTTGGCATTAATGGTCCTAACTGAGTCACGGTCATTTCAGTGGGTCTGCTCTGAGTAAAACTTGACTGAATACTGCTCTATGTATTTTGGCTTCTGGAGACTGGAAATAATGCAGCAGAGGTGGTCCTCAGTTCATTTAGGTATAGCTATTTGGTCCACAGACCCCAACATGGCACATCAACTATGCAGTAACTATTGCACAGGCTGCACGTTGCTTAAATTCTAATGTGCGGACAAGTTTGTGTCCTCGAAATTTCATGCTCCAGCAAGTTATTATATTTGCCTTATATAGCTTGACTTGAGTGACTTTTGGTACAAAAAAATCCTTGCTTGTGCAGGAGATCCATTTAGTGTCAGTCAGATGCAAATAAAAGGCTGGTGAGTTTGAAGTAGACATCCCATTATAGGAGGGATTTCTGTAGCCATGGTGATTCATCCCTTGTATGCTTTGAAGTGCTTGGGAGCTGTCTGCTTCTTTGGGCAAAATCTATGTGTCAGCAAATACTAAGAAACAGAGCAAACCAATCAGATCTGGGGATTACTGCTGTGACTTGGCAGGTAATCCAAGAATGAGTGGCCTGACACCCCAACTGTCCTGAAGTTGTTCAGACAGGTCTTTGGTAGAGAGTCATAACATTTGTACTTGACAGCTTTGTGAAGTTAATTCTGCATCAGCCAGAAAGCAGTGCCTTCTTTGTTCTTGTCAGTGACAAAAGAGACCCAGCATTGGTCCATGTCGGGTTGGCAAGGTTTACCTCGCCTGGACCGGTTCACTCCAGCGGAGATCTGTCCGTGGGCTGGATTGTGGGTGGGTGTGAGCACCCACGCCCATGATTTCCGGCGTCTGCATTTGTGCAGATGCAATTTCCATCGCTGCAGAAGTGAGTCCCAGTTTAGTGCCGCGCGTGGGGACTCATTGAGTAGGTGGCTCAGTTCGGGGGCTGGTTAAACGACCCCTGTGGGCCACGTGTGGCCCATGGGCCGCAGGTTGCCTACCCTTGGTCTGTGTAGAGTTAGCCTACCTGCCTGATAAAGAGATCTAGTGCAGATTGCCAGCAAAAGTTGAAGAAAAACCTCTCCTCACACCAGAATAACCTGTGCATCAGTTCAATACAGATTAATCAATCAATCCATTCAACATGTTACTAGAGTGATAAGGTGCACTAGACAAGGTCTGTGCAGACAAATAGCTCCAGATGATGACTCAAAATACGATAAGTGGAGAGACCTCAATACAGGTTCATGACACCTGCTGGGGAAAATCCTTTCTGATTCCAGTTATGTCAACTCTGACTGTAAGCAATGTCTGTTTATCATGTCTTTCATTATGGTCCAGATTCTGTTTCTGTTCTGTGAAGGAAGGGGGAAGCAGATCTCACTCTAGCAGAAAAGCCCACACCCACTCCTGCTTCTAGATACACAGCTTTAATTGAGTTCAGCAGGTAGAAAACAACTGTCAGTTCCTTGAAGCTTGAAAAGCTGAATGTAGCTCAGTTCTGACATGTTTTAAGGCTGAGCTGGGGATCCTGTGGCCCTCTTAACATGTCAGTCCTATAATCCTTGACCATTGGGTGTGCAAGTTGGGTTTGGTGGGAGATCATCTGGAGGGTTGCAGTTTCCCCATCTCTGTTTTAAGGTCACTTCTGTATTTCAGCTCTACAGAAGCTTCACTCTCGGTGCCAGGCTCAGCCAAATTAATTCGAGTATAATGCTCACTTTTTGCTCTGCCATGTGCATTCTCTTAACCCGCCATGATATCTCCTTGTCACAATAAGGCTTTTTTTTTTTTTAAAGGTTTGTATTAATGTATTTTGTTCACAATAGAATGCAGGAGATATCTATCCCATTAGCGCTGCCCCTCCCAGTTATACTTCTTTCTAATTCCCATCCTATGCGCACCACAAAATTTAACATCAGTGGAGCTGAAGGTGACAGAAAGCAATGCAAAACATGGGCTACTAATAATGAAAGACTAGACAAGGCATCAGGCTAAAACGGGTGGGGAACCTCAGACCTGGGGGCTGAATGTTGACCCTACAGGGTTCTCCCTGGATCCCTCCCCTCACTTGAGTGTTTCTGACAGCAGGATGTGTCATTGAACCCTGATCACGCTTCTTGCTGACATGGATGGATGATAGGCTACTGTACAAAGACAAAATCTGCATTCCTTGCTCTACCCATTGTTGTCTCTGACCCTGCCCACTACTATCCTGTGGCCCTCAGAAGGTTTCCCAGGTGGGTGAGTGGCCTTTGGGTTGAAAATGGTCCACGCCTGAGTGAAAAGGACCTTTTCCAGAGATGGTAACACTTTTATTTCAGTGTTTAAATTGACACAGAATGGTGTTTTTAAACAACAACAACAAAACCCACCAAACAAACACAACCCTATAATTTTGTTTTCTAAGAGTGTGCATGAAAACATAAAATTCCAGTCTGTGGGAAATGAAAGGAGTAAAATGTTACCATTTCCATTCACTGGTTTCATGTGTTTCTGCCAGGCTATGCATTCACTGGATCGATATATTCCCAAATTGTCTATACTGTACTTAGCAGTGCATTCAGACACCACAGATGGCAAACTGAATAGCATCAAGTTCTCCTGCAAATGAGTCCTATTAGCAAGGGTTGTCCCCCTTCACTGCAAACAAGAAATCAATGCTAAGTCCTTAGGGAGAAGCTAAGAGAAGTGTGAGTTTATTCAACATCCTGACCAAAATGCAATTCACTAGTGTAACCAGAAGTCTAAAGCTAGGTATACATTATGGGCTTAAGACACAGCAAGGCCGTTTTTTGTTTTTGTTATTTGCTGCATTTTAAATCATATTTGTACACTTCTGAATGTCTGTCCACAACAGTGGGCATGGAAGGGTATGTGGTTATTTTCAGACGGCTTACATTTTCAAAAACTCCCATTCTGTCAGTTTCTGTCATACTCTTTCCAAATCCACACTTGCTCCAAACTATCTGCCCTACTCACCAGTTGGAAACGGTTGCTTTTTAAGGCTGGAGAGAGATTTTTGGGTATTAAGGCAAACATCCACCCTCCACCAACCCCAGCTATTAAGGAATATTGATATGAAGTCCCTGACCTCCCCTTGGTTGCTCACAGTAATTGACGCTGCCAGCTCATAAGAGCTCCAGTCCCTTAGTGAAAATTGATCAGTGGAGGAAAAGAAACCTTATCAACTTCAAGTAGACTTGTCAAGTTTGCAGAACTACAATCGATGAGTCAATTTCAGACTCATTATAATGGCAATAGGCCAATGAGAAGGTAATTTCCTGGCATTAATGACTGGCTGACTTATAGGTATAAAGGTAAAGGCTGCAATTGCTCCAGACAGTTGCTAGGAAATACCCTCCCCAACGGCTATTATTGGTTAGCTTAATAGCGAAGGAGGAG